CGGTAATTGATTACCTTCCCTCCTGCCAGTCACTTTCCCTTTTTTCTATACCATATTCCTCCAGAGTTCTGATGCACATTTCTCTGGGGAATGGGGAAAAAAACTAGCACAGTGGATTGAGGCCATATTCCATGTTCAATATAATTGTCCCTCTGGCTTCAAACCAGTTCCAGACTGTCAATCTAATCATTCACAAAAAGAAACCGTTTCCTCCTAAACTAGTTCCAAGATGCATCATGATGTCGCTGTACATGGACTCTTAGACTCCTAAAGGGTTTGTTTTTGTTTTGTTTTTTTACCTTTAGGAGCCTTTAAATTGTTCAGACGGGATCAGAATTCAAAATGCCCTTAACAGATGAGAGAGCTGGGCCAAAAATAATAAAATGAATTGCAACAAGGACAAAAATAAGATACTACACTTAGGCAGAGAAAATAAAATGCAAAGATACAGAATAGGTGATGCCTAGATTGACAACAGTCCATGGAGTCTTCATGGACAACAAGTTGGGCATGAGCCAACCGTGTGATGCAGCCGCTAAAAAGCTAATGGGATTTTGGGCTGCATCAAAAGGAGTATATTATCTAGATCGAGGGAAGTCATGGTGCCTCTCTATTCTGCTTCGGTTAGACCTCACCTGGAATACTGTGTCCCGTGCAGGGCACCACAGTGCAAGAGAGACAAGCTGGGCATTTCGGATGTAGAGCACATTGCAGGATGTGACCAAGGCATGTACCACCATGGCCAGGTCCAACCTCTCCAGGAATGGGCACAGTTAGCATACTAGCTGTGCAAACACACTCTTAGTCACTGCTGATACCTGGGCCCCCAGGTTCAGAGCCAAATTCAGGAGTAGCCCCAAACTGCAAACTTGTGTTTTCAGGAGGAGTGTAACTCCATTTAACACAAGCCTGATCTGTCTTATAACTGACCAGGAACACAACCTCATCCCTGTGGATATCTATAATCCTGGATAATTGTTGGATTCACCCCTGCACTGCTTAGTGCTTAAGTCTTTGCTTAAGCCAGGGGTCTTCAAACTAAGGCCCGAGGGCCACAAACGGCCCTCCAAGGTCATTTACCCGGCCCTTGCTCAGGGTCAACCTAAGTCTGAAACAACTTGAAAGCACACAACAACAACAATCCTATCTCATGAGCCAAAATCAGGCCCACTATTCCCATTAAAATGCTAATAAGTTTATATTTGTTAAAATTGTTCTTCATTTTAATTATTGCAATGTTTTTATGAGTTTTTTGCACTACAAATAAGATATGTGCAGTGAGCATAGGAATTCAGTCATGCTTTTTTCAAATTATAATCCGGCCCTCCAACAGTTTGAGGAACTGTGACCTGGCCCTCTGTTTAAAAAGTTTGAGGACACCTGGCTTAAGCCTTAAGCCTTTGCTGATGTCAAGTCATCAAAAAGGTATCTAGTCAGAGACAGGGCTAAGCTTAGAGCATCCCTTCCTGCACATTCCTGTGTAAGTTTGAAAAGTCTTGTCTTCATTCTCTTTCCAGAAGCTACTGTCTCTTCTGCATTTGATGACATGGCAGTGTAATTCTGTGAGGGAACTTACTGTTGTAAAAGACTGGCCCCTGACAAGAAGGCCATGTGGTCTTGGACACCATATTTTCTTCTTCCTTTCTGTCTCTCTTCCTGAAAGCATGTGTTTGCGAGAGAGAAAAATGTAGTTTTTGGATCTTTCCCTTTCCTTCTTTTTTTTTTTTTTTTTAGAAGTTGAAGTTAGTTGAAGTTAGGCAAGCTAGTTAGGTCCAAATCTTTTCTACCAAATATTACTTTAATAAATTATTGGAGACTCAAAGATTAGAATCTGGAATCTTTAGGCATCCTTACACTTAAAGCATATTATACAGTTAGTCCCCCAGTTATTAACAAGATAGGTTCAATAGGTTTGTTCTTAAGTTTAATGTATATGTAAGTTGAAACAGGTATTTTAAGTGTTACTGCAGATAGATAGATAGATAGATAGATAGATGATAGATAGATAGATAGATAGATAGATAGACAGACAGACAGACATAGATATAAACTTTGGACAGCACAGAGAAGGTTTAACACCCCTGTGGTGTTTTTTTTTGCTGCCTGTGCCCCTGTTCAGAAGATGTCACCTCACTCTCTGTTGCAGTAATAAATGCATTTTGAAAAAATTGGCTTGTTGCAGAAACAAAGGAGTGGTGAGAAAGCTTCAGTGGAGACACCTTTTCCCCATAATAACTCTTTCAGGGGTGAATTTTCCTTCCTTGGGGTAGATTTCTCTCACTTCCTGTTGTCTCATCCCTGTTCTTTAACTATGAATCATTTGTAAATTGGATGTTTGTAGCTCAGGGATTGTCTGCATATCAACCCTGCAGTGTTATTCTTTGCATTTATTGCTATATTAGATTTAATTGGCAAAGTAGCATGTGAGAGCCTCATCATTTGTTACACAGCATATTGAAAGTTGTGTTGGGAAAGAATAGCTCTATAATGAACTGTGTATACAGGTTTGAGCATCCTTTATCCAAAAGTGGCCAGAAGTGTTTGCCCCCCCCCCCAAGAGATTATAATACCTCTTTGGATATGTTTATGCAAATAAAAGTATCTTAGGCCCCTTCTACACTGCCATATAATGCAGTTTGAACTGGATTATGATGATCAGTGTAGACTCATATAATGCTGGCTAAACGGCATTGAACTGGATTATATGTGTCTACACTACCATATAATTCAGTTCAATGCAGATAATCACATTCTGAAACTGGATTATATCATTGTGTAGATAGGGCCTTGGATATGGGACCCCACCGCCTTTGACCTGTGGGGTCCCTCAGAGATCCATTCTGTCACCCATGCTATTTCATATCTACATGAGACCGCTGAGTGAGATCATACGGAGTTTTGGAATCACAGGTGTCAGCAGTGGCCAGGAGTGCCTTTGCACAATTAAAATTTGTGTGCCAGCTGTGCCTGTACCTTGAGATGCCAGACTTGGCCACGGTAGTGCATGTTCTAGTTATATTTTGACTGGACTACTGCAATGCACACTAAATGGGGCTGCCTTTGAAGAGTGCTTGGAAGCTTCAACTGGTGCACAATTCAGCTGCCAGATTACTAACCGGAGTGCCATACAGGGAGTAAACAACTCCCATTTTACAGCAGTTTCACTGGCTCCTGGTTTGCTACTGAACAAAATTTAAAGTGCTGATGATTACCTTTAAAGCCCTGAACTATTCGGGTCCAGGCTATTTGGCCAACCACCTTTCTTTATACAAACCTTCCCGGACACTACGATCATCGGGGAGGCCCTACTCATGCTCTTGACTCCATCTGAAACCCAATTGATGAGGATGAGAGAGAAGCCCCGCGTCTCTGGAACTCCCAAAATGGCTCTGTCGCTAAACTCCTTCAAAAATCAGTGAAAAATGTTTTGTGCTCCCAAGGATATGGAGAAGCAGATGGTTAAACTAAGGTTTTTAAGGCTTTTAAGAAATGTGCAATGGAATAGGAATATAGCTTTTAACACTATAGGTAGACACTGTTGTCCCAGCTCCACTGGCTGCCGATTTGCTACCGGGCCCAATTTAAGGTGCTGGTGTTGGCCTACAAAGCCCTGAACGGCTCCGGCCCAAAATACCTTTCAGACCGCATCTTGGCCTATGAGCCCACGAGGACCTTGAGATCGTCTGGGGAGGCCCTTCTCTCGATCCCGCCTGCCTCACAGGCACGCCTGGCGGGGACGAGAGAGAGGGCCTTCTCAGTGGTGGCCCCCCGGTTGTGGAACACTCTCCCTACAGACATCAGGCAGGCGCCCTCTCTTTTGTCCTTCCGAAAAAGCCTCAAGACGTGGCTGTTCGAGAGGGCATTTAATTAAGTGCTATAGTAATGTGGTAAAGACGACTGGAATGGTACAAGGAATACGAGATTGGTCACGATTCTATTACGAGACGAAGCGGATTAGTTAGTGTAATTTTAACTGTTGTATTGTTGTATGGTTAATATGCTGTTGTACTTGTCTTTGTGTGAATTGCCTTTTGTACTGTACACCGCCGTGAGTCGCCCGAGTGGGCTGAGAATGGCGGTTAATAAATGCTCCAAATAAATAATAAATAAATAAATAATATAGTGCTATATTGTTTATTGTGATTTTTTATTATCAAATGTGGCTGAGTTTTAAATCCTTTTTATTAAGTTAAGTCTGTATGTATGTACTTGTTGGCATTGAATATTTCCCTTTTATGTTGTTAGCCACTCTGAGTCCCATATTGGGAGATGGGGCAGGATATAAATAAAGTTTTATTATATTATTATTTTAATTTTTTTTTTGCCTGAAACAAACTCTGTGTACGTTGAACAATCAGAAAGGAAATGTGTCACTATTTCAGCCTCTTCTGGTGGACAGACAAAGGATAATCAATCTGTATTGCATGTCAGAGATGGGCTGAGGTTGGATTATATTCCTAGTGAAAACTCTCATTCTCAGGATGCAGGAATGTTTCAAGTTTCTCCTTAGATTTCATCCATTTTCCATGCCAAACCCAGCATGCAGAAGCTCTATTTTTTCACTGAGTTGCTGGAAAGTTGGTCACATGTTTATTTGCTTTAAATGAATAAAATTGCATTTTAAACATGATATTTAAATTAGGGAGTAATGTTTTGGATGCTAAATTCTTGGGGTTTTCCAGAAACACCTGTTAGCCTCTGTAGAAGAAGAAATACTGAATCGAAAAGACCTTTGGTCTGATACACCTATTATATTCTTGTGTTTCATTCTGATGATGCAAAACCTTGCTGTACATTTCATAAAGCTGACTGCAAATGTAAGCTCTACATAGCTACTCAGAAGTCAACCCAGCTGAATTCACATAAATGTATTCCCAGAAAAATGATGCAAGATTACAGCTCCAGTCTTACTCAGCAGTTTGGAGACTAGACGGCAACAAGATGAGGAAGAGCTGGAGATAGCATGAGGTAGGGCAGAGCTCACAAAAAGGGTACACATGTTGATGTTTGCAAAGGTTTCTACCATCTTTATTTCCTAGGATCTACACGTTGAGAAATGAACAACTACAAATCAAAGTGATAAAGAGCTTCACATTTTGCGCATCCCTTCAGTCACCTTGAAGTATCTCAGCAAGCTTATTCTTCACTTTTGGCTTGCTTTCCAGCATCACGGGACTTCACCCGCAATTTGTTGACCTGGGACTCTGCAATGTCAGCCCTCTCTTCGGCCTCTTCCAGTTCATGCTGAATCTTGCGGAACTTGGAAAGGTTGAGGTTGGATTGTTCCTCCTGAGAACAGAAACAGTTGTGAACACCACAGTACAGAAGTTTAGGTGGAATCTCTTTTCCTGCAGTTGGCTATACTATTCATAGTCATGTATTTGCCCATCCTGCAACCTTTTTACATGGCCCTTTAGGGTCATGCCATTGTGCCATCAATCGCTGGCAAACAGAAAGGTGCTTGGGGCGGCTCATGACATCCTGCATGCCCTCCATCCTCCCTTTATCACATGGAGGAGACAAGAGAGGGTGCTTTGGCATCCTTTCCCTCCCCTCATCAGATGGCAGAAAGGGTGGCAATGTGCATTGCTCTACCGCCCTTTCTGCCATCACACAGCAAAAAAGGAAGGAAAGCACAGATAGCTCAATGGGAGCTACCCAAACTACACTTCCCTCCCCGTAGTGGAGGAGGAAGAAGCACCTTTTGGAAGTTTTCCTCCACTTCAGGAGGAATGTGGGCGGGGCCTGCCACGTGTCATGTGATGGTGCACAGAAGGCCCCGTCCTTGCCATGATTAAAAATGGCAAATGGGGCAAAAGTGTCCAGTGTAAAGAAGTCCATAGTAACTTCATATTATCTTCTGTGAAACAAAAAGAACTGTTCCATCTTAAGCACATTACTTACGGATTCCTCAGATTGCCTCTTGTATGCTTTCACTTTCATTTGCAGTTTGTCCACCAGATCCTGAAGCCTCAGAACATTCTTCCGATCTTCCTCAGACTAAATAAATGAAGCACAATTAGGGAAGAAACTCATTTTCTGTGATTTTACAGCTTTTCTTCAGTCTGACTTTCATTAATAATGTCTTTTCAGATCATAGAAGGCAAAACTGTAGAAACACGTATAACATATTGAGGCACAGAACATCCATAGAACAGAATTAAAGAGTGATTTAAGGAAATGGATAACCATTAGTATTTTGGAGAAGGACAATGCAATTTTCATTAGTTTACTAGCTATTATCATAGAATCACAATGGTGATGATGACAATTTATATGTCCTTGCAGAATGATAGCATGAGATGTGGTTGGGTTGCATTTTTAGTTTGAAATACAAATTGGGAAGAAAACTGCATTGACCTTTTCAAAACTACACTAATTTTGCAGTAGAGGGCAAGAAACTTATGTATAGAGAGCCATTATAGCATTTTGATTGGAAAAAACATCCATTTTCCTACTACCATTCATTTCCAATTTGCAGTGACAATAATTTTTGTAGCTTTTGTTATTATGGGAAAATGCTATGGATGCCAGGTAATTGTAAACAAATGTTTACCGCTCTTACCTGGTAGGTCAGTTCCTTTACACGTCTCTCATATTTGCGTACACCCTTGATAGCATCAGCACTGCGCTTCTGCTCATTCTCTACTTCAGCTTCCAGCTCCCGCACCTGAGGGAATAAGCTGAAAATGAGCACTCAGACAAATCTCCTCATTGAAAATGGATAAAGACTGCAGAGGTAGGAAAGATACTGACTCTGTGCTCTAGTTTCTGCAGCTGCTTCTTGCCACCCTTCATTGCTAGCTGTTCTGCCTCATCCAGGCGGTGCTGGAGATCCTTCACAGTCTGCTCCAGGTTCTTCTTCATCCTTTCCAGATGGGCACTGGTGTCTTGCTCCTTCTTGAGTTCCTCAGCCATCATAGCTGCCTATTAATAGAATAAAATATCCAAGTCAGGAAGCTACGCACGCTGGCTGTAAACAGAATTATAGTTTCTAAAGAAAGTCTGTCCAACTCACATCAGTGATGGCCTTCTTGGCTTTCTCTTCTGCATTGCGAGCTTCCTGAACAGTCTCTTCCACTTCACTCTGCATCTGGGAAATATCTGTTTCCAGCTTCTTCTTGGTGTTAATCAAGCTTGTGTTCTGTGTAAAAAGCATGGAAGATTGTTGGTAATCTCAAAGTGTTGATCAAGCTAGTGTCCCAGGTATGTTCATGTGAGGAATGTGTGGTCTTTTGCTTTACATGAAAAAATAAAAGTTGAACATCAAGACTGGTTTCATTAGAGTGTAGAAAACTACCATCTTCTCAGATGTTAATTTTGGACAGTTAAACAAAGAAATACTCTTAAACATTTTCTTGGTGTTCTTTGTCTTGCCTATTTCCAAATACCAGTTCAAGTTTTAAAGGAGACAAAAACCATGTAGTTTACAACATTGTGAAATCTGTTATTAGTCATAATCTCCACAGAGTTTCATCAAGGGCTCAAAAAGTCATCACATTATAGATTTAGTATCTTCAACCATTATGAGCATAAGGGAGAAAAAGACATATTTCTCAAGCTAAACTTTCGCCTTTTTGAACAATTCACCTACATCTACACTGATCATTTGATGCAGTTTTAAACTGATATTGAAAAAGAAGTTTCATTGTGCAGTTAATTACATGTGAAGCCTGGATGATGAATACACAAACTAAAGAGCACTGGTGCACATTAAGGACTCTCTTTCATGCAATTTCATGGGACATTCAACCTCATCACATGAGGAGAAATTGGCATCCTAGCATGTTGCTAGGATGCTAGGATGCTACCTCCTCGGAGTGCACTGGATGCCATCATATGATATTAGGCAGCTTTCGGCGGAGCTTCATGGAGGAAGCATCCCAACAGTGTGGTAGGACACCTTCCTCAGAACATGGGAGACTTTCCATGTTTCGTAGACAACAACGGGGGAAAGCTGGGCAGTGACGCTTCTCCCCATAGGATGGGGTAAGGGGTACAGTGGGTGATGTCCTATGGATTCACCATGTTGCATGGCAAATCCCACCCACCCATGGATTATGAACTCAATGTGATGAGGTCCTTTGTTGTCTTTATGCAGCGGTTTGAAACTAACATTTTATTCCAAGAAATGTTCAGTGTAGATGTGATCACAGTGACTTAGACATACCTGTGTGTGGAGGAGTTGCACACGCTCACTTGCATCCAGAAGTTCCTGTTCAGCCACTTTCCTGCCCCTCTCTGTCTGTTCCAGAGCTGCCCGAAGCTCCTCAATCTCCGCCTGCATCAGGTTAGCTCTGCGCTCAACCATGGCCACCTGCTCTTTCAGATCATCCTGGCTTCTCACAGCATCATCCAAATGCAATTGTGTATCCTATAAGACAAAGTGTCATGAGATACAGTCATGGGCATCATTATAATCTCAGTGTTCTTCTGACACTTGCTGGAAATAGTTTTCTCCATACCTTGAGCTGCCCTTGTGTATTTCTGAGATTCTTTATAGCCTCAGCAGCTTGGCGGTTGGCATGGCTCAGCTGAATTTCCATTTCATTCAGATCTCCCTCCATCTTCTTCTTAACCCTTAGGGCATCATTTCTGCTCCTAACTTCAGCATCCAGTGTGCTCTGCATGGACTCCACGACTCTCAGGTGATTCCTCTTCAGCTGATCAATTTCTTCATCCTTCTCTGCAATTCTTCTGTCAATATCAGCCTTCACCTGGTTGAGCTCCAGTTGGATGCGGAGGATTTTGCCTTCCTCATGTTCCAGAGAAGCCTTTGGAAAATGAATTAATAACACTCATAAATATAACCTTCTCTATTATTACCACTACTTCGAATAGTATTCCACTTTCATCTCTTAAAGGAGAGTCAATGCAGCTAATAGTGCTAAAAGCGATATAATGTACAATTTAAATTCTATACCATATAAACAGTAAAATAGAATTAAACATGAACCAATTAAAATAATTAGTTAAAACCATTAAAAGCCTATTAAAATACATACAGCATTACACAGCACCCCCAGCTCAATCTCTAAAATGTTTGTCTTTAAAAGCCTGCCTGAACAGAGAGATTTTAGTTTGCTGTCTGAGGGACAGCAGAGAGGCAGCTTCAAAGGAAGTCACCCATTAGGTTTCCATGGTCAAGCAGTGATTCATACCGTACTCTCCAGAATCATAGGGTACTCAAATATACATCACACAAGCCCTAAAAACCTTAGAGTATAATTAATATAAGTTAGTTTTTAATTTAGCTGTCTACTATATTTTGTTTCTATTCCTTTAACTTTTGGAATGTTTTTTCAAAGTTTTAAATATATATATTACAATTTAAGGATCATCTCATGTTTCCTCTTAAGAATAATGATAAGTATACCTCAGCTTCTTCTAGAGATGCCTGGAGTTCTGATTTCTCCTGTTCAATCTGCTTCTTCACTTTTTCCAATTCATGGATAGCCTTTCCTCCCTCAGCAATCTGTTCTGTGAGGTCAGATATCTCCTCTGTAAAATAGAATAAAGAAAAATAGATTTACGTGGGTGAGGATAAACAAAAGTGAGCTGAGAAGAAAGGAACATTTTCGACTCTTCTTAAATCATCCATCAAAGTTGAACTATCAGTATTTCACTCAGTACTAATAACATACGGGTGTCTGTACCAGCACTGGAGAGAAGGAGTGTATAAGGTTGTATCCTTGGACTTTTCCTTTGGAAGCAAGACACCTTGTATTCTTAGCTTTTCATTGCTGTGCTTGCAGTTCTTTAAAGAGTAAGCTTCTTTAAAGAGTAAAATGGAGACTTACGCTGGAGATTCTTGTTCTCACGCTTCAGAGTTTCCAGGTGATCCAAGGATTCCTCATAAGAATTCTTCATCTTAAAGAGTTCTGTGCTGAGAGAGCGAGACTCCTTCTGAGAAGCATCTAATTCAGACTGAGCTTCCTCAAATTTCTGTTTCCATTCTGCCAGGATCTGTAAAATACCAAGCAAGTAATTTATTGGACATGAGGTCTTAACACAATAGAGACCCTAATTATTCTGTTTGTTGTTGTTGCTGTTGCCAAAAAAATACCTTATCAAAGTTCTTCTGCTTCTTATCTAGAGCTGCACAGGCTGAATTGGACCTCTCCACATCAATCATAAGGTCCTCCACTTCATTCTGCAGCCTTTGTTTTGTCTTCTCAAGGGAAGCACACTTGGAATTGACAGCTTCTACGTGTTCCTCAGCATCTTGCAGACGCTGAGCAAGTTTTTTCCTAGTTAGAACATAAAAATATATGGGTGGTAAATAGTTTTGTAAACCTAAAGGAAGAAATATTATTCTATTATGAGCATGGCAATAATTTAGTGTGGTTACTGATATCTGTTGTCAACTTCAGCTTATAGAAACTTTACAAATGAGAGACTTCCAAGTTATCCCATCATGAAGCAGATCTACTCAGGTTTTGTCGACTCAGTGACTTGGCAATCTCTCATTTATGAGGTCACCATGAGTTGAGGTCTATTTGAAATGCAGTCTTCCTTCTTTCCTTCTGCCTTCTACCTTATCAAGTATTATTGTATTTTCTGGAGAACCATGTTTTCTGGTAATATGGGCAAAATATGTTGATTTACATATCTTGGCTTCTAGGCAGATTCAAGCTTGATTTGCTCTTGGACTCATTCATCTGTCTTTTTAGCAGTCCATGGCATCCATCTCCAGAAGCTGATTCCCTGTCATTTTTGCAACCCTGTGTGTCCACCTGGTAGGTCTACCTAGTTGCAATATCTTATTATGTCCAGCTTGAGTCCACATACTTGGCTTCCTCAAGTTCCTCAGTGCGCTGAATGGCATCAGTCTCATATTTGGTCCTCCATTGGGCGACTTCACTGTTTGCCTTGGACATGGCACGTTGGAGCTCAGCCTTGGCTTCTTGTTCCTCTTCATATTGCTCTCGGAGCAAATCACAATCATGGCGAGCAGATTGCAAGCCATGGGCCAATGCATTCTTAGCCTGGACAAGTGAGGAAAAGGTTAAGTTATTTGCTGAAATCTTTCCATGAAGTTCAAAGCTTCCCATTTGTTGTAGTTCCCTTTCCATGTCTTCATCATATTCTTGTTTGTACGTTCCCTTATTCTAAAGTCCTTATTTTAGATGTGTAGGTGTGAAACCTCATGCATGTTTTCAACAGGACTACTCTCTCTAGTAAATATGCTTTGGATTACAATCCAAATTTTCCCTTGTACCTAAATCTACTAACAGTTACAGTATTTTTCTTGTTCACAGCAGACTTTTCTTGTTAGCTGTATTTTATAAGAAGTTCTTACACACATGCATATTTAAAAGTGAAATACGGAAAACACTATTTATAAATGACTATGCACCTTTATTTCTTCTTCAAGCTGTCTCTTTAATTCTTCAATCTGTTGGGTGAAACCTTGTTTGCTTCTTGAGAGCTGGGAAATCAAAGAATCTTTTTCTTCCACTTGGCGGGCCAATTCACCTAAGAACAGAATAGAGAAAGGTCAATACCATAAATTAAAATGGTAGATGGAAGTTGAAGATGAACCAGATGGACTGTTTAAAAGTAATAGAAAAAGAAAGGGATTGGGTTGTTGTAGGGATTATTTCTAGCCCACTGATTTTACTAAATAGTTTAGTAAAAGTATTCATTACTTTTAAAATAGCCTTTAGTTTCTTTAAAAAAATGGTTTGAAATAGACTGAAAAATCAAAGAGTGGCAAAAATAATCTCAAAATAAAATTTAAAATGAACGTTTTATTAAGGGAATTACTCTGCAGACTTCAAAATTGTAATGGTTTTTAACTGCTATCAGTTTCCAGGCAAAGTACAAAGCGCTGGGTTCTGACCTTTAAAGCCTTACATGGTTTGGGTTCAGGTTACCAACAAGATTGCCTTATCCTGTATAATCCACCTCTTAGGATACTGAGGTCCTCTGGGGGACATTTGCTTCAACCAGTCAGAACCTGACTGGCAATGGTCATCCAGGGGACTTTTTCATTGCTCACCCATAGACTGTGGTACGACCTGCTGGAAGACCTTCAATAGCTAAATTGGCTGCCAAAATTTAAGGCATAATTAAAGACCTATATGTTCTAAAAGGCCTATCCAGTCAATTTTAAACTATGTATTTTAACTTTATATTTTATGTGAATTGGTGTTTTAATCTTGGTTGTGTGTGTGTGTGTGTGTATGTATGTATGTATGTATGTATGTATACATATAGTGAGAAGGGGGTATTGTGTTTTTTCTATATGTTTTAGCTATGTTATACACTGCCTTGAGCCATGAGGAGAGGCGGATAACAATGTTGCATATATCAGCATTGCTTCTGCTGCATTACTGTCAGGTTTTACCATAATAAGAATATCCTTTAAGATTATCCATAATTTCCTCTTTTTCCTTTCACATATCTCAAGTGGATCAAGGATGCTTTTGCTGTACAAACCTGTTTCTGTCTGCAGACGAGCTCTTTGGGCACTTAAGTCATTAATTGTCCTTTGGTGTTCTTCCTCTTTTGCTTTAACCTCACTGAGTTGATCTTCCAAGGAGCGGGATAATTTCTCAAGAGCTGACTAAAATGGGCATTAAAAAACCCAATGAAATAGTCTTCAAATAGTTTATTGTAAAAAAATCAACAAAATATGCAATTATTTAAAATTTATAATATATAAATTCAAATTTATGGCAAACACATTTCATTGCACTAAAAATAAAAATCTACACATATGTTCAAACCAAATCCATACTTGCTGTGGCAATAACTGACTTTGCAAAGATCTTGAATTTGGAAACTGTGCTATAATAGTAAATAATCTGTGATTTTTTAAAACTGTAAACACATCTAACTCATATTTTCTAGATCACATTTTATGATTTCCCTTTTTATGGGGCTCAAAAATAACTCCTATATTATTTCCAATTTCCTAAAAATTATAATACAATTCTCAGTTCAAAAAAGTAAGATGTTTTAGTATAACATAAATATAAATAAATATTACAAAATATATACAATCCGTCCCAAACACTTAAGTCTTCTGGGGAATGGCTATTGCCTACTCCAGCCTGCCAGAACCTGACTGGTGACCATCATCAAGAGGACCTTTTCATGGCTGCCCCAAGACTGTGGAATCACCCGTCAAAAGAGCTCCAATAGCAAAGTGAGCTGTTGGAATTTAAAATGCATCTGAAGACTTGTCTCTTCCGGCAGGCCTATCCAGCTAGTTTTAGTCATGAATTTTAAACTTGCCGCTTGTGTTCATTATATTTCAACCTTTGTTCTGTGTAAGTTAATATATTTATTTGAAAAAAATCATTTTAATATCAATCAAAGCAGCAATTAAATATACAATAAAAATAACATGAACATGGACAGTTTTATATTTTCTCCCATTATATTTTACCTTTGATTTTGACACAGTTTCCATGTTGCTAGCAAGGTCATCAATCTCCATCTTCAGCTCACTCTTTTCCTTCTCCAGCTTCTGTTTGACACGTTGGAGGTTATCAATTTGCTCCCCAAGTTCAGCTGCACTATCTGCATGCTTCTTGCGGAGGGCAGCTGAAGTAGCTTCATGCTGCAGGGTGGCCTCTTCAAGGTCCCGGCGGATTTTCTGGAATTCTGCCTCACGTTTCTTGTTCATCTCAATCTGGGCTGCTGTTGCTCCTCCAGCTTCCTCCAGACGCTCACTGATCTCTTCAAGTTCCCTGGAAAGGTCAGCCCGTTGTTTCTCTGCTTTGGCCCGAGATGCCCGCTCAGCCTCAATTTCTTCCTCCAGTTCTTCAATACGGGCCTAGAGAAAAAGGAACAACAACCACACATGCTCAAAAACATCTTCCAGGAGAATTAATTGTCCTTGGCAAAAAAGCATTTAGTTGACTTGCCTGTAACTCTTTGATCTTCTTCTGAAGCTGGGAGCCCAAGGCCTGTTCATCTTCAATTTTGCTTTGGAGTTGGCTGATTTCAAAGTCTTTCCTTTTAACAACATAACATAAAGTATTAATTTTCATAGTAATGGTTAAGAACAATGTGTGCCAAAAATAATTCTTAAGTTATCTTCTAGAGAAGACCTTACTTCTTAAGCTTTTCATCCATCTGCTGCTTATCATTTTCCAAATCCATTGTGGATTCCTGGGCCAGTTTCAGATCTCCTTCAAGCTTCCTCTTGGCTCTTTCAAGGTCCATACGAAGCTTCTTCTCTTGCTCCAAGGACCCTTCAAGCTGAAGAGAAAGAGTTTATGAAGACCCTGCCATGATTACACTACCTTCACCTCTGAGCTCTGCTTCTCCGTGTTCTCCTTGTGCTTACATCGTCCACTTGCTGCTCCAGCTTTGTCTTGGCCTTGGTCAGAGTATTCACTTTGTCCTCCTCTGCCTGCAGATCATCCAGGGTCTGTTGGTGGGCCTCTTGGAGGGCTTTCTTCTCCTTGGTCAGTTTAGCAATGCTCTCATCCAAGACTGCCATCTCCTCAGTGAGATTTTTTACCTTTTAGAAGTAACAGAAAGATAATACGTAATTGTGAAATATCATCACACCATACAATGTCCATACAACATTTAGACTGTTTGACCAGTTGATTTGGTTTAGTACCTTGTTTTCTGTGGCATGCTTTTCCTTTTCAACTTTAGCCAGTGTTAGCTCAAGATCATCAATGTCTTTCTTCAGCTCTGAGCATTCATCTTCAAGTTTCCTCTTTTTGGCTGTCAGTTCAGCATTCATTTCCTCTTCATCTTCTGCCCTTTCAGTCAGCTCCTTAATTTTAGCTTCCAGCTGAATTTTGGCCTTAATCAACTGATCGCATCTCTCTTCAGCATCTGCCAAGCCATCAGATTCCTATTAATAGATAACATTGAAAATAAATCTGTTTGCTCTCATTCTTTGTCTTTATTAAGTAAAGAAGGAAGTTCTTGGTGTCATTTAAATTGTATTCCTATACTCTCATGGAAAAGAATTACACTTTGAATCAGAGATTACAGCATGGCTGATAATAGACTCCTGACTAGAGATACTCAAACTCTGCCTCCATATTGAATAAACACTCACATAGAGATGGAAGAGTCTACAAGAGATGTCCAGACAAACCCCAAATCACATTGCAGCAATACACAATCAAAGCACTCCTGAGAAATCACCAACCACCCTCTGTTTAAAACCCTAGAGAAGGAGATTCCATCATGCTCTGTGGCACTGTATTCCGCTATTGAACATCTCTTACTGTCAGGAAGGAAATTGAATCAATTTTTCTGGTGCAGTAGTAAACAAGCTTTCACCCTCCTCAGTATGACATCCTTTCAAATATTTAAATATGGCTATAATGTCACCTCTTAACTTTTCTTCTCCAGACTAAACATACTCAGCTCCCTAAGCTGCTCCTCATAGATTTTGATTTTCAGACCTTTTACCATCTTGGTCCCCCACTGCTACTATCACCTTCTTTTGCAAGCCCAAGTGTCTCCAGAAATTTAATAAGGTGGGGGGAAGACGGGAGTTCTTAAGTTCTAGCAGAGCACTTTATCCCACCAGGGTCTGGATTAGGGTTTGTAATAACAAGCTAGAGTAGAACCACCAAATCACTGGCTGAAAAAATAAGTCAATATTTTTATGCACCCAATCGATTTGATTGGCCTACTTTCATAGGAACTAGCAACTTCAATGCAGAAATTATGCCCTGCTGTAGGTTCCAGGAACAGCACTCCTCCCTTCAATGGCTGTGCCATTATGAAATGATGGAAGTTGGAGTATCTTAATAAAGGAACTCATGACATAATCTGGACACTTTTATCCAAGAAATCGAAGAGAGGAGCTGAAGCGGAAAAAGGAAGATACATGGGATGCTGGATGTGGTAAAATTAAACAAAAGAGGAAGAATGTCTTGAGGTGAGATTGGAGAAAGAAAACAAAAGGGAAAAATTCAAAAATAGAAGAAACAAAAATACCAGAGTAAAAATAGAAAAAGAAGGGATAGGGCATATTGATGTTTCTTCTTCCCTTTCGTCCACCACCTTGTGCTTTATCGTGGGTCCCAGTCACTGGCAACTAATGGTTCTCATTTGAATGGGGCAATTAATCCACTCCAGGTTTTAGTCCATACTTAATAGGAGCTATTGAAAGTACTGAGCCCAAACCTTGGATAGCACCTTTTCAGATCAAACAAAAAACCCAAAGTGGATTGACCACCCCATTGACCTGGAAGCCACCAAATATCAGTTTTGAAAATGGATCATTATTTTCAGTGAAGCCTATATTTAGCTATGCTGTATCCTTATTGATTGGATCACAGATGAACAGAGAAACAATGTCACAAAAATGCTTACAGACTGGACTTGGAGCTGCAAGTCATTCTTCTCTTGCATCAGGGACACCATTTTTTCTTCAAGTTCCTTCCGTTTGGCCTCTGATTTTGCAAGTTCTTCTTTTGTTTTCTCAAACTCTTCTTTCATATTGGCCATCTCCTTCTCGGACTCAGCACTCTTCAGCAGAGGCTTTATCTTGAAGTACAGTTTCATCCATGACCAGGTTTTGACATTCATGAATGAGCGGATATTGTACTGAATAGAATAGATAGACTCTCTGTAGGGAAGAGAAAATAAATCTTGAGACTAATTCCAGAATTAACTGGGACATTGGAACAAAGGTTTGGTATTTACAGTTCATTAATCTATTAGCTCAGGTCTTTGTTGCTGCTATTAGAATCTCAATAAGGCAACATCCTACCTCCTTTCATTCATTTTCTTGAACTCCAGTCTCATCACATAGCCACGACACACAGCTTGTGTGCGTGTAATCAGTTGGGCCAGTTTGTCATCTCTCATCTCCTCTAGAGTACCCAGGAGCCCAGCTTTAAAGAACACCTGTCAGAAATAAAATGTTATAAAGTACTGACTCCTCAGTCAACAAATCCAAATGGTATATTATTTTGATAGGAAGTAATTTTACCTTGGTGTGGCCAAATTTATACTGGGTGTGATCAACATCAATGGACCCAAGAAGTTTCTCAGAAGCCTTCTTGCTGTCAATGAATTGGCCTTCTGGGATGGCACTTGCATTTAATATCCTGTATCTGTTTAGAGAAGCCCCAGGTTTTTATTTCATTAAAGCATAATAACAATTGGAACAAATTACCTTCATGGTTATTATTATCAGATAGAAGAAGAAGAAGAGGAAGAGGAAGAAGAAAATTTTAACTATACTACCTTATGTCCAGGGAACCTGTTCTAAATATTTTGTTTGTTTACTATGGCAGATCAAGTTTTGACTCCCTATTCAGCCATGAAAACCACCAGATGGTCTTGGGGAAGTCACATTCTGAGAGGGAGGCAGTGACAAACCCCTCAACCCTTGTTCACACAAACAAAAGCATATCTTTCTTGATTGCCCATCAAGGGAACCACAAGACCATTCATTGCATCCAACTCCAAACTCAGCTGAAAATCCAACAATTGGCACATTTAGACTGACCACTTAGGCCTGTGTGAAACTGGCAGAGAAGGAAGTGGCTTCATCATGAGGATGATTAGTTATATCGAATTTAATAATCCAGTTCATAATAATAACCAATTATGGATTTTGTATTGCATCATTTTTTGTAGCATGCTAGAGCTTCAGGAGAAACTAGGGACAGCAGTAACAGTTAGGTGCTGTCACTAATGAATCTATCAACAATCATCTACATCAACCATTTAATCTGAAGGCAGATTGGCAGCATAATGTGTGTGTGTATTTATTTATTTATTTACTGTATTTGTATACCGCCTTTCTCAGCCAATTGGCGACTCAAAGCGGTTTCCAACAAAACAGTATACATAAAACATAATAGATAAAAAACATTAAACAGTATAAGAACATCCCATCCTATCCTCACTCACTTAACTTCATGTACTTATCCTTATGTAAGATATTTTAAATTGACTTACTAGGAAATAGTAACAATTGGCCATGAACTGATATCTGTGTAAATTTGTTTAATAGTGCATATATTTTAAAATGTTCAGAAGCATAATAATAGAATGTTGCAAGGCCTACTAACCTTTGTTTGAAGTCACCGTAAATGATTCTGCTAGGGAATCCCTTTCTGCAAATTCTAATACCTTCCAGCACTCCATTACACCTCAGCTGGTGCAATACGAGCTCATGTTCCATGGCACCTTAGAGGATATTAGAGTACAATTAGCATTACAAGATAGGATTCAGTGGGTTCAGTGCTATATTACATGTTTCTTTTTATTACAGTGTACTAATTTGCATTACCAGGAGTTTTAGTTTCATTGGGGATGAGGCAGCGCACAAAGTGAGGATGAGTGCTCCTCAGATTGCTCATCAGCTTGTTTAAGTTCTCCTATGGGACCAGAAGGATTTGTTATTTCTACATATGAATGAAGTGAAATTCACTATAAAACTTCCATAAATAATTTTTAAAGTGAGTAATACATTCACATTTTGAGACAAGAAAACTTATATGAGACTTCAGGTCATGTTCACAATTCTCTTAATTATATCTCATTCACACATAAATTTCTCTTTGAACAATTAATAACATGTTTAGAATCTTTTTAGGGATTCTGCAATTGAACACCCTACCCTTGCATCATTACTTTTGCAGGCCTTATAAAGCTTAATGTGAAAAATATAGTGGCATACCAAAGCTATCTGTAACGAAGCAGTCTCAGGATACTATTATTGATACTCACTGCTCAGTTACAGATGGATCCTGCATGTTGTCATATTTACTATTCCTAATAGTATCCTTCAGACCTCTGCTTCTAGTTTTTTCCCCTTTGGCTTTGTTTTGATTATATAATTTGGGTGTATTTCCAGATAAGCATTTACCAATTTAAAATAAATATGTTCCCCTTTCACAAGTAGAAGAAATTGTACTTACCCTAAAGAGAGCAGACACAGTTTGGAAAGAGGAACCCTTCTTCTTTCCAGCCTTCTTGCCACTGCCCTCTATATAGCATTTAAAAATCAAAATACAAAATAATTAGATATCCTTTGAGCAATTAAATAGAATTGGGCAGATAATAAAATTATATAATAAAGAGCTATCTTCTATGGAACTGTTAGACGACTGTTATGGCTGAGGGACCTAGCTTCTGTTCAGATCTGTGATCAAGAATCACCTTCTGGGGGGCGATCAGCAAAGAGTAAGGCCAGTGTCTTCATAGATGATTTCTGGTAGAGCTGGATGACAGTTTCATTCAAGGGGTCCTTGTTCTTCTCCAGCCAGCCACTGATGTTGTAGTCCACAGTGCCAGCGTAGTGCACCAGGGCAAAGTGGGCCTCTGCTTTGCCTTTGCCTGGCTTGGGCTTTTCAAAGTTCTTGCACTTGCCCAAATGCTGGTCATAGAGCTTGTTCTTGAAAGAAGTGTCTGTTGCCTTGGGGAACATGCACTCTTCTTCTAGGATGGAGAAAATGCCCATGGGCTGGAGAGAAACAATGATAGCCAACAAATACAAGATTAGCAAATGAAATTAATCTGGGAAAAAGCAAATGTTTCATTGTAAGCATTCAAAAAAATTAAATACTATGAAACTAACAAATGCCATAACTCTTCAATAAGCTTGACAAATGTAGATAATTGTAACTTTCTTAATAATTATTGGGATTTGTAAATATCTGAAAAAATTACTTATTTTTAGAATTTAAGATGATCTCAGTGTATTCCTAAATTCAGGACTGATTGTGCATATGGTATATTCATGTTAAACAAAATATAGTAAGAAACCTTTTCAATGAGTTCAATGCAGGCAGCCAAATCCATTCCAAAGTCAATGAACTCCCATTCAATTCCTTCTTTCTTGTACTCCTCTTGCTCCAGCACAAACATGTGGTGGTTGAAAAACTGTTGCAGTTTCTCATTAGTGAAGTTGATGCAGAGCTGCTCCAAGCTGTTAAACTGGACAATGCAAACATATTTTAAAATGGCACCACAGTTTTTAGCAATCTTCTTAATCATATTTCCTTCAACCTTAGTGTTACTTTTCCCCATCCTTTTTACATTTTTTTTCAAACTTAGCTAATGGCTAATACTGTTCCTGGCAAATATTTAAGTTCTAAAAGTTTTGGTCAAGATTAAACATACACATTCAGTTCCCACTTTTAACGCTAACTAGTGCTCTCCTTACACTCTACCCTGGACCTAGAGATGCCTTCGTTTCATCACCATGTCTTTTGGCCAAATCATTTCAACAATTTCCTGTTTGTGCCAGGTATTTCTGTGCCAGTCATCATTATTTTTGGCAACTTGAAAACAATTTCACTCCTTCAGTGCCTTTGCGTTCCAAACATGGTTGAACTTTTCATACTTCAACTGCTAAACACATTTAAAATTCCCACATCTTGTTTAATACAATGAAGGTGAAGGCCCCATTTCCTTACATCAAAAATTTCAAAACCAGCAATATCCAACACCCCGATGAAATGCTGTCTGGGCTGCTTGGTATCCAGCTGCTGGTTGATACGAATGACCATCCACAAGAACATCTTCTCAAAGACAGCTTTAGCCAAAGCGCCAACATTGTTGTATACCTACAAAATGTATTCAGAGAGACTCTGGTCAACATGCAAATTAAGTAATAATCCATTGCAAGCCTTGTAATGAAGATGGTCATTACCTGCTGGACAGTTTGACCTTTGGTGACATATTCATTGCCAACCTTGACCCTGGGGTAGCACAGAGCTTTCAATAGATCTGCTGAGTTGAGGTTCATGAGGTAGGCTGCCTTGTCCGCAACTGAGAACAAAGGTAAGCAGATAAATTTTATGAACCCCATGTGTATTATTTATGTTGGAAGAAGGTATGTACAAACAAACATTTTTGATAGTCTTAGCAAGAAAACAGCATTATGATAGGCCTTGCAAGAAATAAGAAGAGAAAAATAGTTGCAGAATATTTTATGATTACCAGGACAATTCTATACATATTTTTTCTGTGTCAGGTCCCACTGAGTTAAATGGGACTTATTTCCAGTTTATTGTCAAATAAGATTGAAGGCTTTGAGTTCTGTTCCTGTGCTTCAGCTGTTCCAATGGAAGGAAGGAGCAGCTGAGGGCTGTGGCTGTTAATCTTTTTGCTGATATTTCCATCCCAAATAGTACAAATACCTTCAGTGCCATCTGGCTCAGCCTGCTCCTCACGCTGCTTCTGCTTGAACTTCATGTTTCCATAGTGCATCACAGCTCCTGTCAGTTTGTAAATGGCTGTTTTTTCCTCAGCTGAGAAGCCCAAGATGTCAATGGCACTCTGACAATTTAATAATAATTTGTGAGTTAATATTATTTGGGTTACCACACAATTGTATGCCAAAATCTGACCTATTCATTATACTTACATCTGTAGCCATCAGCTCTTCCTGATCATCTATGCTAGCTACAGTGATTTCCCCTTGACTGACATAACTGAAGTCATAAGGGTTGGTTGAAATGAGAAGCATCTCTGAAAAGAGAAAAAAACACATATAGTAGTTTTTACACTCAGTATATAAACAATTCATGGCAATATTTTCACAAAAATTAAATATTCTACTAAGCAGAAACTCATACCAATCAACTCTGGTTTTTTGTTGGACATAATTTGATAAAAGATGTGGTAGCTTCTTTCAGCTTTCAGCTGGAAAGTAACTCTGGACTTCTCCAGCAGATCTGTGAAGAAAGAAGAAACAGAAGTCATCAAATAAGAAACAGGAAGGAAGGAAGGAAGGAAGGAAGGAAGGAAGGAAGGAAGGAAGGAAGGAAGGAAGGAAGGAAGGAAGGAAGGAAGAGAAAGAAAAGATAGGCTACTTACATGTCTCAATGTCAGCAGAAGACAATTTGCCTGTGGCACCAAAATGAATTCTGATGAATTTACCCTTTTAAAAAGAGGAAAAAGAATACATTTACAAATGATAAGTGACTGGTTTCCCAAAGGTTTACTGGACACTTATTATAAGTTACAATCTGAGAAGACAGTATACCTAGCAAAAGTGAAGAGAAAGTACAGACTTACAAAACGAGAAGAGTTGTCATTCCTCACAGTCTTGGCATTTCCAAAGGCTTCCAGCAAGGGATTGGCACTGATGATTTGATCTTCAAGGGTACCCTGCAATGAAAATATCAGTTACATTGTTTTCAGTCAAACAGAAGTCACCCTTTTGTGAAAAAAAAAAAACATACTTGCAGGTTGCCTTGTGTAAGTGGTTCATCTTTTTTTCATTTTATTTACAAACATACCTGTATTTTACTTTGGGCCACTGGGGCTTCTTCCTTTTTCTTGTCACCTGTGCATGCAATTGTTGCAAAGTACTGAATGACACGTTTCGTGTTCACAGTCTTTCCAGCACCAGATTCTCCACTGTTGACAAAAGCATAGTACTATATGTAATTAAAGAGGATTAGTAGCCAATAACCACCCATTTTTCACAGTGGGTTAAATAACTAGAGGGCCATATGAGTAAATGATTAAAATATTTCTCTCTTGGAAAACAAAGATTATCTGGCATCCTGTTCACTAAGATCATAAACTGTGGATTTGTATTTATGGTTGTTAACAACTGAAAATGACTGCTCCACCTTACCATTTCATCATGACAGCGCTTCAGACGAAGAGTTCTGAGGAGGTGCAGATCAGGAAACTAGGAAGTGATATCTTGAGATAAGCAGCTGTGCAGAGTCCTGGGGGATCCTTCAGCTGTCTGTTCCTGGTGTGCCTTGTGCAACTCAGGCCCCTTCCACACAGCTGAATAAAATCTCGCATTATCTGCTTTGAACTGGGATATATGGCAGTGTGGACTCAGATATTCCAGTTCAAAGCAGATATTGTGGACTATTTTGCCTTGATCTTCTGGGTTATGTGGCTGTGTGGAAGGGCCCTCAGATGTTATTCCTGTTTCCCCATCTGCACTATCCTGGAAACTCTTACTGTCAGGCCAAAATGGTAAGTGTAGGAAAGATAACCTTTTCAGATACAACTATGACAATTGAGTTCTATCATTATAATTACTTCTGATGATGCAGAACTTTGGCCATTTTCTATGGAAATTGATGTAATTGGCAAGGTAATAGGTGATATGTTACAGTGGAAAACTTTATATGGATCCCAATAAAAGAAACAAACTTACGTGATCAGGACTGACTGATTCTCACGATCTGGAAAGAGATGTTAGTAGAGAGACTTTTTAGAATATTATGGCTACACTTTGAAACAGAGACTAATTTAATTAATTGAGACCATGGTTTGGATATAGTTATTTTATGATAAATAACAAATAGCTGAGATAAAGCCAGGATTGTGTGTTTGATTTGTTACCACCAGAGCTCTAAGCAATAGTACAGAATTTTATTAAACATACAATTCCCATAATTTGGAAACCTTAATCATCTGTTTGTGTATTTTAAAACACATATATAGTCATTAATGCCTGCAAAGATATACTTGACTGCAGAGTAATCAAAAATGAAAGTTCAGCTAGGTTGAATTCCAGTGGCCCAAGTAGTTTCTGTCTTAACTATTAGGAAAACTAGAATGAATTGTGCAAAACATTCCAGCAGCTTTGAGTGCCTGCTGACTTCAATGACACAGAGAAATAAAAGTCAGTGTCACCCACATATTGATAGCACACAACTCCAAAACCCCAACTGACCTCACCAAGCAGCTTTATTTACATCTTGGAGAATGATATAAAAACCTGCAGTATCTTGCAGCTTAACAGCCTTGGGGCTAAACAAAAATCCCAAAATGCTACTCTCTTCTATCAGTGTCTCATACTCCCATTCCCCAGAATGTGTGTATTTGTGTATCTTCCATTGAAATGTTTTCTAAAACATGTATTGTTTATGTTAAACAGTGTAGGAGGTCCCATCATCTGTTTACAAAATTAATTGCAGCACTTGACCAGAAGAGGCATTCCAACTTTGTTTTTCTTTTCTTTCTTTCTGCCAAAAAAATAATAACAGGCCTGGGAATTTTGGAGGTACTAGGAATGATTCCACCCACTGAAAGTATTTGGAGTGGCATCATATGCCCCCTGAAATCTGTCCATTGCTATAGTAAATATAGAATTACTGTAGTGACAGTAAACAAGATCCACCATGTGAACATTATGTGTTTTAACATATTGCGAATGAGAGGCAATCCTTTGGCTGTAATTAATAACAAAGGATAAACAAAGCAATTTTAAACCCCAGAACTATTCACTGAAGCAGTTAGGGATTATTTGAATGCGATTGTCTACTATAAAGCTCATGGAGCTACTGCCAGAGGTGTTTCTGCCATTGCAAGCATATAAAAAGCTCTAAAACTGGATGAAGAGTAAGAGGAGAACCATGTGCCATTGGATCAAAACTCCCTTGAGAACCCCCATGATCACATCCTTCATATATGACACTCAAGAGCTGACATAGGCAGCTTCATAACTAATTGAGAGGGGGAAAGTTCATTCCCCAAAAAACGGAGAAACCCTTCTGCCTTGTAGGGTTTAGGATCTTATGGCTGAGGATACAGATCTTTGAGAGTGCTCCATACATCCTGTAATTTAACACCCATTTTCATATACCATACTAGCTCTGCAAAATTGTTTAATATGGAAATTGGAAAGCAAACAGAACAATCTTATGAACTATTGAATACAACATGTTTCTTCATATACTCAAGGAATATTAGTACTACTTATGTGAATAGGGACTTCATCACACAATTAAGTGCAAGCGTGCTAGGACAGCTGATTGACAGAGCCCCACGCCCATCCCATGATGCAGGCAGACTTCCAGCAAGGCTCCATCAATGAACTGGGATGCAAGAGTCTTATGACGCTGTGCCCAGAACATGGGAGGGCTCCTGTTTTCTATTTGGAACAATGGGGCCAGTGCGGAGGGAAGCCGTGTAGTGATGATTCCCTCCGTGTGATGGGGAAGCATCTCTGCCAGCAAGGTGGGGCACTGGGATTGCCTCACTGCCCCACCAATTCACCACGGAGTCTGGCAAATCACCCCAAGGGATCTTATCAATATGATGAGGTACCAAGATTTGCAATGTGGCAATAGGCATTCTGCTCTAGGCATTAGATTAGATCTTATCATTTATTTGCAAAGTTTATGTGTTCAAAGCAATTTATAAATGACGGGCCTATGACCATCATTCTTTTTCAACTGGCTGTAACCTGACTTTTTGTTTGTGGTAATTATAAATAATTTCCTCATAGATGTTGCCTCAAGTATCAATTTAAAAACACATACATGTAAAAAATCAAATTATCATACTTAATGATAATTGACATTAAAACATGAAAGGAATTAATTTTTTGTTTGTTTTCTCCTTGATAGCTGACCCTCTACCATATTTTGGTGAAAAGTAGAGTCAGCATCACTCCATGGGAAGGAATTAAGCTGCAAGTGAATTAGCACTTATTTTTTCTGAGACAGCTCTTTAATGCTGATGTAATTATTTGCTATCTTGTCTGGGTTTCACATGTCCCAGAAAGATTGACACTTCTCCTGGGAATATATTACCGTAATTCCCTCAAATTAATTCTTCTACTCACCAGTTAACATGAACTGATACGCGTTGTCAGAGATGGAGAAGATGTGGGGAGGAGCCTCCTGACGCTTCTTGCCCCTGTAGGCAGATACCACCTCAGGGTTGTACACTGGCAGCCACTTGTAGGGGTTGACAGTGGCACAGAAGAGGCCAGAGTAGGTCTGTAAGAAGAGCAGAATAATTAATTTTATTGTGTCAACAATACTGTAGCACAACAGGACTTCACAGGACTGAACTGCTTTAACTTTTTCATCTGCAAGGTTGGCATTGTTATCAGCCACCACCCTCAGGCTATCCTGTTCCCTTTGATTTTAGTTACAATTATGTTTCTGACAGTAGTTGAGGCTATAGATGGGAGGAATGAATCATCCAAGTAACTATTGCTGTTGTAATCCAAAGTATTCTGGGATGACTTGGTTTTGGATAGGAAATTAATATGTATTAAATTAAGAAAAGACCCAGTCTTGGTGGAAATGGGAATAGCTAGAACTGGTTTGTTGACCAACACAACTTGCAATTTTGGAGATGTGACATTAAGATATCACAATTTCATAATTTATCAATACATTACATATCAATACTATTTCATAGGCCTGGGTAACAACGGAAAAATTTGTTTCTAAAATCGATTTGTATTTGGGGGTTTTTTTTGTTTCGATATTTAAAATAATTACAAAATTTTCCTTTTAAAAAGTTCAATATTTACGAAATTTCGTAAATGGTAAAAAATTAACGAATCGATTTCAGAAACAATAACGAATCAATTCGTTAATGGCGGACGCGACCGCGAAATACGCTAAAAAACCTCCAAAACCTTCTGAAGCTTCCCTCTCCCTCTGTTGTTGACTGTTGGTGTGATATTATATTTTTTTTCACTAATTAAACCATAAAACTGGCCCAGACATGCGGAAATAATAACGAAACGACCTCAAAACAATAATGAAACGAATACAATATCGAAATACGAAGCATTTACAAAACGTTTTTGAAAATTCGTTTTTTTTAATAATTGCTCCAGAATGGTTCGTTATCGTTTTGTAATTGAAAAAATTAACGAATTATTAACGAATTACGAATTAACGAAACGAAACCGCCCAGCCCTACTATTTCATATTTTATCAATACATTAGCCGTCCTGAGTCCCTCTGCAGAGGTTGAGATAGGACGGGATATAAAAGCCCTAAATAAATAAATAAATAAATAAATTTTTGTCTGCCTGTTGTTGATATTTTCAATATCATAACATGTTTTTTAAATTCCAAAATGCAGGAAACTGATGTCTTAAAATTTAGCTCAATAAAAGGATAGACAAATGCTAATTCAGAATATATTTACATAGATCATCCAGGCTGCATAACGCTCTTTGAGGTTATACAAGACTGCAGGTTCATGGAGGTGGGTCATCATGGCCATGTCCTCAATCTTGTCATATTTGGGAGGATTCATGGAAAAGACTTGATCATCTTTTACTGTTACAGTCTGGAAAAGAAAGAGCAGAACAGTTTATATCTTCGAAAGTGGAAAGGTGAAAACAAATTACAGTACTGTATTTATTACATTTTACTCACTTCTCCCTTTTCAGTCTTGACTGTGACTTTCCCTCCTTCCCTGCTCTGGACCGTGCCTTTGACATAGGACTCCTTAGGATCCACCACAAAAACCGAGTTCTTGGCATCAAAGGGCTTATTCTGAGACTCAATTCTTTCTTTTTCTGACTTTCGAAGGAAAGGGGCAGCCTCCCCGAAGGCTGCCATTTCAGCGTCTGACGACATGGCTGAGAGTTATGATGTGCAGCTCAGCCAATAAAAAAAATCTGAAACAAATAAAAATATTAATCACTTTGTGAAAATGTGGGGATACTTCCAAAGGTCTTTCTCAAGTACTTTCTTCAAGGCCTATAATTTCATCCTGAATTGAAGTTCTGATCATTCAATGCAGCTTCAAAATGACTTGAAATTGCAATGGTCATAAAACACACCACCGCGGATTAAGGAGGTTGTAGTGCATTAAAGAAACTCATGGGGAAGTGTCAAAAAAGCCTTTTAATGTGCGGCAGCAGATCTCAATATAACCTAGATCACAGAACAAAATTGACTCAGCAGAATGCAAGGTGCTTTGCAAACTCCAAAGCGGGGGGGGGGGGGGGGTGCCAAAAATGTCCCAAAAGCATGGCTGGCCAGCAGAGGGCTAATTGACCCACTGGGAGAAGTAACTGATTACCTCCACGTCTATAACTTTTCCTTTTTTCCCCACCTCCTATGTCTCTGGAGTGCTAATCTCTCCTGAAAATAGGGGAGTAACCATTCACCTGGCCTCAAACGAATTCCAGACCTGTTAATCTAGACACCTGTAAAACAAGACTGGTTCCTCCCAAATCGGTTCTAAACAAACATAAGTGGTTAGTGTAGATGTGTCCATAATTTGTGTGTGTTCTGTAGAATCTGCCCTGTACACTTATGTCCTCTGAGCAGGCATGTAGCCGGGGGGGGGGCTTGAGGGGCTTCAGCCCCCCCCCCCCAATTCTCATGGTGGTTCGCGAAAAGGCCTTACTGGTTCATTATTTAAACTGTTATGTTTATTCATATCATGATCTGATCACCATACTCAATATATCCCATATGCATGGGGGTATTGGGTTAATGATACAAAAGGTTTGCTAGGGTAGACCCTCTTTCACTCAGACTCAGCCCCCCCCTGAAACAAACTCAGCCCCCCCCCCCCCGAATCGAAATTTTGGCTACGGGCCTGCCTCTGAAGGATGCTTACTTCAACCAGTCAAAACCGGATTGGTAACCATCACCCAGGGGATGTTTTATTGGCTGTCCTGAGACTGTGGAATGACCTGCCAGAAGAGCTCTAACCGCTAAATAATCTGTCAGAATTTAAAATGCGATTAAAGACCTCTCTCTTCCAGTAGGCCTACTTAGTCAATTTTATATTATGAATATTAAATTTACTGTCTATTAGTTTTAATCTTTTAAATGTATATTTTAGTGGTATTTTGTTTTATCCGAGTGTTCTAACTGTTGTAGCCCAGCTTGAGCCATGGGGACAGCCAGCTTACAAATATCACTACTACTTCTTCTACTACTACTACTAATACTACTTCTACTACTACTACTACTACTACTAATAATAATAATAATAATAACAACAACAACAATAATACTTGCTGAATTCTATACCTTATATTAGTTCATTTCCATGGGATTTGTTTCATTATTCATGATACTAGATAATATAAACTGATAATGAATGCCCAAGGAGTAGCCAAAGCTAAATCATCATTTTAATTTGAGGGATGCACCATCTTTTAATTTCTTGCAAACTGCACTGAGAATTGCTGTAGCAAATGAAGAACGGGATATGAATTGTTCTCATAAATAAATAAAATAAGTGGTTACTGTTGAAAGTAGGTTAAGGATTCAGGCTTGTTAAACTTTTTAATGAGTAAATTATAAAAGTATATTTAATTAATCAAATATTGTCATTTTTTCAGTTGTATTTTTATCTTAAACATTTGAAGTCAACAAGACTAAGTTAACTAGGATTCAAGCAACTAGAACTCTCAAGAAACCAGCAAAAGAATTTAAGAGATAAAACTGCATTCACAAAGCTGTTTCTATACTACAGTAAAACTGTGTTAAAGTTAAGTTTGTCTTTAGTTGCTTTTAATTTTTTAATTACTGTATTTGTAGTGTTAATATCAACTCAATACAAAGTTTATAGTATGGTATAGCATGGGGTATAATATTAGTTAAACTTATTTTTAATGGTAAATCTAGAGTAACCAGAAATAACATTAATCCGGCGTCTACCAATCCCCGTGGGTGCCAGATATCTGAGTGTCTACTGTAATAACATTTTAAGGAAAAGCTTAACATGATGTTGTCTGTAAATCTCTCCCATAAAGCATCCTTTGAGAATTTGACCTATCAATTTGTGTTGCTCCAGACATTCTTTTGCGAAGGGCTGGGTTAGTAAGGGTATCAGTATCGTTGAGAGAACTATCTTAATTCCTATCTCCTGCTAGCACGAACTATGATGTAACCTCACAGAATCCTTGAAGCAGTTTGTCTCTTTCCTTATTTACTGCAATAATATGCCACCTTTCTCTAGGTGTGAGACCCAAGGCAGTTTACAATCAATAAAACAAAATTAGCTAACAGCATAACAATATATTTAAGCACAATTAAAATATTGCAGTATTATATTAAAATAATAAATAAAACTGAAAAAGATATTAATAAAAAACATAAAATAGTTTAATTTTGAGTATCCACTTATCTCCCCCCACTTCCAGAAGCACCTTCCCTGCAATATTTGCTTGTTAAAAGTTTGAGTGAGCCAGGCTAGCCTCCCATGGTATGGGAATTCCTGAATGTGGAAACAGCCACTGAAATTAAGACTCCCATGTCCTCAGCAGGTGGACCTGTCTGAGTGGTCGAGTGAGAGAAAGCCTTCCTTTGAGAGTGGTGGCTTCAGAGTGGCTTTCATACAGGGCTTTATCGGTCATTATCTGCACTTTAAATTATGCCAAAAATGAACCACTAGCAATTGGAGGTGTTTCCATAAGGGATTATATGGTCCCAGTTTGCATTCTACCTGTGGCATTTTGGACCCACTGAAGTTTCCAAAGAGTTCCCAAAGATAGCCCATGTAGAGTGTGCTGCAATACATAATCAAGGTGTGTGTTGCCACAGCTAGATCCAACTTCTTAAGGAAGGGGTATAACTGGAGCACTACTCTTAACTGTGCAAATGCATTCCAGGACACCACAGAAATCTGTGTTCTACACTGAGCCAGGAATACACCCCAGTTGTTAATTTGATTAGGAGCCCTTGGTGGTGCAATGGGTTAAACTCTTGAGCTGACACAACTGTGGACCCAAAGGTCTGAAGTTCAAATCTGGGGAGTGGGGTGAGCTCCTGTCTGTCAGCTCCAGCTTCTCATGTGGGGAATTGAGAGAGGTCTCCCACAGGATAGCAAAACATCTGGGCGTCTCCTGGGAAATGGCCAATTCTCTCACACCAAAAGCGACTTGCCATTTCTCAAGTCACTCCTGACACACACACAGAAAAAGAATTTAAGGGGAGTCTTAACCTCATCAGCATAGGCAGGATCTTTATTCTCTGATCTACCTATTGAGTTGCATGCACATGCCTCCCTGGTGTGTATTGGCTATGCTCAGGGATGAACTAAATTGGGGTCTTACCTTGTGTGCTATCAGGTGAATAACAATGCAGGGTCAAGCTGGCCAATACTGAAAAATAAAAATAATAGATCCTTTATCACTGGTTGAGCAATAAATGACAAGGTAGAAATGGATGAAGGCAGATTTTAAATCCTTATTGACACAGGTAGTCTCTGCTCATGAGTACAGAAGGCAGCAGGAATGCACTAGGCTGGGAAGTATTTGGAGGAAGATCCAACTCCTTTTAAACTCAAGCTCCTCACACACTTACCTTCAAGCTGTTGGTGCAAGGACGTAAGAGGTTGGAACCAGGGCTACTTATATAGGACGTGATTTGCATACACAGCAGCCGCCCCTTCTGCCTAAGGTTAAAACCCTTTTGGCAATCTTAACTCCTATCAGGATTCCCATTCATATTTGACGTGAATAGATATAATTAGACAGATCTGCTCCATGAATCAATCTATATATAACTTGACAAGAGGAGGGGGGGAAGTGGGTGGTTGCCTATATATTCTCCCTGAAGAAGAAGCGATTCAAAAGAATTCCTGTTATTTATGAAGCAAGAAGCTGGATTAAAAATTTGAAGAAGAGTGAGAAAACTTTTCCTGTACTTTGTAAGAGAAATCTTTAGAAGCAAGAAGTTAGAAGAGCACTTCAACACTGATTGAGATATCCTAGGAATATCCTAAACTAAAGGCACTAGATTTTGCCTGATCTGGGAGGCTCAGCAGAGTTAACCCTGGATAGTACTTGGATGGGACACTGCCAACAAATACCAGGTGCAATAGACGATGTTTCAGAGGAATGAACTGACACAATCGCCTCTGATCAATCCTTGCCTAAGAAATCCTGTGAAATTCATGAAGTTGCCATAAGTCAACAGGTCACACACACACACATACACACAGTTCGCAGATAAAGGATCTTGGGAAATGAGAAAAGAGGAGACGAAAGTTATGAATGTAAGAAGTTAATAGAGTCTAGAGCAGTTAATTTAATGACAGATTGTAGGATCACTGCTCTAATGTTTGAGATCAGTGGGTATAAAATGCTGTGAAAGCATGTGGAAAAGACTAGGAGATACATACTGAAAAGTTTCTTACACTGTCAGAATTACAGAAGAGAAATGTAGAGACTTATTATTATGGGAGCAATGGAAAGCTAACCAATCATTCAAGAAATTTGTATATACTTACTGTAGTAGAATGGATGTCAATTATATTGTGCAAAGGAAAAGGCTGGTGAATGTAAAGTAGAGCTAATATTTGTAACTATTTAAAATCTGCTTAACAGTTTCGCTGTTCAATTATGCACTATCATTTTAAATATGAATTGACCACTCAAATTTGTATTTCAAATTAATATTAAAATCTGAATATGGCAGACGGGTTGGTGTCTGTCACTCAGGCAACATTAGAAAACTGATCTATAAAGTAGTCTAGCTATTAATCGTTAAAAATTAATTACAATATAATCCAGCAAAATTTTAAATTATGTATTTTATTATATTATTATTTTTAGTTCTTAGTTTGCTTTGTTTTTGATGTTCATGTGTTTATTCTATTTTTGTTTTTGTTTTGTACTGTTACTTATTTTTTGTAAGCTGCCCCAAGTCCTGTTTGGAGAGGGAGACGGGATATAAATAAAGATTATTATTATTACAAAATGACACCACTGCATGTTTGTTTGTTTTTTTGCTGTGTCCTTTCAGATTCTTGCATGCCAACCACCACATAAAGGTTTTAAAAATTACCAAATGCTAACAATCAAATAACTGTTAACATTCCAATATCTTAGCTTCTCCAATATAAAATACTGTAATTTATAGTAAGTCTGCAAATCTGTGGTCTTGTGAATAGCATCACAGAAGCTATGTGCCCCCCTCTCCATTTTCCTCTTTCCCAAAACAAAAGTGCTGGTGTACAGAGTAATATGTATTGGACTAGCTTATTAGGAGATAGAGGAAATAACACTGGAAACTAGAGAGCACCCCCTCCCCATGTAGAAGCACCATATTGGTGCTGAAGCCTTTTCTTTGGCTTTGGAAATAGTAGGGGACAACCTCAATCAATCAGGAAGTTGCCCACTGAGTTTGCATGACACTGTCATGCATGTTTTCCCCTGCCATTGTATACACAAACTCAGAATGCTTCTCCTACATTATTGCCTTATACATCCCCTTCCTATAATATAAAAGTGACACTGATTTCCATTTAAAAGGACATGTACAGATGCATCCTTAGAAACAATTACTTTTATTTAAATCTAATTACAGCACCTCTGAATATAGTGTGAAAGCTATGACCATATAGTCTATTCAGTGTGCTGTCCAGGTGACACCCAGAGATGGAGCAAAACTGTCAGTTACTTTTTCTCACATATCCAAATTTTGTACACCTCAAGTTATTTTCATCTCCTATAATAAATGTGGTAAAGTGAAATGAAATTCTCAAACATCTGCACAAGCAAAATGAAAGAAATATAGCTGTTATTGGTGACTTCCATGTACAAGTGGTGGTGAACGTCCTCTGGATTTTGGACATATTATAAAGCAGGGGTTCTCAAAATGTGCTTCATTGAGCCCTTGGGGCTCCATGAGTGATAGTCAGGGGCTCCACAGTGCCATGCTGCTTCCCGTCTCCTCCTCTTTTCCCCTCCTCCTCCTGAAAAATGCAGGGAAGTTAAAGTTTGGAGCTGCCTAAACAGCCGCATCCTCCTAGGGCACAGACTCTCTCTCTCCCACCTCCCTAATTGCCCAGACTCTTTTCCTTGCCACCTAGGCCCTTCCTCCCCCGCTCACCTTCTTTATGTTGGTTAATTTTTTCATGTTTTTTTTTCCAATTAGTTCATACAAATACTCTCCATCTATCTGCCACTGACCCAGCCTGTCTGTCAAATTTTAAAATTCAGTGCAGCCCCTATGTCCAAAAGTTTGCCCATGCCTGATATATATACATTATATATAATGTATAATATATAGACATTTATTGGGGCTCTACAAGAAACTTTTGCTTCAAAAAGGCCTCCGTGACTGAAAATGTTTGAGAACCCCTGCTGTAAAATGAAACTGTCCAACCCTGTTCTCCAAGTAGGTTCAGCACCTCAGATGGCTCCAGTAAAACCCAGAGATTCACTTTCCAGCTGATGTGGGAGCAGCTAGCTCAGATATGGGCAAGCTTCATCCCTCCAGGTGTTTTGGAATTCAACTCCCACAATTGCTAACAGTTGGTAAGCTGGCTGGGATTTCTGGGAGTTGAAATCCAAACTAGCTGGAGGGCCGAAGTTTGCCCATGCCTGAGCTAGCTGCTACTATCTGTGTGAAACACATGTGGAGGGGCCTGATGAAATTTTGACAGTATCCTCAAAATAGTGAAAGGGGTCATTCAAATTAAAATAGAATCTTGTGTAGTCCTCCCAAGTTAGGGGATGTTAATTGTTAATTGCTACATTGTACATTGCTACATTATTAATTGTAGCAATAATAGGTTTCATGCTTATGTCTATGCTTGATGTTTTTAGTTTTAAAGGTTATTTTATACAGTTATATGTTATTGATTTGGATATGTGATTTTTTTGTATATATGTGAGGCATTGAATTTGCCATTTATTATGTTGTAAACCGCTTTGTAAACCGCTTTGAGCCCCCCAGGGGTGAGAAAAGCAGTATAGAAATGCAGGTAATAAATAATAAATAATAAATTTGTGGAAACTCTCCACCCCTGACACCACAGGTGCATTTAAACAGAGGACTATTGTTTCAACAAGCTTTCCAACAGAGGGTTTTCATCTCTAAAGTAAGTCTGAAAACCATCATACTATCTGTGAGCAGCAGCTCTAAATGTGAGTGTGAGTGATGAGACCTTAGGGAAACTTTAGGAGGTTAAATCACATGCTTGGCACAAACCTAAGTTGCAGAAGTGCTTAGCATTCTGAGGCTTTAGGAGCAGAGGATCAGAAATTCAGCTGTGTGAGTTAGTATTTCAGCATCAGCTTCTCAACGTATCTGTTTGGTCTAACAACAAAGTGATATTCTGGTAGTTTGGTAATATAGCCTGTGATTGCCAGCACCCTGCTAGCTTTCAATGCATACTCCATCTGCTTCCCCTCGAAAAAACAGCAATTGTTCATTAGTGTTTACTCCTAGCAGTGAATAATATTCCTTACCCAACACACAAGCTGAGTTGAGCAAAGCAGCCAACTGTAACAAAACCTGATGTTTAGACCTTTCCTTGCCTCTTACCCAAAAGAGTTTACTGTTTATTGATGCACGTGGAGCAAATGGCATATGTTTTCTTATTCCGTATGTGTTAGGATAACATTATATAATCTTCATACTCCAAGAGTAGTAGGGCATAATTGAAACTGAGAAATAGTATAGGGATTTATTTAATAGTATAGGGATTTATTTAATTCTTACACACAAGAATGAATCATTGCACTATTTTCCTCTGTGCTGGCTAAGACTAGAATAATTTTTATGCATTTTCAAGCATAATTTTTCATTTTGTGACTAATTTGGGAAATTTTCAATTGTGCAAAAATTTAACTTTTTCTGTCCCCAAATTGTCTTTTGTATATTTTTCCCACCAAAAAAAATCTTGAAATGGGAATAGATTGTGGCAGTTGATTTTGTTCTTGTTTGAGTGTCTTAGTGTCTCAAGGATCGGAAAATTCACAAGTAAATTTTATTCAAAATACTTAGCTAAAGTTACCCAATGGCATGTGTGAATGTCTGGTGTCTCATGCATGCTGGCAACCTTTCCCATTGCAAATATGAGAAGCTAAGCCAACTACATGCTTTCAGACTATTGTTTTATTAAAATGTTGTTGGAATGTGACAGTGTATTCTGATATCTTTGTTACTCCAGCAAGCCAAAGACAGTGCCTGGAGGTTATCTAGGGAGAAATAAATGCTGACTCCTGCTATTTTCAGTCATTATAGTAATCCAGATACAAGACTTTTGAGATCCTTATTGATTTTTATAGTTGGCTATATATTTGAAAATAAATATCCTTTATCCTTTCAATGCTTAAATTTGAGCTTTTGCCTTTGATTGAACTGACCTTTTTAGAATTAGAGCTTTAGTTTAGTTGAATTGAATTGTAAAAGTCTTTAGCTGTATCTCAAAATCACCATATGGCATTTAATCGCCTTCAGGAACTAGCACCAGTTGTGTTAAAGAAACTACTGATGCTAAATTCTGTATTTATACAGGCAGTCCCCAAGTTACAAACATCTGACTTACAAAAGAATCATAATTAAGAACGGGGGTGAGATGACAGGAAGTGAGTGAAATCTACGTGCTGGAAAGAAAATTTACTCCTGGAAGAGTTATCATGGAGAAAACGTTTCTCAACAGAAGTTTTCTCACCAATCCTTGTTTGTGTTAGGAATGTAATACATAAGGAACATAATTAAACATGTGCATTTTTAAAGTTACGAATAATATATTCAAGTAAAACACAAAGGCATCTTTTTTGTTTGCCAAGGAATCTACAGACTTTATTTTCTAGAAACTGAAGGGAAACAATACAGAAGAAGTGACAAAGAATTTCACATTTTGTGCTTTTCTTCAGTCACTGTGGATCTTCTAGGATGCCTTATTCTTCACTTACAACAACTTTCTTATGCACTTCTCGGCTCTTTACCCTGAGTTTGTTCACTTGGGACTCCGCAATATCAGCCCGCTCCTCAGCCTGTTCCAGCTCATGCTGAATCTTGCGGAACTTAGAAAGATTCACGTTGGATAGTTCCTCCTGAAAATGGAAGGAAGAAAATCTGTATGCTGGCAAATTGGCAATTAAATAGTATGTATTATTTTTTAGGCAGCATGAGCAAATGTAAACAAAACTTCATCTTTGTCTTTTCTTTCAAATTGTTTCCAGAATTGGAATAGAATTCTATATGAGTGTCCATTCGAAGCATCTCACTCAAATTCCAGGGAAAACACAAACGTGGTTGCTGTTAAGACTTCTTGATCCAATTTACTGGGTTATGTGAGCAAGCACTACTGCCTGAATACCACACCATTACTTTTTAAGTATCTCAAGGACAAAAATAGTATAAGTTCCCTCTTTTATTTCCTCTCCTGAACTCTCAAAATCAAATGTAAATATTTGTGCTTTCCTTTTGCTTTGACTATTCCTTGAAATCCTTCTGTGAATTGCTTGGGATGCTCTGTGCCAGTTAAAAAAGATGATTCACTTTCATGTTAAAGTTGCTGGATAAATTTTAGAATATATGAAAGAACAAGTTTGGATTTTTTGCTCCCTTAAATAGCTCTCATGCAAACTTTTAGAAATTCTGTTTCTGGATGTACATGTGTGACAAAGGTGCGTGTGTGTGCATATATCAGGAATCCATAAGGGTGTTCCTTCCCATAACCCATTATACACTCCAAAATCAGTCCTTTTCCCATTTTAGATTATAGATATTTCGATTATATGCAGAGGACTTCCCAGCCAGGTGGGAAGTGCATCTTTCTCTAAAATAAGCACAATTGTGTCCAACCCGCTCAGACTTCTCATATTAATTACAGAGTAAGTTTTTTAAAAACTTTAGTTAGAATCCACATTTTAACAAAAGAGAATTGTTCCAAAAGACAAAATATTTAAAAAATTAAGGGAAAATATTTTAAAAATTGTTTTGAATACATTTTCAAAGTATCTCATGGATTTGATTGCTTTTGGCTCATGGTCAGATTGATTGTTTAAAAAACAGGATATTGCTGCTGAAAATAGAAAATGGAAATAGCACAGATTATAGTGACTGCTCCATTACAGAAATTTCTTAAAAGCAAGATGCACACCCACAGCATTTTGTGAAAAACACATGTTTGTATAAGAAAAGTTGATTTCCTGAATAGTTCTTATTCTTTAGAGTCACTCTGTTAAAACACTACAAAGAACTGGACTGTTTCAGAGTTGCTAACGTAGTACTTTTTACCACTGAAATCTGGACCTAAATGTTATTTTAAAGCGAGCCATGGCTATGTTAGTACCACATATATTGGTTCAGATAAGGAGAATTTGCCTTAAAAAGCAGTTTTCCAACCCTATGAAACGTAGTTGTTGAGTCAGCAATCACATGTGCATATTTGATTGCAGACACACATATATATTGTGATATGCACAGCAGTTTCTATTTACAGTTTCTATTTATTTTGCACATGTCTGACCACTGTGCATTGACGCAAATTCAAGATTTATTCTCTGTAAAACCAGCCTTCATGTTTCTATGTCAGACTGTAAGATTCAGAATTATACTTACAGACTCCTCAGATTGCCTCTTGTATGCTTTCACTTTCAACTGCAGTTTGTCCACCAGATCCTGAAGCCTCAAAACATTCTTCCGATCTTCCTCAGACTGAATAAATAATAGTAAATAGCAATATGAGTAAATTTGTTGGATTAAACTGCTTTTACAAATTCATCGGCAAACACTTGAATTTGCCTAAAGTCATAAAATGTCCTATCCTCACCTGGTAGGTGAGTTCCTTTACTCTCCTCTCATATTTACGAACACCCTTTATAGCCTCAGCACTGCGCTTCTGCTCATTCTCTACTTCACCTTCCAACTCACGCACCTAAAGAAAAAGAAAAGGATTATTAGCACTTATATTGTAACCTGAATAACACAAACAGTAAGAAGTTGTGTACACCAGATGACTCACTCTCTGCTCCAGTTTCTGCAACTGCTTCTTTCCTCCCTTCAGTGCTAGCTGTTCTGCCTCATCCAGACGATGCTGGAGATCCTTCACAGTCTGGTCCAGGTTCTTCTTCATCCTCTCCAGATGGGCACTAGTGTCTTGCTCCTTCTTGAGTTCCTCAGCCATCATGGCTGCCTATTAATAGCATAAAATATCCCAAGTCAGGAAGCTATGTATGCTGGCTGCAAACAGGATTGTAGTTTCTAAAGGAACTTTGTCCAACTCACATCAGTGATAGCCTTCTTGGCTTTCTCCTCTGCATTGCGGGCTTCCTGAATAGTCTCTTCCACTTCACTCTGGATCTGGGCAATGTCTGTTTCCAACTTCTTCTTGGTGTTAATCAAGCTGGTATTCTATTTTGAAAAAAAGGTCATGACTTTTGTAAGCTAATGGATAATGTTGTTAGACATAGTTGCAGCTACTTAGATGTGAACATTTGCCCACATAAACCTGCAATGAAGACTCCAGCTCCAAATAGCTCTCCCATCCCTCAAATGCTACTTGGCAGCTGCCATTCTCTTATGACCTCATCAGATGAGCAAAAATGCTTTTCCTGTGACACTTCCACTTCACTTGAGAGACAGACCACTAGCTGCCATCACATGGCATCAATCTACTTCCAGCGGGGTTCCATGCCTCAAGTGAAGTGTTGCAGGAGCTTTCCCAAGTTGCATAGGAAACAATGGGGAAGGGAAAGCTGGGTGGCGATGTTTCCTCCATGGGATGAGGTGAGGGGAAAGACAGGCGATGCGGGCCACGGGATAATAGGTTTCCCACACTTCCTGCCAGGCCTCGCCAAATTTATCACAATGTGTGGTGAATCCCAGCCTTAATGTGATGAGGTCCTTAATCTGCAATAACAAAACTTACCTGTGTGTGGAGGAGTTGCACACGCTCACTTGCATCCAGAAGCTCCTGTTCAGCCACTTTCCTGCCCCTCTCTGTCTGTTCCAAAGCTGCTCGAAGCTCCTCGATCTCAGCCTGCATCAGGTTAGCTCTGCGCTCAATCATGGCCACTTGTTCTTTGAGATCCTCTTGACCTCGGAGGGCATCATCCAAATGCAGTTGTGTGTCCTGAAAAAAGATAACAGAGAAAATATTGTGAAGAATTTCTTTGATCATAAGAATCACCTCAAATTTCTCATTATAGATGTGCCTATATATATACCATGAGTCTCTCTTAAGAGATAAAAAGTGACATGTAAATGATAACAACAACAACAACAATTAAAATACCTTAAGAATTCCTTGTGTGTTTCTGAAATTCTTCTGTGCCTCAGCAGCTTGACGGTTGGCATGGCTCAACTGGATTTCCATTTCGTTCAGATCTCCCTCCATCTTCTTCTTAAGACGCAGAGCATCATTTCTGCTCCTGATCTCAGCATCCAGTGTGCTCTGCATGGACTCCACTACTCTCAGGTGATTCCTCTTCAGCTGATCAATTTCTTCATCCTTCTCTGCAATTCTTCTATCAATATCAGCCTTTACCTGGTTGAGCTCCAATTGGATGCGGAGGATTTTACCTTCCTCGTGTTCCAGTGAGGCCTTAAAACCAAATAGTTAATAAAATTACTGAGACAAATAGCCAAATAACAAGACATTTATATGAAGTTGTGAACAGAGACAATTTGTCTGCTTTCTAATACAAGTTTGAAGTTTCTGAATGGATTAATTGGCAGAATATCCAAGACAGATACATGGAAGTGCTTCTCCACAGCTCTGCTGTTTGGAATTTCCTAAGAAGTGACATGCATTCAATGGAAGAAGATATGCTTATAATACAAGGCTACCAATGTGTGCTTGTCATAACTGCCAAATTGAATTGCTGGTGCTAGAATCAGTAGTCCTCCAACTAATATATGCTATGGAGTAACAGCAAGAACGGGATTTTGACTTCATGCCCTATTTATGACTTCCCAGTGGGAAAAAGATTATTGGCCTAGAAAGATCTATTTTCTAATCCAGCAAATATCTTCATATTTCATTCTATTCATGTCTCTAGTTGCCAGTTTTATTACATACCACAAAATGACCATCCAGTGGCATACTTTCCCCCCCTAAAAATAACTACATGATTACCTCAGCTTCTTCTAGAGCTGCCTGTATTTCAGATTTCTCCTGTTCAATCTGCTTCTTCACTTTCTCCAATTCATGGACAGCCTTTCCTGCTTCAGCAATCTGTTCCGTAAGGTCAGATATCTCCTCTGTTAGAATCACACAGATAAAAAAGGTGAATAGCATTTATATGAATGATATTACCATGTATTGGTGGTTAGCATGATTTATCCCAGTCAGGATTACATAGTCTCTCATCTCCACCTTTCTCTGTGTGTTTCTGTTCACAGACAGAAAGGTGGAGACCCTTCTATCTTGCCTACAGACAGATACCAAAGGACTATGTTTCTCTAGTGTCCCTTCAACATCCTCTTAAGGCAAGTGCTATTTTACTTTTAAAAAACTTCCATAAGACAAGATTTAGGCTTGGCAAACATAAAATGATGCTTTGTCAGAGGCTTTGTGGGCTGAACAGTGCCTGCATTACATTATGTACATTGGCTGGGTAGAAGAGTTGTCATTTGCTGCTCTGTCTTAAGCAACTTGTCATCTTTGGTCAGCTCTGAACCAATGATTGAGGTCTAAGAATAAAGTAGTACATGTTCCATTTCCCTTCTCTGAAGTATTTCACTTTAAAACTCAAAACTTTTTGCCACCAGCTTCTCACTTCTGCTTTTGGGGAAAGGGGACTAGTCACACAGAGTTTGTCCTCAAGGAGCTCTTGCTCCACCACTTTCAGAAATTTGATGAAAATAGGTAGGAAGAATTGCAGGTCCTGCAGCTCCATTCACACAAGACCCCTGTAAAAAGCAGATGTCCCAGAAGCATGTCTGCTTTCCTTTTGCCTGACCAATTGCAGCATATGGTAGGGTGGCTGTTTGGAAATGGGTGGCAAGTGCACAGAGACTTCATTGGCAATCATATGTGACCAGCCCAGAGATAATGAAAAAACTCACAGGGCAGCAGATAAAAGTATCTCTTCCCAGCTACTTTGCTAAAAGGGCAGAAAGTGTGCTGAAAGGCAGTAAAGCATCTGGGACATCTTTTATGGAATCTTGTGTAGGTGGAGTTCTTTCCCTGCTTTTCCCTTTTCTGTTTCCCCTGTCAAATTTCCAGCAGTGGTAGAACAAGAGTTTCTTGAGGAACCCTGCTCTCCTTCTCTCATTCACTATGTATACGCAAATACAGATATCCCTCCTTCTCAAGTATTTCGGATAAGGAGAACTCAATTTGTAGCTGGACTTACGTTGAAGATTCTTGTTCTCGCGCTTCAGAGTTTCCAGGTGATCCAAGGATTCCTCATAAGCATTCTTCATCTTAAAGAGCTCTGTGCTGAGTGAGCGAGACTCCTTCTGTGAAGCTTCTAATTCAGACTGAGTTTCCTCAAATTTCTGTTTCCAATCTGCCAGAATCTGTAATCCATCAAATAATTAATTTATTTGCTGTGAGGCCTTTATGCAACAATTACTAATCATTGTTGTTGTTGCCTAAAATACCTTATCAAAGTTCTTCTGTTTCTTGTCTAGAGCTGCACAGGCTGCATTGGATCTTTCTACATCAATCATCAGGTCCTCCACTTCATTTTGCAGCCTCTGTTTTGTCTTTTCAAGGGAAGCGCATTTGGAATTCACAGCTTCTACGTGTTCCTCAGCATCTTGTAGACGCTGGGCAAGCTTTTTCCTGGTGGAATGAAATCATAACACTCATTAGGAATTCAGATGTGTACAACTGTTCAAGTGTCATCCACTGTGAGTTGTAATGAGAACTCACAACAATTCTTCATCATGGATACCTAATATTACTTACAGTTTGTAGATACTGGAGCAAGTTTTGGAACATGCTCTCTCCAAGACATTATCATCAGCCCTTCTATGTTAATACGTTAGAATGCAAAGAAATCTATGTGTTGCATTAAACAAAGGGCAAAATCAATACATGAATTGTTCTTCTTCACTGACTTTAACAGTGTTCTCCACTACCACCCCCTCACGTATTCTCTGTCAAAATACAGAAACTTTTTTCATGTCAATGTTTTATCATGTATAGTTTTTCAAGCTCCCTCCCTCCTTTCTCTTTCACCACTTTTGTACATACTTGGCTTCCTCAAGTTCCTCAGTGCGCTGAATCGCATCAGTCTCATATTTGGTCCTCCATTGGGCAACTTCACTGTTTGCCTTGGACATGGCACGTTGGAGCTCAGCCTTAGCTTCTTGTTCCTCTTCATATTGCTCTCGGAGCAAGTCACAATCATGGCGAGCAGATTGCAAGCCATGGGCCAAGGCATTCTTAGCCTGGACAAGTGAAGGAACAGTTGACTAAGAAACTCAAGTTGTATAACAAATTTCAGAGTTGTAGCCAAGTCTTTAACAGTAACAATACTTAGGCTGTAATCTTGTAATCCTATACCCAATTTAGGTTTAACTTGTTAAGACTGGTAAGTTATATGCCTTTTTTGCCTAAAAGAAAAATATTGTCCAGGGGGCCATAGCTAGATCACACAGAAAATTCTCTAGGGCTCTCCAATAAAGATGAAGGGACTGGAAACATTTAGTCTGAGAAATAAAGCATCTATATCAGGGGTCCTCAAACTTTTTAAACAGAGGGCCAGGTCACAGTCCCTCAAACTGTTGGAGGGCCAGATTATAATTTGAAAATAACACGAATAAATTCCTATGCACACTGCACATCTTATTTGTAGTGCAAAAACACTTAAAAACAATACAATAATTAAAATGAAGAACAATTTTAACAAATATAAATGTATTAGTATTTCAATGGGAAGTGTGGACCTGCTTTTGGCTGATGATATAGAATTGTTGTTGTGTTGTTGTTGTGTGCTTTCAAGTCGTTTCAGACTTAGGTTGACCCTGAGCGAGGGCCAGGTAAATGACCTTGGAGGGCCGTATCCGGCCCCCGGGCCTTAGTTTGGGGACCCCTGATCTATATAGTCACTTTATGATTCAAAGCAATCATAATACATTTTTAAGCCATGTTTCTTTCAAAGCCTCCTAGAGTATATTTCCCACATCAAAAAGTAATAATTTGTTTAGATAATAATTTTTAAAATGTAAAAGTTTCAATCCTGACCTTTATCTCTTCCTCAAGCTGTCTCTTTAGTTCCTCAATCTGCTGAGTAAATGCTTGTTTTCCTCTTGTCAGCTGAGAAATCAATGAATCTTTTTCCTCTACTTGACGTGAATATTCACCTGAGGAAGATAGAGTTAATCAAAATGATAATCAAAATTTCCACTTTCTTTTTAAAGTATGCACTTAGTTAAAGTAATTCCTGGTTAAATAAATGGGGTTTGTGCCTAAATAAGTTTAGGATCAGGTTTCATTACCCAAAAGACTTAGGAAAATGGAAAAAAAGTCCTTAATTTAATCAAATAATACAAATATAGTTAATAGTCTTAATTTGAATAATGGCAAAGTAACAAGTACAGTGCATTCTCAGGTAACTGGAACTCAAGCAAGCAGAACTAGAAAAAAATCAAAGAAATAATACTTTAAATAAAAATTAAAATATGTGTATAATACAATAACATTTGTTACATTAAGTTTGTCTATATTCATCTTAATTTGATTTTAATTGCTTTTTTCTATATTAATATGAAGTCAATACAAAGTTTATAGTTTGAAATAGTATGGGGTATAGTATTAGTTAGTCCTATTTTAATAGTAACACACAGGGAACCAGCAATCACATTTATCTCACATCTACCAATCCCCATGGGTGCTGGTTAACTGAGGCCAGTTCCCCATAGAGAAGAAATCCATGCTGACCCAGGATTAAGAAACCCCAGTAGGGGCGGCCTTCTGTTCCCACACCAGGCTGCAAAACCCATGCTTTCAGTGGTGGGTGTCTAGATGCCCTCCCAGAACCTTCCAGGAAAACATCCAGACACACTAACCCCTTCCCCAAAAACCCTTTAAAAACACTTTAAAAATAAAATAACTTACCTGGCCACCATTAACATGCTGCTGTGGTCCTCCTGGTGCATAGAAATGACACGCCAAGAGAAGGGGGTGGGTGAGGAGCAATTCAGCTCAGCAAACCCACGGGGGCTGTGCGGACTGCCTCCTCGGTAGTCCCAGGACTACCGAGGGGACATTCCCCACAGAGCCCATACTGGATTACACCTGGGTCTTTCATGAAGACCCGGGTTTAATCCAGTACCTAATTAATTCAGGACAAAACAGGGTTTTTACTGCTTTGTCCTGAATTAATTTGGTTTTTCAGGAGATGTTGTTTGGACGTCTCCGGTAAAACTGCAGGAGCTCCTGCATTATCTGTCTGACCGCTAAAGATTTATACCATGATTTATACCATGATTTGTTTTAGTATCTTACCTGTTTCTGTCTGCAGACGAGCTCTTTGAGCAGTCAGGTCATTAATAGTGCGCTGATGCTCTTCTTCTTTTGTTTTGATTTCACTGAGCTGATCCTCTAAAGTGCGGCACATTTTCTCAAGATTTGCCTACAGGTGAATTGTCCAAAAGGAAGAGTTGAATATTAAATATACTGGAATTATTTTGAACTTACAGAAGGATACTAACTTTAAAATGCACACAAACTTTTTGGGAGTTAAAATTTGGCCTCTTCATGGTATTTCTGCTTCAACATCTAGCTACTCTGAAAATATTTCAGTAATGATAGTTTGAGATTGACAGTTCCTGATCTCTTTCTCCTGCAGTTGCATTCTAGAGTTAGAGGAAGAAAGCTTTCAGGGTGGGGAGGTAGGTGAGTCTGGATGACACACAATGTGAACTTTGACTTGTTATGAGTGGGCAGCATACTAGTGCCATCCTAATATTCAATTCATAATAAAGGCAACTAACAAAAATGGCACCGTACTCTGTGGTTTGTTATGTCTTCTGCATACTGCGCCTTCCCCTTTCTGGTTTGTCTCTCAACAAAGAGAACAGTTCTAGGATTGAGCTTGTCTTATTTTTTTTCTTTGTTTATTTGCAAAAGAGTAGAAAGCACTCAGAGACTACAATAACCGTGACACATTTCTTTACTTGCTTCCAGTACTAATATGTAGTGTGCACAAGTAAGGTTGTGTGTGTGTGTGTGTCAGGAGTGACTTGAGAAACTGCAAGTCACTTCTGGTGTGAGAGAATTGGCCGTCTGCAATGACATTGCTCAGGGGATGCCCAGATGTTTTGATGTTTTACCATCCTTGTGGGAGGCTTCTTTCATGGCCCTGAATGGGAAGTGGAGCTGACAGAGGGAGCTCATCCACACTCTGACCTGTCAGTCTTCAGTCATGCTGGCACAAGGGTTCTAACCCATTGTGTCACTGGGACTCCATACTAGTAATGTGATCACCGCTAATAAATAGTAAGCTGATCCTAAATATTTGTGTTACCTGAACACAGTCAATTTGTATGAATGTGTCTAGATTAACAAGATTGCCTGGACTGATTTGTTTACAGAAATATTCATAGAATAGGTATGTCCATCAGAAGGTATGGAGAGAGACAGACAGCAGTACAACTATCTAAAATCTTAAATATACCAGTTAAATGGTATTTTCAATTTAGAACTTGATATTCTTATTAGAATCCAGAATGTTGTCAACTGTACTATGTATTGTATTTGGTTTGTACATATCTTTCAGTACTTAACATTCGTGTCACTTCATCTATGAAATAAAAAACAAGGTATCATCTGGTATGTTTACCTTAGCTTTTGACACAGTTTCCATATTGCTAGCAAGGTCATCAATCTCCATCTTCAGCTCACTCTTTTCCTTCTCCAGCTTCTGTTTGACACGTTGGAGGTTATCAATTTGCTCCCCAAGTTCAGCTGTACTGTCTGCATGCTTCTTGCGGAGAGCAGCTGAAGTAGCTTCATGTTGCAGGGTGGCCTCTTCAAGGTCCCGACGCATCTTCTGGAATTCTGCCTCACGTTTTTTGTTCATCTCAATTTGGGCTGCGGTTGCCCCACCAGCTTCCTCCAGACGCTCACTAATCTCTTCAAGTTCCCTGGAGAGATCAGACCGTTGCTTTTCTGCTTTGGCCCGAGATGCCCGCTCAGCCTCAATCTCTTCCTCCAGTTCTTCAATACGGGCCTAGAGAAAAAGGAACAACCACATTTAGCACATTTGCTCAACAACATGTTCCAGGAGAATTAATTGCCCCAGGTAAAAAGGGAGGCAGCGTCAGATTAACTTGCCTGCAACTCCTTGATTTTCTTCTGAAGCTGGGAGCCCAAGACCTGTTCATCTTCAATTTTGCTTTGGAGTTGGCTGATTTCAAAGTCTTTCCTATACATCACAAACATGAGGTATTAACTCCCGAATCTATGAACAATGTTTGGCATAAAGACCTCAAAAGATCAGTTTCTGGAAGACTTTACTCACTTCTTAAGCTTCTCATCCAACTGTTGCTTATCATTTTCCAAATCCATTGTGGATTCCTGGGCCAATTTCAGATCTCCTTCAAGCTTCCTCTTGGCTCTTTCAAGGTCCATACGAAGCTTCTTCTCTTGCTCCAGGGACCCTTCAAGCTGAAGAGAAAGAGTTTATGAAGACCCTGCCATGGTTACACTACCTTCACCTCTGAGCTCTGCTTCTCTGTGTTCTCCTTGTGCTTACATCATCCACTTGCTGCTCCAGCTTTGTCTTGGCCTTGGTCAGAGTATTCACTTTGTCTTCCTCTGCCTGCAGATCATCCAGGGTCTGTTGGTGAGCCTCTTGGAGGGCTTTCTTCTCCTTGGTCAGTTTAGCAATGCTCTCATCCAAGACTGCCATCTCCTCAGTGAGATTTTTCACCTTTTAGAAGTAACAGAAAGATAATGCGTAATTGTGAAATATCATCACACCATACAATGTCAATAAAACATTTAGACTGTTTGACCAGTTGATTTGGTTTAGTACCTTGTTTTCTGTGGCGTGCTTTTCCTTTTCAACTTTAGCCAGTGTTAGCTCAAGATCATCAATGTCTTTCTTCAGCTCTGAGCATTCATCTTCTAGTTTCCTCTTTTTGGCTGTCAATTCAGCATTCATTTCCTCTTCATCTTCTGCCCTTTCAGTCAGCTCCTTAATTTTAGCTTCCAGCTGAATTTTGGCCTTAATCAACTGATCGCATCTCTCTTCAGCATCTGCTAAGCCATCAGATTCCTAAAAGTGAAAAAGGTGTGCAATAGAACATAAGATCAAAAGATTTTCTGATTGAAAGGTCAGTCAGGCAGAATTCAGTGTATGATGCTATTTATTTCAGTAGAGGGAATCAGTCTAGTCATACCAAGGAATATGCCCTTGAATTAGCTCTTAGTATTGAATAGTATGTAAAATATTTCATTTGCGGACAAAGGTTTGGGTTTCTTAGCCATTTGTTGTGTTTATACACCACATAGCAAAGTTACAATGTATTATCTATGCCAGCATACTATTTGTCTACAATAGTATAATTTCTTTAAAATATAAGAGTTTTATTGTATAAAAGCAAAAGTAGCTGTTTGCCATAAATCCCAAAATCTAGATTCAGATAATCTGTGCACATTTTTATGGCTTTTTGCTTGGCCTAATAACCCTAATAAACCTACTAAAGTAATTACTTCAATATTCATTGCTATAGTGTCACCAACATAGGTTTTTATCTTTGTTATATGGAATTATGTCAGGGGCAGTTTAATTAAGGTCAGACAATTTTGGTGAAATATTCTGTGCTCTTTTTTAATGTTCTCAAACCAAATTATATCAGATATAGGGTTGATATAGCAAGACTTTATGATGTCACTGCTTACATCCTGGACTTGGAGCTGCAAGCCATTCTTCTCTTGCATCAGGGACACCATATCCCTCATGCTATATCCTTAAAAACCTAAATAGTCCAATATATACTCACTACATTTCCTTGTAATATTGGGATAACTAAATTCATAAAACTAACCAATATCATTCATCAAATCAATAGAACAGCAACAAAAAGATGTTGTCAGTGCTTACAGACTGGACTTGGAGCTGCAAGTCATTCTTCTCTTGCATCAGGGACACCATTTTTTCTTCAAGTTCCTTCCGTTTGGCCTCTGATTTTGCAAGGTCTTCTTTTGTTTTCTCAAACTCTTCTTTCATATTGGCCATCTCCTTCTCAGACTCAGCACTCTTCAGCAGAGGCTTTATCTTGAAGTACAGCTTCATCCATGGCCAGTGTTTGACATTCATGAATGAGCGGATATTGTACTGAATAGAAAATATGGACTCTCTGGAAGATAAAAGAAAATTTAAATTTAGAATAAACTCAGTGTAATCAGAGTTTCTTCAATCTTATCAAATCTTTTTGCTGCTGTACTCAACTTAAACTCTCTGGTTAATTTTTTTAACAGGTAAAGTGAGGGGTTTGTGATGATACACATGAAAATAGGAAGATCTATGTCAAATAAGCATCTCTCAGTAACATTATTTTCAGGCTCAAACTTCATTTTGCATTCTTGTCATAGATCTCCTCATATAATGTTTACAGTCCATAGAGTCACAGTAACGGAAAATATTTTATAGCACTTCACACTTCTAAAACATTTTATATGTATGTATGAAATGTGGCATTGACGTAAAAAATGTTTGCTCTCTACTGTATCATGTAGGTACAGTACCCAAGAAGTTGGGATGATTACCTATTACTTGTACACTTGATGGCAAACAGTTCTGTATTTTATATTACAGTCAGTTGCGTTTGTTAATGTGATTACTATTCATGGATAGAACTGCATACGAGTAATGATTACGAGTATATATATAATCGTTACTCGTAATAATTTCGTTAAAGTTACCTTTTTGAATTTCAAAGCATTTTAAAAACCCAGAAGTCCCTTTGTCCTTTTGAAGCTTTCTCTGCCATTTTTGTTATGACTCAGGAAATGAGTCTGAAATGATTCAGCCTACTAGGAGGCTCTTTGCCTCCCCTCGCAGCCAATCAGGGGAGAAGTATTGGGGAGGGGAGGGTTTTTGGCACTGGCCGTCATTGCTGTATATAGAATCATAGAATCATAGAATCAAAGAGTTGGAAGAGACCTCATGGGCCATCCAGTCCAACCCCCTGCCAAGAAGCAGGAATATTGCATTCAAATCACCCCTGACAGCTGGCCATCCAGCCTCTGTTTAAAAGCATCCAAAGAAGGAGCACATGGCTCAGAGGGTCATTCGCAGGCGGGAAAGGGAAGGGAGAAGGGAGAATGGGGAAAGGGAAAGAGAAAGAGAAAGAGAAAGAAAAAAACAAAGACTAAGGGAAGGAAGAAGGGCTGGGAGAAGGGTTGTTGCCAGCCGTGCTTGTCTGCCTGCCTGTTTCTTTGTTTCTTTGCTGTGAGTTGCCTAAGAAGACACTAGAAATCCCATATTGTCTTTCCTGCCTAGTGCCTAATATACTTCCCTAACTGAGGGAATCTGCTGAAAAGCCCCAAAACCTCTCAGGGCTTTTTGTTTTTCTCTTTGATTGCTGTGCGTTGCCTTGAAAGACACTATTGCACAATCGTGTCTGCCATTAATGAAGCAATTCTGAAATTTTGGAAATTTTAGAAAGTTCCGATTCTTTTTCCAGAAAAATTCGGAATTCAGTTCCGAATTGAACCACCAGCGCCTGTACATCTGAAACGAGTTTTGAACCATTTTTTTTATCAACCAAGCCTAGTAATTACACTATATAACAAAATTTGATTTTTTTTTCTGTTCCTGGTTTGAAAGTATTATTTCCTGTATAATTATGTGATGTTTACTTTGAAAGTAGTTGTTATGCTTCATCTTTGTGGCTGCCACAAACTATGTTGAATTGGTTGAGACTCTATTCATTAAAAAACTATAGCAAAATGTGCTGCAGGATGTTATGCAAAAACATTTTTGCAGTTTAATAAATGTTTTCTATGTTTTTTTATGATAGCACCAATTTGGAAATGACATTTATAACACAGGAACAAAAATCATGTTACATAGTGATATGTGTCCAGTTACCTTCGTTGCATCATTTTCTGGAACTCCAATCTTGCTAAGTAACCACGACACACGGCTTGTGTACGTGTAATCAATTGGGCCAGTTTGTCATCTCTCATCTCCTCCAGAGTACCCAAAAGACCAGCTTTGAAGAACACCTGTAAAAATAAGACGTTATAAAGTACTGACTCCTCATTCAACAAATTCAAATGTTACATCATTTTGATAGAGAGTAATTTTACCTTGGTGTGTCCAAATTTATACTGACTATGGTCAACATCAATGGATCCAAGAAGCTTCTCAGAAGCCTTCTTGCTATCCATGAACTGCCCCTCTGGAATGGCACTAGCATTTAGTACTCTGTATCTGTTAGAGAAAGCAAAATATGGGAATACACATCATTTGGAGTTATGATTATAAGAAGAGCTCTATTGAATTAGACTAATAACACATCCACTGTAGGATCTTGTAAAAAAATTCTGAAGGAAATATTACCACCAACAACTAATTAAAACAGGAAGAGTGGCAAAATATAACAGGTTTCAAAGAGAGTTATTATCAACTTTAAACAACTGCTTTTGTGGGGGCTATTAACCGAAATAGCTGTTGAATTTACTTAAGACTGGAATGAGGAGAAATGCTGTGAAACTCATGGTGTGAATTCTGATCCAGCTCCACAATTCTTCACTTTATATTCTTAAAGTGCTACGTTGTTCCTGTTTGAAGTTCTTCCCAAACATCCATGTAAATCAAACAAAAATTTATGATACAGAATCAGAAATAGTATTCAAGGTATTACATGGTGGGAGGGAGAAATAATAAAGATAACTAGAATACATTCAGATGATGAGGCCTTGCTAACCTCTGTTTGAAATCACCATAAATGATCCTGCTAGGGAATCCCTTTCTGCAAATTCGGATACCTTCCAGCACTCCATTACACCTCAGTTGGTGCAATACAAGCTCATGTTCCATGGCACCTTAGGAAATAAAAAAAAAAAACATGTTACCACAAAGCACTCTATAGATGTCTGATGTTTGTATTTTAAAAATCAAAGTGCAATTCTTTATCTCACCTGGGGTTTTAGTTTCATTGGGGATGAGGCAGCGCACAAAATGTGGGTGAGTGCTTCTCAAATTGGTCATTAGCTTATTTAAATTCTCCTGTGGGATTAGAAAATAATATCTGCTTTACAGATAGTTATATTTCAAGAAAAAATAGTCCCTAATTTTTATTATGTAACAGGAAGAATCAAGATATGAAAGTATCAAGTTCACTAACGTATACTTTTGGCATGCCTTTGATCTAAGATTTGACTTTAATACTCTAGTGGCATTTTAAAACCAAATTTGCCTATACCTTTAATCTACTGTATTTAACTCAGTCTAAGCAAACTGGTCTATCTAGTTGAATGCATGTGCTGCAAACTGATGGGTAGTGCCTCCCCATGGTTTTTTCCCAGCCAACCCTTGAGATGCCAGGGATTGAAAATGGGACCTTTTGCATATGAAGCACATGTTCTGTTCCAAAATCCAGTCCTCCCCTGTAATATATATCCCAGTAGCTCTACTGAGTTTATACGGATAGGACACCCAAAGTGAAGATTTCACTGTACCCTGAAAAGAGCAGACACCGTCTGGAAGGAAGAACCCTTCTTTTTAGCAGCTTTCTTCCCTTCTGCAAAATAGAAGGAAATGTTGCAATTAACACCTATACATGTGAGGTCTTACATGTTAGTCTCCCACATAAACAACATTTCTTGATATTGTACAATGTAAAATAAAGTACATAACATTTAGTCAATTAAGGGAGATTGTTAGGCATTCTTATGGAAGAATATTATATTACATCCCTGGATGTGAACAAAGCATCATTTACAGTATTTGTAACAGGGTTATCCTGAAGCATGGGCTGTGTGTGCTACATAATAAAAACCTCAGAGAAGTTGTAAAACTTGACAGAATGAAGTGTATGGTTTTATATCATAAACCATATTACAATAATAACCAAGAAACATTTGCTTTAAATTGTGTAAAGTATGCTGTGCTTCACATTTCATATCTAGAGCCTGAGCCAGTCTCCAATCTTCAGCCAATAAAATAAATTATTCCCAACTTTAAAGTCTTTACTCTTCCAAAGAATAATCCCTTTCTATTTTATCTAAATACTACAGTGCTAGGAAGTGCTGATTTGGAGTGAACTGTCCTACCTTCCAAAGGGCTTATATAAATATTATTCTGCACTAGGCCTAGTTGGGTAAAATGCAACTTTAGTCCCATCTTCCCTTATTGTTGTTATAATTTTTACTAGTGATTTTTTTTAAAAAAAAAGTCAAAGCAGATGGTGAGATTTTTCATATATCACCTTGCCCTGCTGCCTTGACGGTCATCTTGATGTATTAGAGTGAAGACTACACAAAATCAACAGACTTTCTGGGTCTCTCAGAGCATGAAAAAAAGAAGAACTTATTAATTGTTCTGCTGGATCAACTGTACTTGAGAGCACTGTGCCAGCATTCCCATTAAAGGGCTGTGACAGCTGATGGACTTAGCTTCTATACAGAGCTGTGATTGAAAAATTACCTTCTGCAGGACGATCAGCAAACAGTAAAGCCAAAACCTTCATTGAAGACTTCTGATACAGCCCCACAACGGTTTCATTGAGGGGGTCCTTGTTCTTGTCCAGCCAGCCAGTGATGTTGTAGTCCACAGTGCCAGCATAGTGCACCAGGGCAAAGTGGGCCTCAGCCTTGCCTTTGGCAGGCTTGGGTTTCTGGAAGTTGTTGCTTTTGCCAAGATGCTGGTCATAGAGCTTGTTCTTGAAAGAGGTGTCTGTTGCCTTGGGGAACATGCACTCTTCTTCCAGGATGGAGAAAATGCCCATAGGCTAGGAATAAATACGTAGTTTGAAATAAATGTCACAACAGTAACTATCCTACAGTCCCCTTCCTCCTGATCTTCAGGAAAAGGCTAAAGACATGGTTGTGGGACCAGTCATTTGGTCAGTAATCTACCAGTGCAATGAGAGAATATGGACTAGTGCAAGTACAACCTGGAACGGCCTCGGACCATGATATTGAATGATGTTATTTTAAATAAATAGCTTTAAGGTTTGACATGTTTTCAATTATTGCTTTAATGTATATGTTTATTTTACTATGTACATATCATATGGCATTGAATTGCTGCCTATATATGTAAGCCACCAGTACAGGGTGAGAAGGGCAGGGTATAAATATAGTAAATAAATAAATAAATAAATACATATGAAGAAACCAAATGTTTACATAATTTTGATCAGGAAATAATTTCTCTAAGCCGTGGAAGATCCTTCTCAGATAAATAACACAATTGGCCTCTTCATGTATTTTGTGCATGGGTTAGAAGGTGGCTCTTTGCATAAATACACATACACAAACCTGTATAAGCATCTGATGAAAGACTATATAAGATCTTTCTCAAGTGCACAATACATTTGATTGTGCTAATTTTTGAGCTTATGTATGTGTGTTCATCTAATTACATTTTTAAATTTACTTTTAAATATTTTGATTGTTCAACCTTGTTTTAACTTAGGTATCTTGCAAAATTTAAATATATGGTTTTTTAACTTGTAAGCTGCTTTCCCTCCTGCTCTCCCCCCCCCCCCCGCATTGGAAAAGTGAAATAGAAATTATTATTTCTAACACATGCGATAAAAATTATTATTTTAACACATTTATGATTTAAAATAACATCTTCATAATGATTGTAATTGTAATTCTAATTATTATTTAAATAGTAAAACTGATAAGAAATAAATTGATGATGATGATGATGATAATTCCAAACAGTACACATTTTACACTGGTATTTACATTTTAAGACATATGTAGACATATTTACTTAGAGGTAAATACCTTCTCAATGAGTTCAATGCAGGCAGCCAAATCCATTCCAAAGTCAATGAACTCCCATTCAATTCCTTCTTTCTTGTACTCCTCTTGCTCCAGCACAAACATGTGGTGGTTGAAAAACTGTTGCAGTTTCTCATTGGTGAAGTTGATGCAGAGCTGCTCCAAGCTGTTGTACTAGAAAAATAAAGTGAGGAAATATTTTTAAACACACAAACCAGCAGCACTCAATCTTAAAACTAGTTTTTGAAAACTTAACAATAACAGTTATTTCAATTGATATTTAATGTATAATTTCCCTTCATCTAGATTACAAGGATCTATGCATTAGATATTCAAATTGGTTAGGTACACAACACAACCCAACAAATAATCTTGGTGTCTTGGCTTTTAGGTGTGTTCCTTGGGTTATCTAGGGTCCTGATTCAGAAAATTGCATTGGATAGATTGTATCAGTTCTAGTTTCTTAGATATGGTTGTCATGCTTTTCTATGAGTGAGCAGATGACAACTGGTAAATGGCATGTGTTATGTATCTCAAAAACTAGGGCTGATAGAGAAACACTGATGCCATTTTTTAAATCAGAAGCTGGTCCAAGATCTGAAGCATCGAAATGTGTATTGGGCAGTGATCAGATTACATGGATAAACAGCAATGCTGCTAATAGATTGTGTTAAACTTAAAAAAAATGCTAGATATATACAGCACTGAAGATTTTAAGTGTCCCATCAACTTCAATCAGAACTTTCTACATTTCAAAAAATTACTAATTAATTACTTAATTTACAAGACCTGTTAATTTCATCCTCTTTTTCTAGTTTTGAGTCTGGTAGTACTATCCCTTTTTACATACTAACTGATTCTTGAAAATACCTTATAATCTCATGCATAAGTCTAGAAAGTGCAGTCTTAAAATCAATTTTAAAAAACCTGGGTTAACTGATCTATGGGTTGATATGAGCACTGTGCCTTAAGTCTTATAAAAAAAGGAACTATTTGCTTCTCTGAGTGGTAAAAACAAAAGTGTAGTCTATCCTGGTCGAATCTAAAAGAAGCATCAAACTTATTTACTCTCTCTACTGCGACAGAGCTTCTGGCATTTCTGAATGTCTGGCTGGGAAAATGGTGGGAGACTGTCAGGGGCAACTGGTCCCCCAAGGTGGTGTTGGAGCTTTCCTCTCTCCTCAAAATGACTTATTCACAGGTCAAATCAATTCCATAACTTTGGCCTCCAAACATGCCCTTGACTTATACATGAGGTTGACTTATACATTAGTATAAAGTATGCATGGTAATGCCTTACTATTCAATTAACACAATTTGTTACCCTCTGTCACTACAGCATTTTTTCTGTAATGGTTTTGAAACTTGTGGAGACTCGTCTCTTATTCTGAGCTAATCTCCCAGGGAAAAAAAGACACCAGAAGAAAAATGAACCAAACAAGAGTTGGAGGTGGCATGTGAGGAACCCAAGATTCAGTTTTCTTATTTCCTTACATCAAAGATCTCAAAGCCAGCAATGTCCAGCACTCCAATGAAGTACTGTCTTGGTTGCTTAGTATCCAGTTGCTGATTAATACGAACAACCATCCACAAGAACATCTTCTCAAAGACAGCTTTAGCCAAAGCGCCAACATTGTTGTTAACCTGGAATAAGAAATTACAAAAGCTATAATATAAAAGGGACCAGGAAACATTTATTGTGATTAACTGACACATCAGGTTTTATTTCATAGATCATTACCTGCTGGACAGTTTGACCTTTGGTGACATATTCATTGCCGACCTTGACCCTGGGGTAGCACAGAGCTTTTAGCAGATCTGCTGAATTCAGGTTCATGAGGTAGGCTGCCTTGTCAGCAACTAAGAACAAAGGTGAGAAGATGACAAATTATGAACCTTGTGTATACTGTTTAGGCTAAAAGGGGATTGTCAATGCATATTGGAAAGGGCACAAGTCTCAGGTTTATAGGAGGTAAAATAACTTGCTTGTTCTTACATAGGTTTGACATTAGTCAAACCCCAAATCTAAATCTACGTTTCTTTCTTTGGCATTTTAATATTGGCAGATATAAAAGGGAAATGGTTGAAGGCTGTATCTGGAGCAGGAACACATGTAGATTCCAATCCTCTACTTGCAGCTCCTAACTGACCTGGGCAGTCTCAAATCCTGATTTTTTAAATATATATATTTTAGGCAACATTTACTCTCAAATTACTCCACATCCCTTTCCCCCTTCCTCTCTCTTCCAGAAACAGGGCAGAATCTGAACCAGAAGAGATGTTATGTCAGTGCTTGACAAATGCAGCACTGAAGCCTCTGGGGAAAGAGTAGGTACTTAAAGTGTAATCCTGAAATAAAAATATTCTTAATATGATTTTATGCAAATTTATTCTTATCTCAATCTTTAAATGCTAAAAGTTTAATGTGGATAATAGGATGTGGGCACATTACCAGGTCTTTCTTATGAGGAAAATAGGAATAATAACCTAGAATGTCTTTAGGGACTGCAAAATGGACTGTGTCTTATACATATTATGTCAGAGTCCTCCATACCTCTAATGTGTACTGCAATGAAACAGATTAGTGGATTATGTGACTACCTTCAGTGCCATCTGGCTCAGCCTGCTCCTCACGCTGCTTCTGCTTGAACTTCATGTTCCCGTAGTGCATCACAGCTCCTGTCAGCTTGTAAATGGCAGTCTTTTCATCAGGAGTGAAGCCCAAGATGTCAATGGCTTCCTGTCAATTGAATCAGTAATAAATACTGAACAAAACTAGTGAGTTAAGTTCACTTGAAAACATAGCATTTGGGGAACCATTGTGCCAATAATAGGCTTTTTATCAGCAGTTAATCCCCAAAATGCCAATGACATCCTGAAAACTGAATCAGTTTTCAAAACTATGTCTAATCTAATGCTAAACCAAAACTAGATCTCCCTATTAACTAAATGTTTTTTGGAGGTGGACACTTTGGAAGACCATTTCAACAATTACTGGCTCCTGATATTCCTCAATTGAAACAATATATCATGGCAAGTGAGGTGTGAACCATCTCTGACCAAAAGAGGTGCCCACCATCACTCCCAAACTTTTATATTTTTCTACATAAAAGGTAAAGTTAGACCAAGCCAGTTTTCTGTCCTGTGATCATCCCAGGGCTTCACAGACAGCAAAAAAATGCCCCAGAAGAAAAATAAAAAGGAAGTGGCCAGGAGTCAAATTTTGGTTTGGGGAATCAGACACATTTTGTTATAAAACTGTGAAAGGGTCCCTGCAACTTATTTAAAGTGTCCCTGGGGTTCCCAGAGAGGCCACTTGCCTTTTCTTTTTGGCCCTCAAAAGGGTGGTCCAGCATGTTTACTGGAAAAAGAGGATTGCAAGTATGCAATATAGCTTGGAATGCAATTAGCCTATCTGTGGATTAGGTGAATCACTCAGTTTGACTTTTTCTTACTTTCGGTCCCTTTTAAAACCTCAAGTTATTTCCTTCAGAATTTAGGGTTATGGTCATTGAAATAATTTTCACCTATTCCATGGTGTGGTTGTTCCAAGGGGGTACTAGAGACACGAAGGAAATGGCAAGTCACTGATGGGAGTCTATAAGTTACTTACATCAGTTGCCATCAGCTCTTCCTGATCATTAATGCTGGCAACAGTAATCTCCCCCTGACTGACAAACTGGAAGTCATAAGGATTGGTGGTGATCAAGAGCATTTCTGAGTAAAGAGAAAACACAAATATGGATTTATTTCTATCCACAACACAATGGAGACTTTGGCAAAAAAAATCCCAGCAGCTTAGTCCACCCACAAAAAGAGATGTTTCTTCCTACCAATCAGTTCTGGCTTCTTGTTGGACATAATCTGATAAAAGATGTGGTAGCTCCTTTCAGCTTTTAGCTGGAAAGTAACTCTGGATTTCTCCAGCAGATCTGGCAAAGAAATTGAGTCTAATTAATCCAGGAAAAAAAGAAGAATAGAAAGGATAACACATTTTAAGAAATCTCTCTTACATGTCTCAATGTCAGCGGAAGCCAGTTTGCCTGTGGCACCAAAATGAATTCTGATGAATTTACCCTTTAAGAAAAACAAATAATTAACAACCTCAGGAGGCATATTCTGCATATACTTAATCAATGTCTTAGCCTTAACAAAAGTAAAGTCTTAGAGATTTTGCACTACACTCACAAAACGGGAGGAGTTGTCATTCCTCACAGTCTTGGCATTTCCAAAGGCTTCCAGCAAAGGGTTTGCACTGATGATTTGATCCTCAAGTGTTCCCTACAGTAGAAATGAAATTATAGATTTATCTCATCTCATCTGTTGATCATCACAGACTATTTTCTTCTTTTGGCTACAAACTTGCCTGCATTTTACTTTGGCTAGCTGGGGCTTCTTCCTTTTTCTTTTCACCTGTGGTTGCAATGGTTGCAAAGTACTGAATGACACGTTTCGTGTTCACAGTCTTTCCAGCACCAGATTCTCCACTGTTGATAAAAAAGAAGAAAAGAAAGCCAATTGATGCAGAAAATTAATTCATGATCGCGATTTTTCGATAACATTATATCCTCCTAAGATACAGGTGAGAATCAAGCCGATTTCCAAATGTTGTTGGACTGCACTTTTTAGCATTCTTGACCATTAGCTGTGATGGCTAGAATTTCTGAAACTTGTAATCCAACAGAGTTTGCATAGCCACACAACTCCTATCACTACTCTAAAGCATACTTGTGGAGATTCTGCCTATTCTTGTTCTCTCCCCTGCCTGTGAAAACCTAGGCTTTTGGGGCAAGACTTCTCAAGCATACCTTGGTAAAAGGAGCCAATTAGGGGCTATACTGACCACTGAAGTTTTTTGTGTCATTAGATCAGCCTCATGATCAACACTGTCTCAAAGCATGGGGATGCTGGGCAGTTGCCTAGGGGCCCCATGAGGATAGGGGCTTCGTGCTAATCTAGGCACAGACCAGAATTTAACACTAATTTCCCAATCACCTGTTCAACATTCAAAACTTTTTCAAACCCAGTAGAAAGAGGAAAAAAATGTGACTTATACTGAAGAATTAGAAAAACTTATACTGAAGAATTAGAATGTCTGCATTCACACAAGACATTTTATCATTTTCATTGCTTGCAATGTTATGGAAGCAGAATATTGTAAGGATTTGTGGAAGGCAATTAAGGGCTGGGGACAACAATTGCTGACAGTGTGCATTTCCATTATCAGACGCAAAGCCTCTGTTGTTTGTGTTCTAAGAACTCTATTTGTGTGTTGAAGGGTTAGAACAGGGGTCCTCAAACCTTTTAAACATAGGATCAGTTCACAGTCCCTCAGACTGTTGGGAAGCTACAGTTTGAAAATTTCCTATGCACAATGCACATATTTTATTTATAGTGTCAAAACATAAAAGAACAATGCCGTATTTCAAACGAAGAACAATTTTAACCAACATAAACTGACCAGTATTTAAAAGAGAAGTGGGGGGCTGCTTTTGGCTAATGAGATAGTAAAGTTAATTATGATTGTGGTTGTGGTGTGCCTTCGAGTCATTTCAGACTAAGGGTGATTCGGTCTAAAATTTAGGGTGGGTGCTGAGTAAACAACCTTGGAGGCCTGCAGGCCTTAGTTTGAGGGGCCCTGGGTTAGAGAAAGTGTAAGCAAGCGAAGTGAGGGGGAAAAATAACTGTAGACTTATTACCTGGTACTGATAAATATATCTTTACTTTATCAATTATTTAAATTTGTGTTTCTGTGAGTGTTTGTGTAGACATGGCCCATGCAGGGTTTTTTTTTCCCCCAGGGGCTTATCCTGTTAAGACAGTCATGCCCACGATGGCTAAATTCTACACATATCTGATCCAGCTGAACCTATTGCAATGTTGCCTTATGTGGTCTAGCCTGGGTTTAAACTGAATCTGGGGGAAGCTTGAATCCTGACTTAGGATTTGGGTTTCCCCCCAACTTAGGTACTGTCAAGACAGCTGTACTGGTTCCTAATTAGAACTGGCTGCAGCTATCTTGACTGCCATCTCACTTTCTCCTTGGCTCAAGCATTCAGGGACACGGGATGGCAGTCACCTATCATTATCCCCTACTGCCCATGCGCTGAGATGAGAAGGAGGACACCTGTCATCCCACTTCCCCTTCCCCCTTCCAAGTTCCCTTTGCATAGCAGCGCTCTGACTGATGCCAACCGGAGCCCCAAAGACCAGGGAGGTGGTGTACCATGGCTGGAGACAACTGCAACATGGGGGGTAAGGGACCTCAAGGGTTTCTGTCAGCAGCCCCAAACTATTTTCAGCATGGCTGGGCAGTAGGGAGTCCCTACTGCTGCTGAGGTGGTTGAGTCCTTGACAGGATGGCATGCAGGGCTAATTCAGTGTCTTGGATGCCTTTGCATGGCCTGTCAGTGTAGAAAGGTCCTAAGGGGTGGGAGAGGCAATCATAAGAAGGAGAAAAGAGATTATTATCTTCCTCCATTTGTAGCAAAAAAAAAAAAGCCCTCTACCTTTTTATGTCGCAATTTGACTGTGATTTGCACTGTAGGCAATAGAAGGCCTTTCCCAACCATATGTGCAGCATGGTGGGAACATTTGAAGGGGTCACACATATATAAAGTAGCAAATTATACTAATGTGGGAAAAGAAATCTTTGTGTGTTTGAGGGTATGAATTGATGTGTTATGTGGGGAAATAGATGTGCATGAATGAAACTGCATGTGTGATTTGTAGCTGAGGGAGAAAAAAAATGTTCAGCGAACATATCTACTCTTGACACCTTTAGACTGTGGCTTCCAGAAGGCTCCCTATAAATGAATGCAGCTTCACATCTCTACCATGAGATAACGGGTGTAATGGAGAGTATGGGTCTATTTAATTTACATTAGTTTTATAGTAGCAATATCTGAGATTTACAATTTTCATTTTTGTCTGTATTAGAACTGCTGTTTGGTATCCACCCATCACTGAGGTTATGAAGTGACTTAAATCTTGTTATTATAATCTGCTGTGGTCCATAAAAGCTTATGTCAAATATAACTTGTTCATTTTTAAAGTTGTACAAGATTCATGAATGGTTTACTTAATGAAACTGTATTTCAGTTGTTTCAACAGGACAAAGCAAAGAATACTTACGTGATCAGAATAGACTGGTTCTCACGATCTGAAAAAATGTTTTAAAGGTTAGTGTTAGTAATACTACACTTGAAAATCCTATGAAGCATATAAAAGACTTTAAAATATGAATGTAGTGAAAAGGACCTACCTCCATCCTAGCAGTAGTAGGATCCTATCATGTATACTTCAGAAAGTTAGAGGCCCAGCTATCCCAAAACGTACATATCACTTGCATATTTCTTTGTTAAATGCTAAGAAATCAATATTTATCCAGTTCCTAGTTTACTTATGGCCTCATTAATTTCCAAAACTCTGAATAATTTATGATCTCAGATACAAAGACATATCATATTACATCATCCTCAAAAAGAAACTTAGAAGAAACATCAATTTTTCAAAAGATGCTACCTACTCACCAGTTAACATGAACTGATACGCGTTATCAGAGATGGAGAAGATGTGGGGAGGAGCCTCTTGTCGCTTCTTGCCCCTGTAGGCAGATACCACCTCAGGGTTGTACACTGGCAGCCACTTGTAGGGGTTGACAGTGACACAGAAGAGGCCAGAATAGGTCTGTAAGAAGAGGGATAGAGCCAGCTTAAAGTTTCATGTATACACTTATCAACATTGTTGTATTCTGAGACAATGCGGAAAGCATATACAACTAATTCCTTTGAACTTCTAGAAGAGAAAGAGCAAGGAAAGGGGATTGTAAAGAATAAATCTTTACAAAAGATTCTCCTTAACATTAAAAAATATTAAGGAGAAAAATTCAGGCAACCAGCATTTGTCATTTTGATGGAGAAAATGGCTCTCTAAAATATCATGCCATTATTTTTTTTTGAGAGAAATTTTGTATGCCTCAGAATTAGCATGCCATCTTTAATGTTGAAAAACATTCAATGTTCCCAACACTGCAAACATTTCTACTCAGGCAGTATCTACACTGCCATATAATCCCATATCTGAATCCAGATTATCTGCTTTGAACTGGATTATATGAGTCTACACTGCCATATATTTCTGTTCAAAGCAAATAATTTGGATACAGATTACTGCCTGGATTCCCCCAGGCAGTAAGAAGCCAGACCTTGCAACTGCTAGGCCATTAAATGCTAATCAAAGTGGCCAACTGAAACATTCATGCCTACCTCAAGCAGACAAGAGTTCTTTCTCCTACCTTGGACATTTCATAGATATATAAACCCCATTTTCCTAGTTTCCAACAGACCTCACAAGCTCTGAGGGTGCCTGCCAGAGATGCAGGCAAAACATCAGGTGAGAATACTTTGGGAACATGGCCATATAGCCCGAAAAACTCACAGCAACCCAGTGATTCCAGCCATGAAAGCCTTCGACAATACAATCTGGATACAGAAACTGGATTATGTGGTAGTGTAAATGGGGCCTCGGTGAAGGAAGTAATATTATGATGCAAATGGTTTGTCTGTATTTGGACTGATCATTGTGTGTTTCCACTCACTTTGAGGGGAAAACTTCAGGTCCAGTTTGTTCCTGTTCCTTTCTTGAAGGATTAACTGGGAAATGGGATAAGATTTTTACTCTCAACCTTATTCTCCTATCTAACATTATAACTCTACAGCCTGGAGTGGGAAACAAGATGCTGTGATACTGTAGAATGGACAGTGGGCCATATTTAATCTACATAGCCAAAATATGTGGACTTAATGTTCAGCTGCTGTGTTGGGTCCACATGATGCATGGCAGGATTCATGGCAGACATGCTGCATCTAGCCATTAATGCGACTCAAGAGAACACAGAATTTATTCATGATCCTAGAGTTTATAAGTAGTGGGCTCCTAGATTGGGCTGGATCTGACCTAATCCACTGTCTACAACTCCAGGTGAGCCACTACTGTCTCATCTGGCAGAAAGTTGCTTGTTACTGGTGATACAAATGCAGCAGTGGTCCTGATGCGCCCTTGGACTGGCTGTCTAGGTTGAAAACCAAAGGGCTCTAGGGGCACTACTGGGCTGCATCAGAGCAGTTCTGGTGTACATTAACCTATATTATTCAGGTAGGTGTAGACACAGCTATGGCCTTATCTGTCTCATACTCTTCCATGTCTCAGGTTCCACCATCACAGAGCTTGCAAGCAAGAGGAGAAAAGGTGGGGCTTTGGTTTTTTTCAGAAACAAATCCCTGCACCCTAGAGTACTTGTCACTGTCTTAACTCTCTGCAGAACCCACTATTTTTAAAGAACCCACCATAAGTGCCCTCATAATAAATAAAACAGGAACCTTGTCCTTTTAAAAAGGGGAAACACCATCATGAGCCTGCACATTAAGACAGAATGTGAGAAAGATTCTGGAGAAGTAAATAGACAAGGACATTGTCTGATTTAATTCTTGCATGGCTTTCCTACTTCAGGCAGTAACAGATTTGGGTTCAGCTCATTTAATGAATTGAAGTACTAAGAGGGTAGAGCACCAAGGGATGAAGTGTTGGTGAGTTAAACAGCTGGAAAGAACGAAGAAAGCAACAAGGGAAGGTTGGGAGAGGAGCCGGAAGGCCCAGCTTCATGGATAGAGGTTTACTTCCAGAAAGCAATTTGTCATGGGAGAAAACAAGTTAAAATAACCTGTTTTCCCCTGCATTGCTATCCACACAGGCACCCAAAAGAAGGAGGTTTTCCCAAATCACCCCCCCCCCCAACTATTTAAAATAAAAGAAAAAATTACTGGGCCACCATGTTTTTAGGAACATACCAATGTTGCACTAGGAAGTAGGGGTGGGGACAGGAGTGATACCACCTCCCCCCAGCACTACATTGGTATGTTCCAAAAAAAAAAAACATGCAGAAAGGCCTAATGGCAACCTGCTAATTTTTTCTTTTATTTTAAAGGTTTCATGGTGGAATTGGGGAGGGGTTTTGTTTCCCTTTTTTGCTTCTCTGGGCCCACAGGGCCCAAATAAGTGAATTGGGCTGTGGGGACTGACCCCTCGGTAGTCCCAGGACTACTGAGGGGTCAGTTCCCACAGGGTCCATACTCCATTAGACCTGGGTCTTTCAGGAAGACCCAGGTCTAATAAAGCATCAAATTAATTCTGGACATAGCAGGGTTTTCCTGCTTTGTCCTGAATTAATTTGGTTTTACGTCATTTGGACGCCTCCGGTAAAACTGTGGGAGCTCCCATATTATGGGCCCTGTCTGGATGTGCCCAGAGAGAGCAGCAAAGGCATCTCGGGGACTGGTACGAGGGAGGAAATCAGGGAGGCGGCAGAAGAGAAAAGTATATAACACGTTTGTTATTGGATAATTAAATTAATTAGTACAAACTATTTCTTTGTAACCAGTTGCTGCCAAAAGGAAATAGATTGAAGTGTTGGAATGTTGACTTAAATCACAGTTAAAGGAGAGAAACTGCAGGATGAACCCTTTCCTGCCTACCTTTCAGTAATTGTCTTATTTCATGAAAATGTATGTTGCCACATAACTTTTTAAAACATCTAAGATCTAATGTATAACCACAATAGTGTGTCAGCTGAGTACAAAACAAAATCAAACATAAACAGGGCACAAGGACTGTACTCACATAGATCATCCAGGCTGCATAACGCTCTTTGAGGTTATACAACACTGCAGGTTCATGGAGGTGGGTCATCATGGCCATGTCCTCAATTTTGTCATATTTGGGAGGATTCATGGAAAAGACTTGATCTTCTTTTACTGTTATAGACTGGAAAAGGAAAAGTAGAATGGTTTATATCTTAGAAAGTAGAAAGGTGAAAAAAATATTGTGCTGCATTTATTACATTTTACTCACAGCTCCTTTTTCAGTCTTGACTGTGACTTTCCCTCCTTCCCTGCTTTGGACGGTGCCTTTGACATAGGACTCCTTAGGTTCCACCACAAAAACCGCGTTCTTGGCATCAAAAGGTTTATTTTGAGCTTCAATTCTTTCCTTTTCTGATTTTCGAAGGTAAGGAGCAGCTGGCCCAAAAACGGCCATCTCAGCGTCTGATGACATGGCTGCAGTTTATCGGACGTACTTCACCAGAAAAGACTAAATGGACAAAAGGCTGATCAGGTTTTTACATAAACTGAAGCCTTTCTATTACACAAACTTAGTTTTCTTCTTGTAACTTGCATCAACCCTGTGCTGCATCTGTTTTTTTAATGCAGATGTTTACTGTGTTGCATCCAAAAATTCTTTTTCTTTGGTGAAAGGAGTATCTTTCAAGGAAGAACTCCTTTCTTTGTAAGAAAGGATCCATAATGCACTACCAAATAATTATCAGTAGGTCTATTGAGCAATTTTAAAATACAAGAAATAAATGAATAAAAATAAACTGAAGCCCTGTGCATACAAACCCCATCACTCTCAAAAGTTTCCCAATTCAACTCATTTAAGAAAATCTGATTTGCATGTACTAATCAATCAGCATGTATTTTGTATTCTTTCAATTGATATGCTTGGGAAATAGTATGGACACACGAGTTTCAGCTTCTTATCTGAGTGCATATTCACCTATAGTGGGAAGCATGGTGGTTTTCTTCATATTGCTTTCAGTAGCACTTCCCCGCATTACACAAAAACAGGGATTACTTGCTGATGTTTGTAAACTTGGTTTTGAAAAGCAATCTCTTTGCATATTCCTTATACTGTTCTGTAGAACTTTTACATCCTATCATATCATTGTCATAAATTCGACTAAGCAGCAACAGTATGTCACTGAGTTTAGTTTTAAAACACATACTTTATAAACACAAGGACTTATTATTATTATATTATTATAACTTTATTTGTACCCCGCTAGCATCTCCCAAGGGATTCGATGCGGCTTACAACGGGCCGAAGCCCACACAATACAACAATACAACAATACAGTACCTAGCAAATAAACAGTTAAGCAAAAACAATAACAAAAAACAGTACAACAAAACATTATTAAAACTGAGCTGGCAGAGTAGGGGTACAGGGTTAAAAGTGCTGATGTGTCGGAGGAGTATGGGATTATAGTATAAGTGCGGTGTGCGGTGATCTTGGTTCTGAATAAAGTGCTTCTGGGATTTGGTACTGGGGTTCCTAGTCTGAAAAGGCACATTGGAACAGCCAGGTTTTCAGATTCTTCCTGAAGACTGCCAGTGTAGGGGCTTGTCTGAGGTCTTTCGGGAGGGCATTCCAGAGGCGGGGGGCCACCACAGAGAAGGCCCTGTCTCGTGTCCCCACCAAGCGCGCTTGTGACGCGGGCGGGATCACGAGCAGGGTCTCTCCAGATGACCGGAGTGAACGTGTGGGTTCGTAGACAACAATACGGTCACGCAGGTAGGGTGGTCCCAAACCGTTCAGGGCTTTGTAGGTAAGCACCTGCACCTTAAATTGGGCTCGGAAAATAAACGGCAGCCAGTGGAGCTCCTTAAACAGGAGGGTTGACCTCTCTCTGTAGTGGGCCCCAGTTAACATCCTGGCTGCTGCCCGTTGGACCAATTGGAGTTTCCGAGCCGTTTTCAAGGGCAGCCCCACGTAGAGCGCATTGCAGTAATCCAGTCTGGAGGTGACTAAGGCGTGGACCACCCCAGCCAGATCAGCCTTAGCTGATCTCATCACATTAAGGATGGGATTTGCCGCACATCGTGATGAATTCAGCGGGGGCCGACATGGGACGTGGGGAACCCATTGCTCCGCATCCCGTATCACATGCCTTGCCCCTCACCACATCCCATTGGGGGAAGATTCCCCCCATTGTTGCCTATGCAACACAGGAAGCTTCCTGTGTTGCCATCATGGTGGCTTATCATGCTTTCATTTCATGTGTGCCATGGAGCCCTGTTGGAAGTAGATCAACTTCATGAGATGGGAGCCAGAGGGCTCCATGCTGCAGATGAAATGAAAGTTTTGTACAATTGGCAATGTTTCCTATTTGATGAGGTGCTAAGTTTGATGTCTGGCATTTCTAGTTAGAAAAATCAAATAGATATTATGGGAAAGATATCTGCTTCCCAAGTGTCACTCCCCATCAGTAAACAAATGAGTTGACTGCACATGTTCCTATTCTATTCTGTTGTTTTTTTGGCATTCTACCTATTCCGGATTATTTTACCAGAAATTTGAGGATAAAAGTATGTTGTATGTCATGTTTGGTGCATGTCTAAATATGAAGCATCATTTAGAACAATGATACTCCAAGTGGTATACTAACTCAGGTATGGGCAAACCCAGGCCCTGGGGCTGGATGCAGCACCTTGGGCTCTTTTCTTAGGTCCTCCTTTCTCACCATCCTGCCCTCCCTTCATTTTTTCCTTCATCCTTCCCTCCCCTCCTTCCCACCCTTTTGTCCTTCCATCTTTCCTCCCTCCTTCCCTCTCTCCCTCTCCTTCCTTCCTTCCGCCCTTCCTTCCCTTCCTTCCTTCCTTCCTTCCTTCCTTCCTTCCTTCCTTCCTTCCTTCCTTCCTTCCTTCCTTCCTTTTTGTTTTTCCTTCCTTCTCTCTTTCCTCCCTCCCTCCCTCCCTCCATTCCCTTCCTCCCTTCCTTCTCTTCCTCCCTCCCTCCCTCCCTCCCTTTCTTCTCTTTTTCCTTCCTCCTTTCCCCCTGGGGGATGTTTAGCTGGGAGAAGAAAAGGTAGAGAGGGAACATGAGAACCATGTCTTAAGATTTAAAATTGAGGATTAGAGGGACAACTGATTTTCTGCTGTTCAAGAGACCAAGACACAAGGGAGGAATGGTTTCAAATGGCAGGGAAAGAGATTCAACTGAAAAGATTAGGAAGAACTTCCTGGAGAGTGGCATAGGTTGTCTTGGAGTGTTCAAGAGAGTCTCCTTCTCTAGAGGCATTTCCACAAAGGCTGTTGCTTTGGAGTGCTTTGATTATGCCTTCCTGCATGGTGGGGGTTGAACTGGATGGCCCTTGGGGGTCTCTTCCAACTCTAGGGTTCTAGGATTCTAGATCAGGAGTAGGCAATACGGGGTCTAATGGATACACTTTTTCTCTCCCATCCATCATCTCATCCTGACCAAAACCAACCCCTTTGGGATCCAAACATTTCCTGTCTTTCCTTCACTTTATGCCTCCAAAAGGGAAGAGGAAGGGGAGGAAAGGGCAGGGATGGGACCTGGGGAGAACCCCCTCCTTACTGGCCCACCCACCCCACTCTGGTCCACCATGAGGCCCTCAAGTTAGAAAGTTTGCCCATGGCTGTACCAACTGCTACTCTGACACAACTCCCTTAGAAACTGGGTACCAATTTGGCACATTTGTGAAAAAATGCTCACCCTCACATCGAATAGCCCGAGAGTCACTGCTTTAGAAGAATTGTTTGGGGAGCAACAATCAGTAGCTTCGAGCCAGTTCTTTATTAGGCATGCAGTTTCAATCATCACTAAAACTGCATCTAAGTTTGATACTACCTTCACTGCCATATTTCAATGCTATGGAAACCTGGGATTTGTAGTTTCGTGAGACACCAGTACTCTTTGGCAGAGAAGGCTGAGCACCTTGCAAAACTACATTTCCCATGGTTTCATAGCATTGAGCCACTGTAGCAAAAGTAATGTCAATGTATTAATTCTGCATTAATTCTACTAGATGTACTACTGAGTCACTGTTACATCTTCTTTTAAAGTCCTACAAGATCAGGTCTCATTTCAAATTTAAGTATAAAATGTTACATTCTTCTTAGCACTAAGTCTAAAGCTATGCTACTTTTGATTTTTCCCCACTATTAATTCTATTAGTGCTAAAACTTCCCTTTCTGGAATTATTTCCCCTGTATTTTACAAATATTCATAGAAGGTGAAACTATTTCAAATACATTCCCAGTAGTGGTTAAGATATAGCTATGTGATGGATAATATTAGCATATTTTATTCTTACCTCACCTTGTGGAAGAAGCTCTAGGCAGACTTGAGGATGGCAAACACTGCAAAATAAAAATAAATAATAAAAAATGAACTTTTTCCTGCTCCCAAAAAAGCTCCAAGGATAAGTGAATGAATGAAAAGGTTCTGATATCCAGGTCTTAAAGAGCTCTAGGGGCAGCAACATGACCGTAGGATGTGTAGAATTCCAGGCCTCTGAGCCATCCCTGCAGCTCTCTTTGTAACTTACCTTGAAGCTGCATGCAAAGAACAGGCAGATCAAAGACAAGACAGGTCCTAGGAACTCTTTTATAAGGTCTGCTCATGGTTAGCATAACACAGATAATACCACCTCCTCTGTCACCGGTCAAATATGTCTGGCAAAGTATTGTCTTGGCACTGTTTGTTGACTGCAAGTATCATTCTTACTCATATTATCCTGGGATATATTTAGAGTAGAAACACGCGGGTCACTGCATTCCTACATGTACTTGTATCATTTCTATATATGTTTTGGAGAACTTGTTCCTTTTTGGTATTTTCCTGTTCAATTATTCAAATGTAAACCTCCTCTTCACACAGTACCATTTCCTCTGAAAAATAGGAAATTTGGTTTCATTCAAGTTTTTTTTATTATTATTTTTAGTTTCATGAATACAGCAGTCAAATAACTGCCCTCTCTACTGCTGCTACGCCAAACACACACACATGAACACACTCATTGTCAGATATTGTGTTACATAAATTGTTGGTATGTGAGAAGTTTGATTTGCGGTAGAAAAATCACTTTCATGACATTATAAACTCTGAAAAATAGACATGCTGAGTCTGACAGATGAGAAGTGGGAGCCTTAGGACACTTGGCATCCCTGCTATGATTACCAGTTTGGATGACTGACTACTGTGCTCACAAAACCCTTTAGAACATGATTAGAATTTTAGTTATAAAGAGCATGTGCTCTTTAACACAGTTCAAGTGAAGAGGCCACGAAGCAATGTGAATGTCTTTCTCAGTAGCAATCTGAAGGTTGTTGAGAAGAAGATACCGTGACGGAAGAATGAAAAAACTTTCAATTAGACATGAAGAGCCTGAGATGTTCACGTGCTGCTACAAAGATGCATGTCCTCCTCTGCAGAGTGAAGCTGCCCTTTAAGGCTTCCTTCCCCACAAACAAATCAAGGCAATTCAGGACTGTTCTCTATGGTTTGCCTTCACAGTATATAGATTTTGGCTCTTCTAAAGCTGTATCATCAAGCTATGGGCAATGTATTGACTATAAGGACAGGGACTGTAAGGATGTCACTTCATTCTTTGACCTCAAGCAATATTTATCACCCCTGATCATAATTTAAAGCTTCTTCCGCAGTTTGTGGGCTTCATGGGATAGATGATTTGAAGTGAGTGTATGAACTACAGATTGTGGTGAATGCACATTACGATTTTTGATTTGTAATGGGCAGCTCCTGCCCATTCCCACACTACCTGCATTGCTCCATTCCTTTGAATTAACTAAACCATGACAGAAGCATTATGTGAAATAGGTGTAAGACAGATCTTGCCTCTTTCAGAATTACTGCCCCTTTTATTTATACCTATTTAATCTGGATTAATTTCAGAATTTTTGGGGGAAAAAGCCAGTTGTCCAGCAGCAAGCAAAGAACAATACAGGTAAAAGATGAAATTCCATATTCAAGAAAGCATAGGGCTAATGCAGAAAATTGCATCTCTCTACGTTGAATCCTCTGTACAGTGTGGAGCAATTTACTGTTTGCTGGATCCTATATATTAGCATAGTATAAATATACAACAGTGGGCACCAAAGCATTAAGATCACCTGTACAAAAGCTTTCTACTCACCAAGTCAGAAGTATACAAGACAGAAGGCAGTGGCTATACTTAGGAAATAGGACATGCTGGGTGAATCAGAACTGCAATTAACCTCCCAAAAAGTGTTTATTTTTTATGCTTAATGCCACAACCATTTCAACTAAGATATTTCCTTGCTTTGATCATAGTGTTTGATCAAATGACTGGCAGGCAAATGTACAATAACATGAATTTGGTACACATTATGGAGACGAACGGAATATGGCAGTGGTGTTTAATATAGTTGCCTTGCGCATCCCTGAGGCAAATTTACCATGGAGTTGTCTAGGGCTGTGTGTGTGAGTTGCACAAAGTCACCCAGTGGGCTTCCAAACCCTGGTCTCCAGAGTTATAGGCCCCACTTACACTGACATATAATGCAGTATGAAACTTAATTATATGGCAGTGTAGATGAGGTCATCGTCAAATTTTCACTACACCATTCTGGCTATCTAACAATGCAAATGCAATGTAGTATAAGTAGAATTTGAACAACTAAATGTAGAAAAGTGATTGAATGCCATAACTGGATACAGCATTTACTTCAGTGGCTCATTATTATAACTTTTATTTTACTTAGTTCAGTCATTTTATTCTACTTCCAGGTTTTTCATCCCAAGATCAGACATACTTGAAATCCCAAGATCAGATGTACTTGACTTTGCAAAAGGTTCCACTATAACATGTATAACAATTATTGCTTCCCTTCTTGCACTGCTAATAACAATATGCACCTTTTGCAACAGCAAATGCAGAGACCTGCATGGTTGCCCAATTAATAATTTTCTCAAAGTTCTACTTTCCAAGATTTGGCTGCTAGCAGTGCTCATCTTCATCACATTAGCATGCTCAGTCTGGAATTTTTCCCTTTCAGAAATGTGTACTAAGTAATATGATAATTACTGTTTAAATGCATGAAATACCTCACATGCGTAGGTCGCTGGGAAGCACATTTGGGATGTCAATGTTAAATATCTAAGTTATTCTATTTTTACTACCAATAACAAGGAGTCACTGTTATGGGATTTTCAGCTTCATGTTCCAAAATAACTTCATAGGTTAAATGATGCCTTGGGCTGGATCTGTTTCATGTTTCTTAGCTCTATGAGTTTTTTAGTTGGTCTTTCTCTCCTCAACATGATAGGGTTACAAAATGTTAAACAACCATACCTGAACCCCTTTAACAACCTATGAACAAGGTATGCAAGGCACAATTTAATTCTGATTGAAAGCACTCTTAACTCATAATTCTTTTAATATGAGGTTTCATAGCTCTAATAAAAATGTTTTAGAAAGCCTATATGAAAATCCATAAGTTTATTTAATAGATTCTTACATTAGCACTTGACATTTTGAGACTACTGGTGATGCACACGCCTTATTTAGAACACACTCGTGTTTCTGCATCTTGAACCTTTATATCTTTGGCAACTGAGCATTAGGGATTAGCCAAATGCCAAGCTATTCCTTTAGAGCAAAGAGTTAAATCTGAATAAGTCCTGTTGATGTATAGGGGCTTAACTATCTCCTCAACCCCACTTGAAGGGAACAAGAGGGCCTGAGCTCATCAGTTATTTTTTCCAGGCCCATATTTAGAAGACCCACCGAAGACAAAATATTTGATAAAAGATATGACATCAAATGGCATAGTCTTATACAATACAGGTACCAACACATGTTATTTATGTGCATTTGTCTTTCTCAAATGAGAAACCCAAGCCAACTAAGCCATTCAACTCCAAGAAACCTCCAATTTCATTATGATTTACTGATTACCCAATCAATGGTGTGTGTGTGTGTCTTGAAAAGAGGCTATAATCTACACAAGCAGATAGATTTGGGGATGTGGTAAAAAACCTAACTTTTTCAAACATTTGTATATGGTTGTAAACATTTTCTCATAACTAAATAGAGCTCTGTGGCTATCCTTCTGTTCTTGACTTTTATTTCCCATCAACCCATAACAACCTATGTCAGTCATGAGAAATGATGTGCACTGCAGTGCAAAAACATCTCCTAGTGCACAGCTGCCTACCTTTGTTGTAGGTGAAAGCTTTGTGGAAATGTGTATATTAAATTCACTACCAAGAATATCCTAATAGATACCCTTTAAAAGAAAAAAAACACACCTGCTTTAATATGCAATAGGCTCTACAACTTTATTTTCTAAACACTGAGGAAAAACAGGACTATAAATACATGAAGGAACAAAGAGCTTCACATTTTGTGCTTCTCTTCATTCACTCTACAGCGTCCAAGGCATCTTATTCTTCACTTACAACAACCTTCTTATGCACTTCTCGGGACTTCACTCTGAGTTTGTTAACTTGGGACTCAGCAATGTCAGCCCGCTCTTCGGCCTCTTCCAGCTCATGCTGCATCTTGCGGAACTTGGAAAGGTTCGCATTGGACTGTTCCTCCTGGTAAACAGCATAGATTGAATAATTATCATCATATCCTCATCACCATCATCATTATCTGGTTTTTTTCCCCAGTTCAGGACTCAAGGCAGTTTGCAACAGATTTCAAAAAATAATTAACATTTTGAAAAATGAATGAGTCCCTTTAGGGAAATGGAGGTGGGTTATAAAAATAAAGTTGTTATTGCTGCTGCTGCTGTTGTTATTAAAGTCCCATTGAAACAAAAAATATTGTCCTGTTTTCACTAAGAGGGAAGATGCCAATTTAACTTCTCTTGGAGTTCCAGAGCCTGGGGCAGACTAAGACCTTCCCCAGTGTTCCCATCACTCTCACTAGGTATGAGGGTACTAGTGCAAAGAAAAGGGCACCCCGAGAAGATATCAAAATAGGCACTTCCATAAGGGAAATATGGCCCTTCAAATAAACTGGACCTGAGCTCTATAAAGCTTTATAGATCAAAAACAGTCCTTTGGATTATGCTTAGTAGTGGACCAGCAGTCGGTGAAGCTGCTGGAACAAAAGAGTTATGTGCTTCATGTAGCCAGTCTTAATCAATAATCTGACATCAGATCATGCACCACTAACTACAGAATTTGAAATGAATAATGAACAGAAAAACAGAATATGGAAATACAACAATTTAATCATGAGACAAAGAAAGAGAATAAGGATTATATTATAAAGCAAATTAAATTCTACTTTAATGAGAATAAGGGCACAGAATCAGTAAGTACAGTATGGGACACAGCTAGGTTCTGTAATAAGAGGACACTGTATGTTAAAGGATAAATTGTTGAAAATTGAATGCAAATAGACAAGAATTAATAAAAGCATTGAGAACCCTTCATAATAACAACAGATTAAATTTAATACAAAAAAAATCAGATATAGATGGAAAAGATAAAAAAGAATGAAAAAGTTTGGACCTCATGTCAGTATGAAGGAGAGAAATATTAATTAAAAATGACTTTCATATACTTAGCATAAAACAGACAAAAAGATTAATAAATTAGGTTAGTCACGTGATACTTACAGCTTCCTCAGATTGTCGCTTGTATGCTTTCACTTTAAGTTGTAGTTTATCCACCAGATCCTGAAGCCTGACTATATTCTTCCGGTCTTCCTCAGCCTACAAAAATGAATGTGAAGAAGGGTGAGAGTTAATTTTCACATGCATGATACCACCCCATTTTCCTGAAACATTTAAAAAGGTTAAAAGCCTCACCTGATAGGTCATTTCCTTCACTCTTCTCTCATACTTCCGGACACCTTTGATAGCCTCTGCACTACGCCTTTGTTCGTTCTCACACTCACCTTCCAGCTCACGAACCTGGCATAGAATAATGAAGATATCTGCACTTCAATTCATATCCTGACAATAATGAGAATGTGTATTCATGCAGGCGTAAAACTTATCTGAACTGAATGAATGGTTGAAACTTCCCTTTCCATCTTTGATAAACTCTTCTTGTCTCTGACTTTTTTCATCCCTCTCTTGAGCAATTGGAATTTTCTCACACTTCCCTTCTTTCTTATCTCTATCGTCTATTTCTACTGTCACCTTTGGGAAAAAGTGTCCCTACTTCCTCAAATGCTTAATTATCAACCTAACATTTGTTAGTTTTTGTATGCTGATATATATTCCTGACTTTTTTGTTTACAATCTGTTAAGCCTACCAGTCTGTTCCTTTCCTTAATGTGAAATATGCTGATGAGTATAGAGGTTGGAGTGATAACTGTCAACATCACAAAGAACCTCATCACAATGAGGACCCTAACACAGGTGACAGCAGGGAAATTTGCCAGGCAGTGTGGTGAATTTATGGGGCAGTGGAGGGAAACCACCATCATCCCATACCCTGCATCGCCACCTTTCCCATCACATGGGGAAAAGTGCTGCCTCCCTGTTTCCCCGCACACTGGCCCTGTGCTTTGAGTGTGATTTCCTTGCTTCTTGGAAGGGGGGTTGGACTGGATGGCCCACAAGGTCTCTTCCAACTCTATCGTTCCGTGATTCTATAATGAGAACACGGGAAGCCTCCCATGTTCTCAGGGCTTCGTCCTAGGACACTTCCTAGATGGAGCCAGAAAGGAGCCCCATCAGAAGTAATCCTGTGCCATGTAATGGGCTCTGGCTGGCTCCAGCCTGGAAGCATCCTAGGACAGAACCAGAAATCAATGTGAAGTCAGAGACAAATGGAACAAGAGTAGATTTCCCAATGTTGTTTTAAGGTAAGTGACTGAATGTCTATGCTCTTTCCAAGACTAAAACATCAATCTCATTTAAAAAATATTATCATCTCCTCTTAATATTATTTCTTCTAAACCACAGCTTTTTCTCATGTGGATAAAGTGGTACAAATCAGAGAGAGTCATAAAGTAATTAACAATTACTTGATGAGATTCAATTATATGAGGTACTGCATACATACTCTAGCTTCCAGTTTCTGGATCTGTTTCTTCCCGCCTTTCAGTGCCAGCTGCTCTGCTTCATCGAGACGGTGTTGAAGATCCTTCACAGTCTGGTCCAGATTCTTCTTCATCCTTTCTAAATGTGCACTAGTATCTTGTTCCTTCTTTAACTCCTCTGCCATCATGGCTGCCTAATAATAAAAGAACCATCCAGTTCAAAAAGCCATGGATGGTAGCTGTAAAAGGTAATAATTTATTAGGAAACACCTTCCAACTTACATCAGTGATTGCCTTCTTGGCTTTTTCTTCTGCATTGCGGGCTTCCTGAATTGTCTCCTCCACTTCACTCTGAATTTGGGCAATATCCGTTTCCAGCTTCTTCTTGGTGTTGATTAGACTAGTATTCTGTGGAAAAAAACAACAAACTTTAATATTGGGTTGAAAAATGCCACAGGGAAGGAGACAGAGGTATTCTTCATTACAGCCAGTGATGTATTGGTTATGATAATTCCTCAGTTCCCCTGTTGCAGTTTTCCTAAGCATTAAGAAACCTATCTTACTGTGACAGCTAACACTAACATCACCATCCTCAGATCAATTTGCTCATACAGGCTAAATAGGCATGAAGATCACTATGTTGATAAAGCCATCTGGAGAACCTGTACTATATCATTTTGTTTATGGTCCTAGGGAATAAAAACATTTAAAAACAACAAGATATGTTTATCAATAATTGTTATACATGATAGATAATAAACAAGAGCCATTTCAAGAACACAAAGACATTATACACATGTAACCCATGTTCTGCTAGAAGTTACAGGTTTTCAAAACCTTATGTAAGGATTATTGCCTGCATGGAATCTCTAAACTGGTATTATGCAGGCCACATAAAATGATGCGGTGGGCCGGATTAAGACCACGGGCCTTGTGTTTGACACATGTGCTCTAAATGGTCAACACAATATATACAGAAGGATCAAATACATGACTGCACCTACATGCCAAGATATCGGCAGTCATCCTACCAGTATTCTCTTTATTCGGAAAAATATTTTTTCCGAATGAAGCAGAGAGTGTTTGAGGACCGGGACATCCGTAGGGATACCAAGGTGCTTGTTTATAGAGCTATTGTCCTCCCAACCCTGCTATATGCCTGTGAGATGTGGACTGTCTACAGATGTCACATGCAACTCCTGGAACGATTCCATCAGCGCTGCCTCCGGAAAATCTTGCAAATCTCTTGGGAAGACAGGCAGACAAATGTCAGCGTGCTGGAAGAAGCAAAGACCACCAGCATTGAAGCGATGGTCCTCCGCCATCAACTCCGCTGGACCGGCCACGTTGTCCGGATGCCCGACCACCATCTCCCAAAGCAGTTGCTCTACTCCGAACTCAAGAACGGAAAATGGAATGTTGGTGGACAGGAAAAGAGATTTAAAGATGGGCTCAAAGCCAACCTTAAAAACTCTGGCATAGACACTGAGAACTGGGAAGCCCTGGCCCTTGACCACTCCAGCTGGAGGTCAGCTGTGACCAGCAGTGCTGCAGAATTTGAAGAGGCACGAATGGAGGGAGAAAGAGAGAAACATGCCAAGAGAAAGGCGCGTCAAGCCAACCCCAACCGAGACCGCCTTCCACCTGGAAACCAATGCCCTCACTGCGGAAGAAGATGCAGAGCAAGAATAGGGCTCCACAGCCATATACGGACCCACAAGAATACTGGAAGACAATCCTCCTCAGAAAACGAGGGATTGCCTAAGTAAGTAAGTAAGTAAGTAAGTAAGTAAGAAAGTATTCTCTTTATTAGGCCAAAAAACAAGGCTGAATGAAAGTGTTAGTTATGCCCATCATTTTGTTTTCAGCCACTATTTCATGAATTGGTCAGGGTCAGAGAGTAGTAGAAAAATTAGGTCTAATTCCATGTACACAGACTAACTTCCCCTTTGATCATCCATACCCCTCTCCCTCAGTTTAATAAATATAGGTTTTGCAGGCCATAGGATAAAGTAGGACTTTTTGGCTTTCCTATCTTTCCTTGACTATCTTTTTCACTCCTCAGTACAGAGGAGTACAGAATATGAGAAAGAGTGCTCTGGAGGTCAATATCTGTCTATCCTTAAGATTTATCAGGTCTCATTTGATTGAATATTGGCAAAGTCAATTTATCATACATGCCACTATTTCATTTTTAAAATATAGATACTGGTTAGGTTGTTTCTGTCATGTTTGGTTGGCAGAGGTTGTATCTATCATGTTTGGTTGGCAGGGATTTGATAGGCTTTTTGTTTGTTGAATGTCCACAGGCTCTTTCAAACTCAAGTACAATGTGCGATGAACATGAGTGAAACAGCCACGACAACAACAACAAGCAGGAGGCCATCTTGCAATAGTCAGCCATCATTTTGTTTGGAAGAGAAGTTACAGAATATCTCCACTAATGTTCTTGCTCTTGATATGGCTGACCACCTAGTCCTGTGGTTCTCAACCTGTGGGTCCCCAGGTGTTTTAGCCTACAACTCCCAGAAATCAAAGGCAGTTTACCAGCTGATAGGATTTCTGGGAGTTGAAGGCCAAAACATCTGGGGACCTACAGGTTGAGAACCACTGACCTAGTCTCTCAGAAGTTCATGGCTGTATGCCCTCCCAGTGTTTTATAGGATCATGACCTATAATGGCTACCTTCTATTTACTTAATACTACTTTGGAGATTATCCAAACACATACAAAATAGAAACTTACTTGTGTGTGGAGGAGTTGCACACGCTCAGTGGCATCTAGAAGCTCCTGTTCAGCCACTTTCCTGCCCCTCTCTGTCTGTTCCAGAGCTGCCCGGAGCTCCTCAATCTCAGCCAGCATCAAGTTAGCTCTGCGCTCAATCATGGCCACTTGCTCCTTCAGGTCTTCCTGGCTCCTCAGAGCATCATCCAAATGCAATTGTGTATCCTAAAAAGGACACAAAGATATTTTTGTAAGCAAACTGTTTGACCAATAAGAATCACAACTGTAGTCTCATTATAGAAGTCACAATGTACTTTGAGAATCCCTTGTGTATTTCTGAGGTTCTTCAACGTCTCGGCAGCTTGGCGGTTGGCATGGCTCAACTGGATTTCCATTTCATTCAGATCTCCCTCCATCTTCTTCTTAAGTCGCAGAGCATCGTTTCTGCTCCTGATCTCAGCATCCAGTGTGCTCTGCATGGACTCCACTACTCTGAGGTGATTCCTCTTCAGCTGATCAATCTCTTCATCCTTCTCTGCAATTCTTCTATCAATATCAGCCTTCACCTGGTTGAGCTCCAGTTGGATGCGGAGGATTTTGCCTTCCTCATGTTCCAGTGAGGCCTTAAAACCAAAGTTTTAAAATATGAGTACACTGTAGAATCATTATCTTAAAATATATTCAACATCTTTAAAAACAGTAATTTGTTTTTAGTAAGACGGTACTAATAGAATAGTAGTTAAACTTAGATGTTTTGTGTGATACTGAATAATTCAAATGCATTCCTCAATGGCATATTCACCTCAGCTTCCTCCAGAGCAGTCTGGAGATCAATTTTCTCTTGTTCAATCTGCTTCTTCACTTTTTCCAGTTCATGGATGGCTTTTCCACTTTCAGCAACTTGCTCCGTAAGGTCAGAAATCTCCTCTATTAAAAATATCAACAAGTGAAGAATAAATTTGTAACCTGCGCAGTTAGCTACAGAGTACAGTCATTCTATCAACTATTAATATTAATTAAAGTTTTAATACAACTGGAGTGCTCGACTGAGTCTTATTAATTGCTTAAGGGAAAAATTAATTGCATATAATAAAGCAACCGAAGTCCTACTTCTGAAACCCAAGTAAATGTCTATGTAAATACTATGGTCTTACGCTGCAAGTTTTTGTTCTCGCGTTTCAGAGTTTCCAGGTGATCCAAGGATTCCTCATAAGCATTCTTCATCTTAAAGAGCTCTGTGCTGAGAGAGCGAGACTCCTTCTGTGCACCTTCCAGTTCAGACTGTGTTTCTTCATATTTCTGTTTCCAGTCTGCCAGAATCTGCAACATGCCACCAAGAAATGAGTTAGTGTAAACCTTTATCAACATTCTCATTTTTATGAAATCATGACTTATTAAAGAAAAACTTGTATATCGAACCTTATCAAAGTTCTTCTGTTTTTTATCTAGAGCTGCACAAGCTGCATTGGACCTCTCCACATCAATCATTAGGTCCTCCACTTCATTCTGCAACCTCTGTTTTGTCTTCTCAAGGGAAGCACATTTGGAATTGACAGCTTCTACATGTTCCTCAGCATCCTGCAAACGCTGGGCAAGCTTTTTTCTAGTTGAAATGTCATGACAACACTGATTAGGGGACTATATTTGATTCAGTTGTACTTAGTTGTGACCATTACATTGCAATAATTTATTTAATTGTAAAACATTTCTACAGTTGCTATCAAAAATGATTTTTAATGAGAGACCTCCAAGCCATTAGCAGCCCTGCTTGGATCTTGCAAATTCAAAGCAGTTCTGATTTCCTTGATTAGATCTATCCATCTGAGGGCCCTTCTACACTGTCATATAATCCAGGTTATCCAATCAGATAATCCACATTATCTGCTTTGAACTAGATGATATAAATCTACATGGCCATATAATCCAGTTCAAAGCAGATAATCTGGATTTTATATGGCAGTGTAGAAGGGTACTGAGATGCAGCCTTTCATGCTGTCCTCTATATTACCATTATTGTCTATTCTAGCAAGCTAGTCTTTTCATGATATGACCAGAGAATGACAGTCTCTATTAAGTCATTTTGGCTTCTAAGGAGAGTTCTGGCATTATTTCTATTTCCTATTTAATTGTGCGGTACTGACTGAAAATAGTTGTTTTACTCAAGAAACTTTGCTTTTGTGGCTGCCACAAACTATGTTGAATTGGTTGAGACTCTATTAACATCATTATACGTAGGTCTGGAAGCGTCTTATGCTTCCAATCCAGCTAGAGGATGGATGGGCACACCGCCCATCACATGACGTAAAGGAACTTCCTGTGGAGACCCCTCCACCACCTGGAGTGGAAGGATCATTTGATACACCTGCACTTTTTTTTGTTATGTCAGGAGTGATTTGAGAAACTGCAAGTTGCTTCTGGTGTGAGAGAACTGGCCGTCTGCAAGGACGTTGCCCAGGGGATGCCTGGATGATTTGATGTTTCTATCATCCTTGTGGGAGGCTTCTCTCCGGTCCCCGCATAAGGAGCTGGAGCTGATAGAGGGAGCTCATCCCTGGATTCGAACCTGTGACGTGTCGGTCTTCAGTCCTGCCGGCACAGGGGTTTAACCCACTGCGCCACCGGGGGCTCTACACTTGCACTGACCAACCGACACTTTTCCTATGTGATAGGGCAAGAGTCTCTATGAGGGAGTGGGGCATGGAGTGACAGATTCACCCCAGCTGCCCCTCATTTCAGTGGCCAGACGCTTTGCCTGGCTAATATGATGACGCCCTATGATATATTCATTGAGAAGTATTTCAAAATGTGCTGAAGGATGTCTCAAATTTTGTATTTGTAATGTATTTGTATTTGTAATGTATTTTTACAGCCAGAAATAGGCAGCTTCTAAAACTTTTTACTTCATATGCCATACAATTTATGAAATAGTGTTTGTCTGGCTCTAGGCACCATTCACCTTGTTTGAATGATCCATATGAGGTGCTCCATTTGCTCCTTCACCACAGGCAGCAAAACATCTTGAGGTGACAGTGACAAATGGTATTGCCAATATCCAGAAAATTAATGCAATCGTGCAATCAGACTAGTTCAGATAAAACAATAATTCTAATATTTTTCATTACTCCACTAAGGTCACATTTACATTGACTAATTAATGCTGTTTCAAACCAATACTGAAGAAAGTGGTTTTGCTGTGCAGATGGTTACATAGGAAATCCTGGAGCCAGTTGATTCTGGATTGTGGTTATACAAACCACAGAGGACTGGTGCACATTAAAGGCTTTTAAAATATACTTTTGTTGCAGTTTGTTGCCTGGCCACTGTGGTCTGAAGCTAGATTCAAACTGCATTAAATGGTCAGTGTAGATGGGGCCGTAACTGAAGTCTCTGTAAACCAGAGATTTACAGACAACGTGGAGAATGAGACCCCTGTCTATTCTCTTTGGAGGCCTTTGGCAGAGCCTTGTACTTACTTGGCTTCTTCAAGTTCCTCAGTGCGCTGAATGGCATCAGTCTCATATTTGGTTCTCCACTGGGCAACTTCACTGTTAGCTTTGGACATGGCACGTTGAAGCTCAGCCTTGGCCTCTTGCTCCTCTTCATACTGTTCTCGAAGGAGGTCACAATCATGGCGCGCAGATTGCAGACCATGTGCCAGTGCATTTTTTGCCTATAGAATTAACGCAACATTATAGATGGTTCAGACAGTCAAAGCAATAGGAGGCTTAAAGAATTCTTAGTTCCGATGAGGAAGATCTTTCATTAGTGAGACTATAAGAAAGAAGCCACCGTGTGCCGCTAATATTTCTGACATTATGAAAGATATTAAGAGAAACTCTTGATTTAAGGTCCACACCTTAATCTCTTCCTCAAGTTGTCTCTTCAGTTCTTCGATTTGTTGAGTAAAAGCTTGTTTGCCTCTAGTTAACTGGGATATTAAAGCGTCTTTTTCATCTACTTGACGTGAGTATTCACCTGAAGCACAGAATACATAACAATATATGGATTTGTCTTAAATCACCTAATTGTTTTTTAAATCAACATCTTCTTAAGAGCCACCAGTGTCCCGGTAGCACAGTGGGTTAAACCCTTGTGCCAGCAGGACTGCTGACTGACAGGTCAGCAGTTCAAATTCAGGGAGAGCGGGTTGAGCTCCCTCTGTCAGCTCCAGCTCCCCATGCAGGCACATGAGAGAAGCCTTCCACAAGGATGGTAAAACACCAAGCATCCAGGTGTCTCCTGAACAACAGCCTTGCAGATGGCCAATTCTCTCACACCAGAAGCAACTTGCATTTTCTTAAGTCGCTCCTGACACACACAAACCCAGTGTTCTTCTCTCAGGTATTTCCATTACGTCAATTGTTTTCTTAATTGTCCTACCTGATTCTGTCTGCAGACGGGCTCTTTGAGCATTCAAGTCATTAATAGTACGTTGCTGCTCTTCATCCTTTGTTTTAAGCTCACTGACCTGATCTTCAAGGGTACGGCACATCTTTTCAAGGTTGGCCTATAAGTATAGAGGCAAAAAGAAACAATTATGCTACTTATCTTCAGTGCAGTTCAAATTTATTTTCACATATCTTTCTCTCTGATTCCCTAAAAAAGGAGAAAGGGTTTGGAGAAAAGATCGTTGCATATGAAACAGACTATCGAAAGGAAAAATATATACTTTATGAGCTGTACAAGAAAAATCCTTTTTAAAAGCTACTCACATTATGGATGGATGGTTGAACCAGTAGACAGATATGATCTTTATGTAACAATCTCTGATAATTATAATTAATATTGGTATCTTGTAAAATCAAATTTAAACTCTTTTGATGCTTTAAAATATTTAATTTATGAATAAATATTAATGTTATTTTTGTATTATTTTGGAGAAACCACAGCTTTTCTACTCCAATTGAGCATAAACCAAGAGAAATTAACCTACTGTGTTTTTACAATGGATTTTAAATTGTTAGCATACCTTGGCCTTGGAGACAGACTCCATATTGCTAGCAAGGTCATCAATCTCCATCTTCAGCTCACTCTTTTCCTTCTCCAATTTTTGCTTGACACGTTGCAAATTATCAATTTGTTCTCCAAGTTCAGCTGTACTGTCTGCATGCTTCTTGCGGAGGGCGGCTGTTGTGGCTTCATTCTGCAGGGTGGCCTCTTCAAGGTCCCGACGCATCTTCTGGAATTCTGCCTCACGTTTCTTGTTCATCTCAATCTGGGCTGCGGTTGCCCCACCAGCTTCCTCCAGACGCTCACTGATCTCTTCAAGTTCCCTGGAGAGATCAGACCGTTGCTTTTCTGCTTTGGCCCGAGATGCCCGCTCAGCCTCAATTTCTTCCTCCAGTTCTTCAATACGGGCCTAAAGAAAAAGGAGCAACCACATATGCTCAACAACATGTTCCAGGAAAATTAACTGTCCCAGGCAAAAGGGAGGCATGTCAGATTAACTTGCCTGCAACTCCTTGATTTTCTTCTGAAGCTGGGAGCCCAAGACCTGTTCATCTTCAATTTTGCTTTGGAGTTGGCTGATTTCAAAGTCTTTCCTATATGTCACAAACATGGAGAATTAACTTCCTAATCTATGAACAATGTTTGGCATAAAGACCTCAAAAGAGCCAGACGTGACCACAGTGGTCCATGCCTTAGTTGCATCACGGATGGATTACTGTAATACACTCTACGTGGGGCTACCTCTGAAGATGGCTTGGAAACTACAATTAGTTCAAAGATCAGCAGCCAAACTTTTAACAGGAGCTAATCAAAGGGAACATACCACCCCCTTGTTAAAACAACTCTACTGCCTGCCTGTGTTTCTGGGCCCAATTCAGAGTGCAAGTTATCACTTACAAAGCCCTAAACGGCTCAGGTTCAGCCTATTTACATGACCACATCTCCCCCTATGAACCTGTTCAGATCTTAAGATCCACTGAGGAGGCCATTCTCACAGTCCCACCCCTGTCACAAGTATGGTTGGTGGGGACAAGGGAGAGGGCCTTCTTTATAGTGCCCCTCCCCCCGGCTCTGTAATGCCCTCCCCGGGGAAATTAAGCAGTCTCCCATACTATTGATCTGAGGGGCAGATACAAATGAAGTTTTTTAATGTGTTGAAGAAGGCTTTCATGGCTGGAATCACTGGGTTGGTGTAAGTTTTCCAGGCTGTATGGCCATGTTCTAGAAGCATTATCTCCTGATGTTTTGCCCGCATCTATGACAGGCAGCCTCAGAGGTTGTGAGATGTGTTGGAAACTAGGCAAGTGGGGTTTATATATCTGTGGAATGTTTAGGGTGGGAGAAAGAACTCTTGTCTGCCTGAGGCAGGTGTGAATGATGCAATTGGCAGCTTGATTAGTATTGAATAGCCTGGCAGCTTCAAAGCCTTGATGATGATGATGATGATGATGATGATGATGATGATGATTATTATTATTATTATTATTATTTCCTGTAAGATTTTACTCACTTCTTAAGTTTCTCATCCAGCTGTTGCTTATCATTTTCCAAATCCATTAAGGATTCCTGGGACAGCTTCAGATCTCCTTCAAGCTTCCTCTTGGCTCTTTCAAGGTCCATACGAAGCTTCTTCTCTTGCTCCAGGGACCCTTCAAGCTGAAGAGAAAGAGTTCATGAAGATCTTGGCATTATAATAGTACTTTTACCTCAGAACTCTGCTTCTCTGTGTTCTCCTTGTGCTTACATCGTCCACTTGCTGCTCCAGCTTGGTCTTGGCTTTGGTCAGAGTATTCACTTTGTCCTCTTCTGACTGCAGATCATCCAGGGTCTGTTGGTGAGCCTCTTGGAGAGCTTTCTTCTCCTTGGTCAGTTTGGCAATTGTCTCATCCAAGACTGCCATCTCCTCAGTGAGATTTTTCACCTTTTATAGTTGGAGAAAATAATAATTAAATGTATTACCATACTGTTCATTATCAATGCATCATTCCGCAGAATTGAGCACATTTCAGTTACTACCTTGTTTTCTGTAGCATGCTTTTCTTTTTCAACTTTGGCCAGTGTTAGCTCAAGGTCATCAATATCTTTCTTCAGCTCTGAGCATTCATCTTCCAGTTTTCTCTTTTTCGCTGTTAACTCAGCATTCATTTCCTCTTCATCTTCTGCCCTTTCAGTCAGCTCCTTAATTTTAGCTTCCAGCTGGATTTTGGTTTTGATCAACTGATCACATCTCTCCTCAGCATCTGCCAAGCCATCAGCTTCCTAAAAACAAGTGTAATGTTAAAACGAATAAACCTAGAGTATTTATTAATCTTTGTTGCATGTTTTGTTTCTAACATTGATGGAGAATAGTTATGTAGTGTTCAAGAAAAATACACACATGGACTATCCATGTTTGTTTTTGTGTCAAACTCCAGTGTGTCTAACCCCATTCAGAAAATTAATTGCCTGACTAGGTTTTTGCAGTCACATTAACTATCATATTGATATTCAAATATATAATACGTTTATTCCATTATTATTTTTAACAATACAGAAGTTTTATTCACAAACTGAGATAACTACTCTACCCAATCTAAGCAAAGGTAATGCGTATTTGCGGCAGCGTTTTCTGTGGGTATGTTTACTGATACTTTCCAGAATCAAGAAACCAGTCTGGAAAATTTCTTTGTGACAATGTTCTCTTCACAAATATTTTCTATGAACTTAAGTATAACCACAAAATCAGCTTGTCCTCTCCCTTTATTTTTGTCTCTCATAAAGTACATAGATACTTTGCCTGGATTTGTAAATCATAATCCAAACTATGACTAATTAAGCTGTCTAGAGTCAATGCTAATTTGAAAACAAAGAGATAAATTTTAAAACTAGATCTCTTATTCAGAATTAAAATACAGTTTTGAACTATATATATCATGTGAAGATAAATTTATTATATATAGCTATATTCCTCAAAAACCTAAATAGCCCACTACATTTTCCCTGTAATATTGGGATAACTAAATTCATAAAACTAACTAATATAATTCATCAAATCAATAGAACAGCAAAAAAAAGATCTTGCCAATGCTTACAGACTGGACTTGGAGCTGCAAGTCATTCTTCTCTTGCATCAGGGACACCATTTTTTCTTCAAGTTCCTTCCGTTTAGCCTCTGATTTTGCAAGCTCGTCTTTTGTTTTTGCAAACTCTTCTTTCATGTTGGCCATCTCCTTTTCTGACTCGGCACTCTTCAGCAGAGGCTTTATCTTGAAGAACAACTTCATCCATGGCCAGTGTTTGACATTCATGAATGAGCGGATATTGTACTGAATAGAAAATATGGCCTCTCTGTCAACAAAGTTAAGGAATAGATTACTTACCATGTAGTAATTTAGTCAAGCTCTGATTGCCTATGGCCAAAGGCCTTTGTGAAAATTGAAAAGCACTCCAAACTTTACCAAAAAAACTTATAGCCATAAAAGAATAAACATAAACTGGGCAGAAACAAAGAAAGAAAATGGGGGGGGGGGGGGGAATAAAAGAGAATAGCTTAACATTAAAATTATCATCAAATTGGGCAATTAATTTAAAACAATCTCATTGCAACAACCAGAATAAAGAAAACACCTTAGTAAATCACAAAAACTAACCCAAATATATCATCAAATATTTTATTAAGAAGTTGACACGCTCCAAACAATTCTTCAGAATAATTTCAGTTCAACAAAAAACTGTCCTAAGATCTTTCTTTACTAATTATTTTAAGAAAATTTTGAAAAAGAATTAAGTTTTTTAAATTAACAACCCAGTAACAAAAATGATTGAAAAAATCTGTAATTTTTATCAGGCGTGCGTGATCAAAACACATGGAGCACCAGTGAGTAGAATTAACAATGTATTAACAGAAACGGTAAAGCTAAATCCATAATAACAAGTATGCTTTTCTAAATAAATATAAAGGTGTGTCATACCTCCTTGCCAACATTTTCTGGTATTCCGCCCTTGCTAAGAATCCACGGCACATAGCCTGTGTGCGTGTTATCAGGTGCGCCAACTTGTCATCTCTCATTTCCTCCAGAAGACCCAAAAGACCAGCTTTGAAGAACACCTGGGGAAATAAATGTTGTGAAATGCTACACGTAGTGTCTGTACAATTTAAAAGTCATTTGTATCATAAATTAGTCATACCTTGGTATGTCCAAATTTATACTGTGTGTGATCAACATCAATGGAGCCAAGAAGCTTCTCTGAAGCTTTCTTGCTATCAATGAACTGGCCTTCTGGAATTGCACTTGCATTTAAAACTTTATATCTGTTGGAGAAAAAAATAGAAAATTGAAAGGTTTTTCATGAAAGTCAATTTGTTACAGTTATCTGGCCCAGAACTGATATCATGGCATTACTGAACATTGAAACTGACTGTTCTAAAATACCTCTGAAAACAGTCAGAACATACCAAGAAAGCAATACACTTCATTCTAATAGGATACATAGTGATTTTGATCAAAAATAATGGTGCAGTCTTATACTTGTCTTCTCAGATCTATGTCCACTGATTTCAAGACAGCTTTCTCCCTCAGAATGGGAGAAATTAGCACAGAGGCACATCAACACATTGGTTCAGAATAGTTTGGACTGGGCCCGGTGGGGGCTACACGACCCATCTCGATCCTGCAGCAGCAGCAGCAGGATAGAATCCAGATAATCCAGTGAAATTCCAACTAATTCGGCTCCACTGGACAGTCATCTTACCTTTGCTGTATTGTGCCACTGGAAGACAACATGGGCCCAATGTGAAAGCAGGGAAAAGATAGTTGTGGTGCTGGAACAGGAGGACAGTGAATGGTTCAAATTAAAATGAGACCAGCTTTCCACATTAATGCAGAAGTGAAGGACTCCTCTGGAACTTTTGTAACATGTGGTAGAAGCTGGTTAACTGGGTTTACCCTTTGTTACTAACTGAAAGTCCCTGGATATCCAGAAGAAACTTCTGGTCAAAACAGGATTTCTGGACTGTGTAGAAAAGCTCTAAGACAACAACTCTACTGGATATGATCCTGTAATAAGCTAAGTCTGCTTTAATTTATAACAGTAAAGGGTTGATTTGAAACATTAAAATAAAATATATGGAATGCACAAATGGAGCTCATAGGACGTCCAAGCTGACCTCTGCTTGAAATCACCATAAATGATCCTACTGGGAAATCCTTTTCTGCAAATGCGAATGCCTTCTAATACCCCATTGCATCTCAGCTGATGCAACACAAGCTCATGTTCCATGGCACCTTAGGAAAATCAAAGAAAATGTGGATATCACAATGTATACTATGCATTTCTCAAAATAAATCAAGTCAGCAATCAACATGAAATGGTATGATACAGAAAGACAAAAACTGTCACACATATAATTTTATAGGACAATGCTCTTACCAGGTGTTTTGGTTTCATTGGGAATAATACAGCGCACAAAGTGTGGATGAGTACTCCTCAGATTGGTCATCAGCTTGTTTAAGTTCTCCTGTAGGACCAGAAAATAAATACTTTGTGCAACAAACCAGAAAAGGGGTATGTATTGCAAGCAGAGGAGAAGTATTCATGCAGTTAGTTGAGTGGAGATAGGGAGATACAGTATTTCAGATATAAAAGAGATAAACACCAGCTTTCACATACGTTCCTAACACACAATTCTAAAGCTTTATTTAATAATTACGCTGTAGTTATTTGCACTTGGAGTAAATTAAATTGCCATTCAGGTTTAACTGAAACTTGCCTCCTTGACCATAGAAAGTCTATGACAGTCATACAAATAGCTAGTTATTTTATAATATTTTGTAGTTGTATTGTTAACTAATATATAATAATGTAGCATAGAAGTATAGCTTCTAGGCAAAATGGTATGTGTACTGATTGCAGATTATATTTTAGAGTTTTAGAAAATGCATTTTTTTCACATTCATTGTGAAAATTATGTGAAAAGATATGGGCATGCTTTTTAAAATTCTGTGATTTAAATCTGTGATTTTTTAAAAAAATTAAAAGCCTCAATTAATTTGCTCTGATACAGAATCTTTCTTGAAGTATTCTCAGAACAACTTTCTCAGAATATTCATATACTAAGAATATTAAGAAATTCAAAAGCAACAACTTAGTTTATGACATATTTTTTAACTGTCACAAAGAAAGGAAACTTTAGTATTGTTTTGTACCCTGAAAAGAGCAGACACAGTCTGGAAGGAAGAACCCTTCTTCTTGGCAGCCTTCTTACCACCACTACCCTCTAAAAGAGACATTTGAAAAAGTTTGATGAGACTTGACGGATTATTCAAAAGAAACATTTCTTTGAACATGTATGAGTCAAAGAGTTGATTTTGCAACTGTTACCTGCATCTGCAGGACGATCAGCAAACAGTAGAGCTAGAGTCTTCATGGATGATTTCTGATACAGCCCCACCACGGTATCATTGAGGGGGTCCTTGTTCTTCTCCAGCCAGCCAGTGATGTTGTAGTCCACCGTGCCAGCATAATGCACCAGGGCAAAGTGGGCCTCAGCCTTGCCTTTGGCAGGCTTGGGTTTCTGGAAGTTGTTGCTCTTGCCAAGATGCTGGTCATAGAGCTTGTTCTTGAAAGAAGTGTCTGTTGCCTTGGGGAACATGCACTCTTCTTCCAGGATGGAGAAAATGCCCATGGGCTGGAAGGATAACATTAATTAGAAATCAGCTGACTGAAAACACTGGATTTTGAAACAGATTGTCCATTGAATGATTTTTGACAGTAAAGAAATTGAATGCTATCATTCACAGAGTTTACCGTTTATTCCATACTCTCATTGACATATGTAAACTCATTCGAACATACATCCCACACATACATGTTTATTATGAACAAAGTCTTCTTTCAGAGGAATCTATTGTTGTTGTGTGGCTTCAAGTGATTCTATTTCTAATCATTCTTCAACATTTTTTCCAGATATAACATCTAATGTGCTTTTTATCATAAAATTATATTGTCCATAAGAACTATAGAAATATAGCCTGGTGCTAGTTCCTTGCAGTACTTAAATTGAAGTATGATAGAAACATGTATTTGCCAATAACCCCATGTCTGTTGTCCTTCTCTTTATTATTTGTGTTTGGCCTTTGAGGATAGGGACCTGTTCAAAGCACCTTGTACATACACGGTACTAGAAAAATGAAAAGGTAGGAACTTTTTGCTTCCTATACTGTTGCGGGGCAAATTGGGATGGTGTGGCCTTAAACAGGCTTCAATGTTAAATAGGTAAGGGAAATCAAAAGGTTTGGTGTACACCCTAGGCACCCCCCTCAGAGGTGAAGGCCATTAACTAAAACACTCAGGGTCTATTTGATGAGGTGAGGTGAAATCAGATGGCCTAGGAATGAGAAGAGTCTGGCCTCAATTACTTTGAGAGAGACTTCTCCAACAAATTTCCTTTAGAGATTGCCCGGATAGGTATTCAGGGACCCAGGTGTTTTGCCCTAACTAGCTGAGGGGTAGGCTGGGAAGGGACTCTACCTTGGCTTTGCCACACCAAGTTCAGGCCCATTTATTTAGACCCAGTTCAAGTTAAATAGATAGCAATAACTGTTGTGTGGTTTTGTTATTTTGGGGGTTGACAGGCAATATTCCTTTCATTAGTTTTATGCTAAGCTCTCTATTGGCAGCCTTCCTACAAACAGAACTGCATTTATAGGAAGCCTGTGCATATTAAGTGGTGACTCTTTAACAATCTTCTATTTAACTTGGAGCAGCTCAAAACATTTCAGAGCATATCAAATACCTTCTCAATAAGTTCAATGCAGGCAGCCAAGTCCATTCCAAAGTCAATAAATTCCCATTCAATTCCTTCTTTCTTGTACTCCTCTTGCTCCAGCACAAACATGTGGTGGTTGAAAAACTGTTGCAGTTTCTCATTGGTGAAGTTGATACACAGCTGCTCTAAGCTGTTGTACTACAGGAAAAGAAGATGCATTTTAGTGATTGCCCACCCAATGTTATTATCTCAGTACCCTTAAAGATGCTTTTCATTGGAAGTCTGAAATCTGTTTCACATAATAACTGAACTTTTGGGAAATCTGGTACAAAATAGATGTGGTCTTGGTATGTTTATGGGTCAATCTAATCTATAGATGTTTTAGTTCCTGCATGAATAACTAACTTGTCACATAGTCATCTGAACTGCCTCATGTCATTGGGGTCGTGGGGAGCCTAGCACCTCATGCCCCACATCGCCTTGCTCCAGATATGGATGATCCCATGGTGGGAAGCATGGACCACGCGGCTTTCCCCCATTGCTTCTAATGGCAACACAGAAGCATGAATCAGCTCTGCCTTACATCACCCACAGAGCCACACCGGCATCATTTGATGGGAACTGACAGGCTTCGTGGGTGATGTAGAGCAGTGCTGGCATATGCTACTGAAATCCACCCTTTGTGATGAGGTTGTTAGAGTCTTCCAGTCCAGAATGGGCATTCTCACCGTAGGCTTTTATTTTGCTGTTATTAAGTACTGTTCATTGACTTTTAGAAAGATTCCATACTGTTTTCTATCTGCAACTTTCTCATTTTTCTCTTGCCATAAAAATCTATTGGGGATAGAAAATCCATTAAGGATGCAATGACTTCTGATTGGTGGCACTAAGAGCCAGCCATAAAGGTATTCTGTTTTCCCTTAACATGCCCCATAATGAATATTTATTTAAGGCAGCAGTATGAATGATGCTTTTCTTCAAGATTAATATCAACTTTAGGGAAAGACCTGCAAATGGTCTATGTTTTCAAGAGATAATTATCTAACTACCTCATCACAAAAAGCTAAAATCAGCAGCATGTGCTGATTTTAGCCCAAGTAACCCATGGAGCTGGCCAGATCCCATCACATGGTGGCTCCATCGGTGAAGAAGGGCAGAACCAGCGGATGCCGCTGGCAGGACAACACGGGAGAGCTCCCATGTTGCCATACAATCTATGGGGGGAAGCCACTCACACCATGCTTGCTCATGCTTCCCCTCATCTGATCACCCTTACTTGGATCCGGGCAATGCGGGGGCATGTCAAATTCCCCATGTCCCTCTACAAACTGCAGCGCTATTACCATTGGCCACCAGCCATCTCATGACATGGTAAATCAAAACTATATTAACCCCATGTTCATCTATGCTAACTTAATACCAAATCAATTATAGCTTTCCAAAGAAATATATGATATGGTTCTCTGACTTAATATAAGCAAAATAAGATACTGTTTTTCATATAATTTTACATGTTTGTCTTCCTTGTTTCCTTACATCAAAAATTTCAAAGCCAGCAATGTCCAGCACACCAATAAAGTATTGCCTGGGTTGCTTGGTGTCCAGCTGCTGGTTAATACGAACGACCATCCACAAGAACATCTTTTCATAAACAGCTTTAGCCAAAGCGCCAACATTGTTGTAAACCTGGAATAAAAAAGTACAAAAGCTATAATATAAAGGAGATCAGGAAACTGGTGACTGGTTTACATTTATTGTGATTAATTGACACATCAGGTTTTATTTCATAGATCATTTACCTGCTGGACAGTTTGGCCTTTGGTGACATATTCATTGCCGACCTTGACCCTGGGGTAGCATAGAGCTTTCAGCAAATCCGCTGAATTCAGGTTCATAAGGTAAGCTGCCTTGTCAGCAACTGAGCACATATAAGAGAGAAAGGTACTCTCAGTACAGGGTGAAATCATAGAAATAAATAACACCAGTACCTCAAAAAATAAATAAATAACAAGTGCCTTCCCATGGTGAAAAGAAGACGATATCTCAGAAGCAGGATAATAGACTAATCCACATTATTTTATTTGAACTGGCTTATCTTAGTCTACACTGCCATATAATATAGTTCAAAGCAGATAATGTGGATTTAGTATGGCAGATTAGAAGGGGCCTATGTTGCATGATGGTCAGTTAAATAAAGTTTTGGTTTGGTTGTTTTTATAACAGAAGCTGTTTATAAGGGAAGAATGCCATGTGACTCTGCAACTTAATGTTCTCATTTCTTTCAAAATTTTGTAATACACATTTCCACAGAACAAGACATTTATTCTGGAATTTTTTAGAAAGCTTGCAAAAAGTTTTTCAAATACCTTCAGTGCCATCTGGTTCAGCCTGCTCCTCACGCTGCTTCTGCTTGAACTTCATGTTCCCGTAATGCATCACAGCTCCTGTCAGCTTGTAAATGGCTGTCTTCTCTTCAGCAGTGAAGCCCAAGATGTCAATGGCTTCCTGTCAATTGAATCTGTAGTAAATACTGAGCAAAAATGCTGCCTTAAATTCACTGGCTTATTTGGAGCCAGGAAATTTGGGAAAGTATTTCATCAATTAATACTGTGCAATTCCCTCCCAACAAATGCAAATGTTTTCCTTTGGAAAAAAAGCTACATTGTGATGCAGCATTGTTCTAGTGGCAACATTGGGGAAAAGTACTAGTCCCTTTTCTGGGAAGTAACCGACTTAATAATTAACAGCCTCATCATACCTTCAGCAGTGGCTCTCGATGGCACTCCAGTTCACCACCGGGTGTCGGGAAGCCACTGCCACACACCCCACTTTGCCGGTCTCCACCAGCAGCGTGGTGCACGCGTGGAGTGTATGCCATGACTTAGTGTATGCCATTGAAGGATGGCAACAAGGGGCTAAACTGTTAGCAGAGGAAGGTCAAAACCTTCCTCTGCCAATAAGCTTTTCGTGAAGGGTAAGAGGAGGCTCTGGGGTGGGTGAGTGGGATTCGGCAAGATATGAATCTTAAAGGCCATTTTAATGTAGTTAACATATTTGCTGTATTTTAGTTCTGTTTTACCACACTGTTATTATTATTTTTTAACTTTTGTATTGCTCTTCTTAAAGGCGGAATATAAATAAAGATGATGATAATGATTATGATGATAATAGATCGGCATATGCCACTGAATCTAGCCTTGTATGATGAGGTTGTTAGTATAATTCTAGAGGCAGTATTGAGTGAAGAACCACACAGACACAAGTGGGTCCCATCATTTCGCACAGGTGCGGTGAGATACACTGCTCCTTGTATGATACTACATTGCTTTGGGATATGTGACAGGTAACTAATAAAGAGTGCTGCAAAACTATGTTTAAAAGCAAGTTTGGGAAGGGACCAATAACTACTGCCACAACTGTTCCTAGACAACATCCCTAAAAAAAATTATACCCTCCTTCATCATCATTTTTGCAAAGAAGTCATCTATGAATGTTTCACTCCCCATTTCTGCTGAAAGAATGAAGCACAAAACTAGTGTTGGCTGTAATCAAACCAGTACTCATGAGGAGTCAATTCTATGAGGTTGTGTCAACAATTATCCACACTCTGGCTGTAGAATTTATTTTAATCAACTTAAAGAAAAAATAGATGCATCATTTTTTGACAAAACATAACCCTGCTTTTTAATGCAACTTGTTCAGCTGTAAACAAGCTTTTGTATTCCCTCATTAAAAAGTGTTTTCAGCTAAACTGCAAGCCACAAATGTGCCAGTGTTGTCACCTCTTCATCAGATATATATCTTTGGCCTCATAGGGTTTCTTTCAGGAGACCAAACATGTGATAGTCTGATGGGGCAAGGTCAGGACTATGGGTAGGATGCTGTAATACTTCAAAGTGAACTTTCTGAGAGTGATGACAGTATGAGCAGTGGTGTGCGGATGTGCAGTGTCATGTCATAACACAACACCTTGGATAACAGTCCTCTATATTTTGTCCAAATTTTAGGCTTTAGCTCTTCAGTGAGCATCTCAGTGTAATGAGCATCTCACTGTAATTAGCATGGTTGATGGTTGAACAAATAATGAATGATGCTCTAATTTGTGCAAATCACAAGGGCAGCAACCGTGTTTTCTTTCACCGCAGTCACAAACAAACTGCGTAGCCAGCTACCTCGCACAGAAACCTCTGATAAGAAGTTTTTAATATAACCAGTGCAGATAATTTCTGAATTACCCTTGTACAAATTACTTACATCAGTTGCCATCAGCTCTTCCTGATCATTAATGCTGGCAACAGTGATCTCCCCTTGACTGACAAAGTGGTAGTCATAAGGGTTGGTGGTGATCAAGAGCATTTCTGAATAAAGAGAAAACACAAATATGGATGTATTTCCATCCACAACACAATGGAGACATAAATCACATAAAAACAATGTTTCTTCCTACCAATCAGTTCTGGCTTCTTGTTAGACATGATCTGGTAAAAGATGTGGTAGCTCCTTTCAGCTTTTAGCTGAAAAGTAACTCTGGATTTCTCCAGCAAATCTGGTAAAGCAATGGAGTATAATTAGCCAAGAATGTAAGCAGACAAATCAGGAAGAAGAAAAAAGAAAGAGAAATCTTCTAGCCAATTTTCTTACATGTCTCAATGTCAGCAGAAGCCAGTTTGCCTGTGGCACCAAAATGGATTCTGATGAATTTACCCTGTTGGGGAAACATGTTGAATTAGTACAAAACATCTGAAACAGAATTTCAATTATTTCATTAACTTCATAGTGTCAGTTACAAAATGTAGTATATTTATGATTGACTATAATGGTGTATTCCATTATTTCAGCATGAAAAAAAATCTAAGAGGTGTTTAAATGATCCCAGACTATCTGCTTCAAACTGGATTACATGAGTCTCCACTGTCAGTTAATCTGGGATAAGCAGATAATTTGGGATCAGATTCTGAGATATAAAGCAGTGTAGAGGGGTTGTGTCTGTGATGTTTCAAGAACTGGTAGTTTCTAATTTGCCTTTAATTTTAGCATTATCCATTTATTGCTCAGTGGAGAACTTTGCTTTACTCTGCCCATTTTTAAAAGGGGAATGTGGCCTTTTAGTAAAAAGAAAGTGACCCCATCCTTATAGAAAAACTTCAAGCATTTGTGTCCCTACACCAGTGATTGAAACAGACATTTATGCATTATGTCAATCTTCCAACTTCTCTCACTCCTAGCCAGAACTGAGCAGCTGTGCTCACTGGAAGCACTGTGGGAATACTTATCCATCTGGGCTATCAATAGTCAAGATCAGTGGTTCCCAACCTCTAGTTGTCCAGGCATTTGGGACTTCAGCACCCAGAAGTACCAGCCTTTTTCGTTTAACTGTCAGAAATTCTGAGAGCTGAAGTTCAAAATAACTGGAAACTGCTTTTGATCTATTAATATCAGTCACCTAGCTACCTTCGGGGTCATGCCAAATAATGATTTGACATATTGAGTTAGCTATGATAAAAGTCCAGCTGCATCTATAGGGCATTCATCTTTGGTGAGAAAACCCTGACCATAATCTATTAGGCAAAGTTGGTCTTGAGCAAAATATGCCTTTATGAAAGTATTGCTCCACCTTACTGATTTGGCTGGAAAAGAATCCCCACTATAGATATGGGTCATTCATTTTCTGGAGATTAACTAACGCAATTATCTGAGCACAATATTGAAATGTGGATTTGAATTGAAGTAAGTGTTCTAGGGTGAATAGAGATCATCCCAAATCCAGCAGATCTTAACAGTTGCTAGAGATGAATGCTGGAGTTTTTGATATGTGATCTTTGTCAAATGAATAAATTGTTCCTGCATGTATGTATTGTTATGGTTATACAGTTTGTCACAAGGCTAAAGATATTGGCAGCTGCTGGAGATAGGAGCTTCTTAGCAGCCCCTTGTGGGCAGTGACCTTTATGTGAAGAATTTGTCTGTGGGCATTACAGCTCCCATTACTAAGGACAATGGAAGCATGAAGGGGTCCAAACAAATCATAGCTTTTCCCATAGCAAGATGGAAGATGCCAGACCCATACATTTGATCTGTATTCCCAATATGGTAACTATGAGACATGGGGCAGGGTGCACTTTCTCAGGAAGGGAAGTCACTAGTGTCCATCTAGTAGGCAAAAAAGCAGGAGGATGAAGCAGTTGATCTAAGTAAAAACAAATCCATGTTACTATTTTAAGTTTAGAAAAAATGATACAAAAGTAACAATGACTGAAAAAGTCATACCCTCTTCCACATATTTCTGAAATCCTAAACTTACAAAACGGGAGGAGTTGTCATTCCTCACAGTCTTGGCATTTCCAAAGGCCTCCAACAAGGGGTTGGCACTGATGATTTGATCTTCAAGGGTCCCCTGCAAAATTATTTTAATGAAGTTATGTGTTTACAGTATGAACAAATGGTAAATGTGGTAAACAAACAAATACTGCTTCCAATCTTCAGCTTGCCTTTAGCTTGCCGGTTTGCTGTGGTTCTTCCTTTTTCTTGTCACCTGTGGTTGCAATTGTTGCAAAGTACTGAATGACACGTTTCGTGTTCACAGTCTTTCCAGCACCAGATTCTCCACTGTTGACACAAAAAGATGAAAAACACACATGATCAGCCAGTATACTGCACAACAAAGGTTGTTCTGACTAAAAGGGAATTTCTAAGGAGCATACATACGTGATCAGGATTGACTGATTCTCACGATCTAGAGAAAGTAAAACAGCATGGAATATTATTGTGTGTTGGGTTGGAGTGTGCAATTATAACAAAAATTGAAACAAATATGTTAAGATCCACCAACAGGAGAAATACATATTCTAAAATTATTTCAAATAATTTCCTTTAATTTTTGCATTATATAATTTTACTTGGGCACTTGCAGAAATAAACGCATATATTTCAAAAATAAAGTACATAACCTGGAAAAGAGGACGACAGACCTTTCGCACTTCTAATAGCTGTACATAAAAGGATATCTCAGTAGTGATATCCTAAATGACAATATATATCTGTTGAAATCCCCTCTTCTATACAGACATTAAAAGTACAGGAAGCTGGTCATCTTTTTTTTCATTTGGCCACTCTAATGAAAAATGCACACTTACATATCTAACACTTGGACTATAAGCACCCAAGATTTTTAGCAATGCTTCTTATAGCATACAAGAAATAAATTTGAATATCATTGTTCTTCATTACAATTCCTACACTTTTTAAAAGTCTTCCTTTTTAAACAAAATACCATTATGCTGAGAGGATTGTAAAGTAACATGAATACAGATAAACAAATGCATTAACAAAACAAGGAGAAGGTCTTGAAATATGGCCATACCACAAGTAGGGTTGAAGATATAATTCAATTGCTAATCCCCACTTAAATGGGCCTATTTAATCAAGGGGATGTATATAAAGGCATTACCATACTATAGATGATTCAACAAGTCTGCTCTACTTTCAATTAGCAATTGAATTTGGATTTTTATCTTTTGTAAGACATGACAATTCATGGTTCTTTTCTTTGAACTTCAGTGACCACAATATATACTTTTTCTGGGGAACATCTGTATAATACTTTATGGAAAGGATACTAACTAGGGCCCCTTCTACACTGCCATATAATCCAGATTATCAAATCAGATAATCCATATTATCTGCTTTGAACTACATCATATGAGTCTACACTGTCATACAATCCAGTTCATAGCAGATAACCTGGATTTTATATTGCATTGTAGAAGGGGCCTCTGTCTACAGGGTGACTGACTCACCAGTTAACATGAACTGATACGCGTTGTCAGAGATGGAGAAGATGTGGGGAGGAGCCTCCTGACGTTTCTTGCCCCTGTAGGCAGTTACCACCTCGGGGTTATACACTGGCAGCCACTTGTAGGGGTTGACAGTGACACAGAAGAGACCGGAGTAGGTCTGGAAAGAAAAAGTAACTAGTAAATGGACTTCTTTGAGAAATAAATATTGTATATTATAAAGACAATAGTACATATAGAGCTGTACTCACATAGATCATCCAGGCTGCATAACGCTCTTTGAGGTTATACAGGACAGCAGGTTCATGCAGGTGGGTCATCATGGCCATGTCCTCAATTTTGTCATATTTGGGAGGATTCATAGGAAAGATTTGGTCATCCTTAACAGTCACAGTCTGCAAGGAAACAAGAAACCATTCAGCCAAGAGCACAAAAGAGAAAAAAAATGTTATACCTTTCCTCCCACACAGGTTGGTATTTCTATACTCACATCTCCACCTTCTTTCTTGACTGTGACCTTCCCTGCCTCCCTGCTCTGGACAGTGCCTTTTATAAAGGAGATCTTAGGGTCCACCACAAAGACTGATGTCTTGGCATCAAAGGGCTTATTCTGAGCCTCAATTCTCTCCTTTTCTGACTTGCGGAGATAAGGGGCCGCTATCCCAAAGGCAGCCATCTCAGCATCTGAAGACATGGCTGCGGTTTAACAGAGAACCCTAGAATAGAGGAAAACAGCCCATGTGATCATCATAACTTTATACTGCTAACAAAAGTGTATCTGATAATCTTTATTACATTATATGAATTATTTTCTTTCTAACAGTCTTCAACCAGTGTTCATGGTTTCATGAAGTAAGGACATGCATGAAGTTTCCTCCTTATTCATACAGAGAAATTTACATATTTCTAAATTAAGCACTCTACTGATATCATTGTGGCAGACAGCACAATTCAACATGGGGAGTATTGCATACAACTTAGCTTCATAAAATATTATTGTTAGTTCTGATAGCAGACTGAGATGGTGCGTACCAACAAAACTGGGACCTACACACCTGAGAAAAAATAGGACCACTGAAAAACAAGAATGTTTCATCTTGCTTGGGAGAACCCTGAGGTTTGCAGAAAAGCTACATACCTCTACTTTGGATTATTTTAAACACATACACCATTTAATTCATACTGAACACACAGCTGCATCATGTTGAGCATAATTCAGAAAGGAAACACATAACTGAATGCTATTCCTTGCAGGGAATAAACAGGTCAAATCTTGAATGGAAGACTTCCTTTTGGGATGTAATGCAACATTTATTTCACCTTTTAACAGATTAATATAGGTTGTTCTTTAGCCAAGAGTTCAAATTGCCCTTCCCTAAACTACAAATCTCAGGATTCCGTATGATGTTGCCATGGCAATTAAAGCAGACTATAATGCAAAAACAGTATAGTGTGCTGGGGCCTAAGACACTCTAAATAGTGTCATTATTTCTTATTTTGCTCACTTTATAGTAAGACAAAAGTTGGATTTAACAGAGACTAATAAGCCTGGAAATTTATTTCCTCTTAATGTTTTTGCCTTGCCTTCCATTGGCAAAGGAGCTTTGCCCTCTGCCAAGTGCGAGTTAAAAACAGTTGGACTGTGCTATGCAAAACTGGATTAAAAGGGAATCAGTGAGGATCAGCCCAGCTAATGATAACGAAGTGTCAACCACAATCACGAGAATCTTCATGATTGGTGGTTCCTTCCCCCTTAGTACTTCTGAATTTACTCTGTTTGGTGAAAACATTTTTGAATTCATTTTCTAAAAGATTAAATTATATATTCCTAACTATCAGAAAATGAATGTAAATGTTGACGAACCAAGTGAGTTAGTAACACATGAAATCTACAAAAAATTTCTAGTCTCCTTTGGGTTTCCTGTCTCCAGCTCTATATTTATCCATCAGTCATCATAGAAACACAGCACGATACTCTACTCCCAAAATGTTAATCTGTGTTTTCGATGCAAGGAGCTGTGAGTAAAGCTATATTGGACCATTTTTCTCTATTAGGTTATGCTCCATTGATGCTGAATACATGCAAACTAAAGCAGCTCTCCTGCAAACTCGCAGACATGGTTGCAAAACTAGTTTAGTTTGTAAAGCTCTAGCTATGTTAAAGCACTATCTAAAATAAAGGAAGAATGAACTGAAATGTTAGCCATCATTTTTAAATAAAAAAAAAGGATAAAACCAAAGTTTACTGATCCCAAATGGATTCCCAAATAGATTCCATCAGAGCTACTAACTAAGATTGGCAAGACTCTGGCTTCCAGATCTTTGTCCACTATGAATATTATTCAATATGAGTCTACAGTATAGGTCACAGCTTCTTAATCTGTGGGTTCCAACCCCAAATGGATCCCTTAGCTCAATGTTGGGATCACAAAAAAGTTGACAGCAGTAAAAGGTTGCATCAGCTAGACATTTACGCAAATCTGTTAGCAACAGCATGCAGGAAATGCTTTAGCTAGACACCACAAAAGGAAAATCAGTCTGTTTACCAAGTCTGGTAAATGCTTGCTTTTTATACCTATTTTATATACCTATATACCCAGGGCCATGTAAACATTCTTGTGTGGAAATGGGTCACGAGTGAAAAAAGTTTAAGATTTGTTATCGATAATGTAAGTGACAGCAATTCAAACTTAGAGGCCTTGGCCTGTGCTTACTTAGAGAGAAGAAGGACTTGCTAACAATGCATCACACAATGTGGAAACCATGCAATAGAGACTGAATACAAACGTCATGCAAAGTTTCATGCAGAAAACAAAGAATAAGAACTATCTATTCAACACAGATCCAAAAGGAGGTTCTCTTTGAATCACCCTTTCCCCAAGAGTGAGCAAAACCACAGTCTTACCTCCTGATGTACAAAATGGCTAGTGAAGAGTGTCACCACTGGACAAGACTGCAAAACAAAAAGGGTAAATCTCTTGTTGCTGAATGTTTTTTTAAATTACTTCCAGACACCAATTGCTAACTAAATCAAAGGGGCACATTTGAAATCTGTTGACAAAGTCAATCCTCCAGCATTAATAGCAGCAGCGGTTGGAATGAGCTGGCATGTGTGGAATTTCGGGGTGCTACCCCCATTCAGGTCCACCACAATCCACCCAGCACTTACCTATTCACTGTCTTTGGAAGAACGAGTCAGGTTGGTCCTAAACCTCCTTTTATACTGTTGGATGAGCACAAGTGCCAATCCCTGTCTTTCCCCTGGCCGTCCATTCTTCACTCCAGGCATTTTTGGCTAACCTTTCCTGTAAAGCATTGTTTGGCAAAGTTGACTAAAGACATGATTGTCATTTGACATGACTGGATATAATTAGAAATATTTGATGTCCTTCAGACTATGTGAGTAAATGCCCTATAAATAATTTCATAAGGGCCTTAAAGGAGAGAATCTGGACTATTCAAGAAAGCCAGAGTATGAGACAAGGACTTCTTTGAGATCTATTGCTGGTGTTGTCATTGCTGAACAACCTCTTGAACACTACTACTTTTTATAGCACCATTTTTTTTGAAGATGATGAACAAGGGAAGAAAATGGGATTAACAATGTTTCCTATTCACTGTAAAGTGCCTGTGGTAAAATATTTGAGAAAAACTAACATTCAGCCACAATCAAAATGAAACATCCTATTGTTTTTCTAAGAAATTTTGGCATAGCTATTCTAAAATCTTGGCAAAGGTGAGAGATGCCATTTAAAACTGATTTATGTGACTATTTTGATCTCTACAAACTTCCAATGAGAAGATGCATGGTTTTACACACAGTGTCTGGAATCCTGTTGGTGATTTATGCAAAAATAAATTCCTTTACAGAAGCAGTTGGACATCTTTGACCAATGCAGGATACTTGCATTTAGTTCAAAGTTGCATAAGCACTCTTGTGCATGCAGATCCACAACACTGCCCTTGAATACGTACACTATGGAACTCTGGTTTGCACTTGGCCCTCCATAACCACAAATTCTGCATCCACTGATTCCACCATTCATAGATTGAAAATGTTTTTTATCCAAAAAGCAACCTATATTTTTGCCATTTGGTATAAGTGACATTATTTTATATAATGTGACTTAAGCATCAATAGATAATGGTATCCACAAAGAGTCCTAGAACCAAAGTCCAGTGGGTAGCAAGGGCCGACTGTATTTTAGTCATGAATTTCAGGACAATCTTAGGAACACACATCTAAATCTATACTTTCGTGATCTACAGAAAGAGAAGTTGATTGAATGATTCAGTGCTTCTTTCGGTCCTTAAATATAAGAAATATACATTTTAGATGTCAGTTTATATATAGGCAGCCACACATCACAGTTTCATGTTGATGTTTCAACATGAAAACAGCTTCTGACATAAGAATATGTTGTTCTGGAAAATCCAAAAGGAAACTATTTCTCATGTTTCTACACAGTTGTTGATCTAAATCAAATACACAGGTACAAAATGTTGGATACATTTCTAATGTTTTCAACATCACTAGACAGCATAAACAACACTATATAGTACTATATACACTTCTAAGGATTCAATTTTTGTACATTGATACAAGTTAAGTGAAAAACCACAAAAATAATTAAATTGGATTTTCATAGACCTGGCTAATGATATAATCCATAAGAATCTTGTGGGCATATAAGATTCCCTATCACACACCTAAGCATATAAGATTCCCTATCACAAAGATGAGGGAGGTGAATATGTAATATAACCCTTTTGTAAAACTAGGCATTGTTAAAGGTTCTTTATTCTGGTGTGGAAGTGAGTATGAAATGCCTATTGGATTCAGATTTAAATGTAGTATTTTCAGAGTCAGGTTAAAATGTATTCAGGACTTTAACTGCATTACATTTGGGAAGCTGCATAGTGTTACCAAGATGTGAATTATGTAAACCCTGAAATTTAATAAATTGTATTTTTATTATATTTACAAACTCCTAAAATTGTAGCTTGTGTGTTAGTTGATACTGAAATGCCTCAAATTAGGAAAGGATAGATTACACACCAGATTGGTCTTGATGCTGTAGTGATTATTTTATTTTATTTTTAAATAGTTTCATTTGTAGAGGAGCATCAAATTAATTCCTTACTAGGGTGCCTTATAACATTCACATTTAACGAAGATGTAACAATCCACAAATCTTATAGATTGTGGTGTGGGCATTAGGAAGCGCTGAAGGAGATATGTAAATTTAAACTGAGGGTAACTCCTAAAACAAGGAATGTGTGCATATTTCTGTATATATATATATATATAAAGAGAGACTGCACATTTATCTAGCTGGTGTGTTCAGATGAAATCCCTATAAGATTATCTGTGAGATTGACTGCAAGGTCTGGCATCCCTAGATACCTTGGCACAGTTCCATCATTCTGCCCAGTAAGTGGCATCAGATCCATGCCATTGCAGGGATTCTTCAAGGAGTACTAAGAGCCACTGGGCATATCTGAGAGAAGCATCGCAATTGAAAACATTTTAAGTCTACATGGTATGGCTCTGGAGCTGTCTTTGCAAAAGGGTTGGAAATCAGTAGGCCAAGATTCCAGCCCAACCAAACGTGCAAGATCAAGGGCAGCAAGATGCTGAGGAAAGGTTGTGGAAGGGAGAGGGAGAGAAGGAAAGAAACAAGAACACATTTCTGATTCCTATGACAAGTTATTGGGGTCACTCTTTTCCTAAAATATTATTTCAAAATAAAAACATTTGTCTTCGGCACCTTTTTCTAGTAAACCACGTGAATGTGTGAAATTACGAGAAACATGGTTTTCTTTTCATATTTCCTACAGCAGCATGCCATCGTTTGCCCACAAATACATTCAACTGGACTGAACAAACAATTGTTAAACCTTCCAGAAGTCCAAGAATCACAGAAAACTGAGATGACATCAGAAAATTCACTATAATAAGATGAGTAATTCAGATATGGGAAATTCAAATATCTGAATTAATCAAATGGATGGTTAAGAGTTATTTTGGCTGTAATTTCTAAAATCAAATGCTCCATATAAACCTGCAAACAGCTAATAATAGGAAAGCCTAATCTTTTAAGTAGTTTAAATGTTTCCAAATGTTTTTTTGCAACCATTGGAATAAACAATTAAATGCTCAAGTGCTAAAGCTCAGATAATGAAAATTTGTCACTTCTTAATGGTTCGTGAAAATGAGTTGTATCATGGAGAGCTCTACAGACAATTATGCTGACTTCAGACACATTTTCAGCCATCTTTCCAAGTTAAAGATTTAAAACTCAAAGAGGTAAAGATAAAACCTCTTTCTCGGTTGAGTTCACATATCTAATACTCTTGTACAGATAGGCAGTACAATTTTTCTGGGAACATCTTGTTTATTGCATACCAGTTCATTCCAAGGTCTAACTATTCTATGAAATATGCTGTGGAATGGTTTTGGAACAATTGTATATATCCAATCTTGTGCAGGCAATCCCCCAGTTACAAACATCCATCTTACAAATGACTCATAGTTAAGAACTGGTGAGACAACAGGAAGTGAGGGATATTACCTACCCTTAGGAAGGAAAATTTACTCCTGGAAGAGCTGTCATGAAGAAAAGACATCTCAACTGAAGTTTTAACATTAATCCTTGTTTCCACAACAAGCCAAATATTTCAAAATCCAGTTAAAATGAAGACACAGACAAGGACACAGACAGCAAAATAACATCACAGGGATGTTAACCAAAGATGATATTGGTAGAGATAGGGATAGGGATAGGGACAGGGACAGAATAGATAGCTGGGATGACATTTAAAAATGTACCTTTCTGACTTTCATACAAATTCAGCTTAAAAACAAACCTATCTTGTTCATAACTTGGGAACTGCCTGTATACCAAAATTAGATATATTTTACTTTATCATTTCTTTCTATAAAACATGTGCTCTTTGTTGTTTGGCTCTATATGTGTAAGTAATGAATTGAGACTTCCAGTAGTTTAATTTTCTGAGAAAATGTGAATTTGCAGATTCAGAAATTTAACCAATCTTTCTGGCTATTTAGGAATACTGTTAATCTGAGAGAGTGGCAGGTTGGATGAACCAAATGTGCCAGAAATTAGGAGTCCTAAACTGTTTCAGGAATTCGCTCTCCATATCTCAACCTGCAAAGTGCCTTCAGTTTTATATGAATTACAAAGAATTGGACAAAAGCTTGCAGGAAATGAAAGAAATCCTTGAGCATTAAACAGTAATAACATTGGCACCATGTGAATGTATGAGGCATTACGTTGTTAATATAAGCTGATATTCTAAACCAATGTGTGGCACACATAAAGCTCATACAACTAAACTAAAAATGTCAATAACCTTTACAAATTGCCTTTTAGTTAACATTTTGTATTTGCCATTTAATCGACTTTAATAACAAGTTCATCATTATCATGTTATTGAAGTGTATGATGTGTAAAATTGGAATTGATCACCCATCAAATCTCTAGGTCTGCTGTCCTCTTCATTTAGTTGTTCTGGAAGTTCATTTCAGGTAGACATGGCAGTGGAAAACAGAGTAAGAGAGTGTTTGTTGCCCCCAAACTGCCTCACACACAAAATAGCTTGGATATCCTTAGTCCCTCTGGGTTGAAAATGCTGCTGTTGACTACCAGGTCAGTAAATGAAAAAACAAGACAGTGTAATTAGGATTTGATTCTAGATGAGCCTGCCATCCTGGCCTATACCACCTGCTTGGATGAGGCTAGACGAGTTAATCTCTCCTTACTCTGTCCACCAGGTTTTTCTGCGAAACAGCAAGTGGGCAGGGGATTGCATCATGTATGAGAACAAAACAAAGCCCATTCAAAATTGACTCCAAATGAATAGATGAGAAGAGGAGCAGCTAGTTGCACTGTGGAAGAAACAAGGCATGACTGAGTGCATATTGAATATAT